ATTGATTCAAAAACTATGAAATAAACTGTAGGTTTCTAGTTTACAACTGGAACAAACCCATGATGATCAAGAGTCGATATCAGACTCGTGTCGATAATAATGAAATAAAGTTTTAGATACAATTCAGTTATGTCAGTATCAAAGTAAATAACAAGATCATCATCTGGAACTGAGAAATTTATATGATTCTCCCTTCATTCAGAGTCTAAAAAGTGTAGGGGGTGGAAAGGGGTACTATCATCAAATATCAATGGCTACTACTTCTACTAGTATTTATTTTAATAAAGCCAGAGAAAAACAATGCAATTGTCAATTGGGAAGAAAGTATATCAAGAAAATATTACTTACCTTAAAGTCAAATAAGTTTATATTTACAATCTTAGTAAAGTGAAAATCAAAAGTTTACACCTCTTTTTGTGTCACACACAAGGATCATTTATTCTTCAACATGAGATTAATTTTAAAGTTCATGAAATGAATCTTTCTTTGAGAGAATTTAGATTATTTGATCTTTTGTCAAATAATTTTTTTTTTGTTTCATTGTTAAAAGGTGTCATAGGGACACTTCAAGAATTAGAATTAATAGGGCAAAAGCAGTGAAAAAAATTGCAAGAAAAAAGTGTACTTAGTAATATGAGTCAACTGATATGATATACAAGTAGAAATGATTTCTTTGATTGAGTAATGTAACTTATGTTTCCAATTGACCAAACCATATTTTAAGTCATAAAAAAAAAAGACCAAAAAAAAACTGTCATAAATTGCTGGTTGGTAATTTTAAACAAGTTTTGTTTCTACAGAGGCAGTTAATTAATGTCTTATTTGCCTAACCAATTTTAAGTGAATTATGTATGTGAGTCTAGAGCAATAAAGTCATAATTCCTTGTATAATGTTCTTTTTAATTTTATTTTAAGCCTAATTGGAATTATTTTTCTTATGGATGAAGAAAACTATTTAACTCTTTCCAAACGGCCCAGATAAATCTGATCAACAATACACAATGTGGATATTTCATTGCATTTAGTTTCCATGGAAACAACCAAAACCAGATAATGAGGACAAATGCTTCTATCCTATTCCTTGGGCAGAATCCTATCAGAGGGTACAGAGGAATTCACAATTTACCTTACAACTGATTAAATTTAGAAATAAATTTAGTCTGTAAAGATGTAGCAAACATGTGTCAGTACAGACACAAAAGAGGCCCCAGATTGCATGCAGACATATCTGTCAAAACCAGTTACATCTGGGTTTTCACCATTAGCAATGGGAAAGCTTGGCATGTTCAAATATGAGCCTCTCTGCAATCAGTGTCTCCTGTCAATAAAAGTGATGGGAAAACCAGCAGTCAGCAGTGGGGAAAACTTAGTATCTTGTGAAGTTGGACCCATGGGCATTTTGTTCCTAAAGTTGCTGTGCCTCTGAGGAAGCATCATTTTGTTACCTCTCATCTCTTCTTTTCTCTGCCTATTATCTCTGTAGCAGCTGGGAGAGCTACTGTTTAGGTGCCCCCCCCAAACTTCAAAACACCCTTGCTATAGTTTACAAGAAAAGGTGTTAATAAGATAGATTTCCCTATTAAATAGTATCATAATAAAAGATGTATAAATTACTTGTATATCACAGCAATTACCTTTCAACAATAAAATAATGACTGTGTGTAGGTATTGGAGTTAAGTGTACAAATGAGGGTAATTCTGTCCAAAAAAAATGCTAAGTAACTTAATGTGACATTCAATTTACAAAAAAAAAGTTGGAAAACAAAACCTTCAAGTTTTACATTTGGTGCAAATATTATTCAAGTGAAATCTGGTTCAAATATTGTGAATTTGGTTATATTAAAAAAAATAGAGGCATATAGGTACCTCCACAAGATTGCTAAAAAAAGGGCATAGCATGATGAAAAAGATGCAAAACTTGACGAAAACAAAATTTTATCATCTAAATGTTTATGTTATTATTAAGAGGAAAGATCAAAGTATTTTGGGAGTATTTTTTTTTACATTTTTTTAATCATTCCTAGCATGTCCGAAATTTTCGTTAAAAATCTTGTTTTTTTTTTGAGTCAGCAAAATTGATCATTTTTTTCCATTTTATAACAAAAATGGAAATCTCATTTTGAAATTCTTTTAAATATCAATTATCATTTTTAAAAAACTTATTTTAAGAAAATCAGAAATTATAATGTTTATTTAAAATATTTTGAACCAAGCTTATCTTAGCTTCTGCGCCGAAAAGATGTCATTTGAAAACAAAACAAAGCAGGTCATAAACTTTCACGTCACTTGACAGGTGATGAATGACATATTGATGGATTCCGTGAGGCTAATTTGTTCTACGGAAGGAGAAAAGTGAAATAATTTACATTTAAATGAACAAATTATTTACCTCGTTATTTTTAAGGAAAACTTTCAGTGCTCTAATTTTTTTTTTTTGTAATTAGCTTTCACTTTTATGTTTACGATGTTTTATGGAAAATATATTATCAAGAAATTAAAATAAAACTTAAGAGTGAGATTAAATTTCATAAGAAAGGTATTAATTTATAGGTACCTTTCTTATGAAATTTTATCAGAAGTGTACATAAAATACTATAATTTTATGTACATTCATTACATTTTACTGTGTTATTTGTATTTCCATATTTTATTATTAATTTTGATATTTCATTCATGGAAAAATGTCATAACTGAGATTAATATAAAAATAAGATCATATAAATTTCATAAGATGATACTGATACTTATAGGTACCCTTCTCAGTTGAAATTGAAAAATCAAATTAACTTTTCTACACGTGTTTCGCAAAAGTAAAGACCTTAACAGCGGAGAACAATGCTTAACTCAAATAATGCAACTTAATTGTATTCTGGTTGGTCTTCCATACGTTATAATTACAGCCTGATTATAAACACAAAATTACATTTCTTAATTACTGCAGATCTTCTGATTAGTCAAAATGATACAATTTACAATGCGCTAAAAAAAAGATCTATCTCGTAAGGAGATTTAGGAAATCTGATGTGGCTTTTAACTAATTTTATAATATTTTTAAAAATTAAATGTAAAAATCTATTATAATTAAGAAATAACAAATAATTGTATTAAATAAAAAAATATTTCTGCCATGACTTTAATAATAATAAAAAAAAAGCATATTTATAATAATTTCAATCATCTGTGAATAGTTCCTGAAAGTTTCATTAACACTGACAATTATTTATATTTTTGCAAAATTGTCTATGCTATTTATTAGTGTTGCTGATACAAAGAGAAACAAGGTTTTTTTTAATCAAAATTTAGAATGTTCTAAAAAGAAAGAAAAAATTTTACAAAATAATTAAAAAAAACTTTGGTCTTTCCTCTTAATAACATAAGCATTTAGACAATAAAATTTTGTTTTCGCCAAGGCTGGCGTCTTTTACATCAAGCTATGCTCTTTTTTTAGCAATTTTGTGTAGGTACTGACATATACATAACCATTAAAAAATGATTGAAAATTAACGGTGATTAATTTTTCGAGACATTATTCCAAATTTGTCTTTAAGTAATATTTTTTGGGTTTTTATCAAAGATTGTATGGAACTGAATTTGAAATTCTCATGTGCACTTGTAAATTTCAATGATTATCAAATGTCAAGACAGAAATCTGTTGACAATGTCAAGATGGCCAAAAATGAAAACAAATTTAACAGAAGTTTCTTTTACTTTGTTCAGGTGTGACTAAAAAGTAATAATCAATCATTTGCAATGATTTAGGTGTGAAATATACAAATGGAAAGGAACAAAAGAAAGATTCACTTTGTTAAATGTGTCATCGTAGTAGAATAAAATTCAAATTTAGAAAAATGCTTAACAATAAAAACTATTAATGCACATATATGTAAATAAAAAGAAGAAAATGATTTTTTTTTTTTAATTAAAAACACAGAAAATAAATACATATAAAGTTTGATCTGATAATTTATTAATCAGAGAGATTTGATTACTTAATCATTATTTTTAAGTGAATACTCGTATTTGAGTAGACACTCCATCTTATTTATTAAACAGTATATTTATTTTCATCTACCAGCCTGAATGTTCAAGAAATCTTATTTTTCTATTAGATTTCTTGAAACATTCAGGCCAGTAGACGAAAATAAATAAATAAATAAATATACTGTTTCAAAAATAAAATGGAGTGTCTACTCAAATACAGGTATTCACTAAAAATAATGTTTAAGTAATAACATCTGTGTGTGTTCTTTTTCTAGCTATTTCTTATAATACGGAAAAGTCTATTTATCAAGAACAACTTTTTTTTTTGGACATCAAAGAATATATTTTTCACAATACAGAAAGACTTCATTAATAATTCTATAAAAGAAACATTTCAGTAATCAATAAACACAAACATTTTTAAATTTTAATTTGAGCTTTTTTTCCCCCCCCTTTCAAGAATTGTTGACTTTATGGATAATTGGTTTATTTTTAGAATTCTTAAATACTTTTGGCTATATTGCTTATTTTACTCTTGAAAATTGTTTTAGTCTAGTGAAAGTTTTGTGAATAAGTGAAACTTATGGATGTAGCAGGAACTGTAAAAGGAACAAAAAAACATGAACAAAAGGGAGATAACTATGTTTTTTAGCACTGATACAACTATATTAAAATCTGTGCATATACATTGATTGATCAACTGAAACTAGGATAAATTTCTGAAATTAAATATATTTCTATTATTTTTTCATGTGTTCACAGAAAGAGGAAAATAATTCATAATCTACCTAAAGAAGCTTGGGTAAATGAATAGCAGAGCAAGGTTTAGGAGAAATAACAAAAAGACAAAATTTATTAAGAACTACAAAGAACATGAAATTGACGAGAGCCATTATCGCCAATGACTTGAAGAGACATGGCACATAGAAGAAGAAGAATGATAAAATTTAATAAATATTGGCCATGAATACTTTTCCAAAGATTTTAATAAATAAGTATATGATTTACTTTTGACTTACCATAACTTAAAAGCAGTAGTGGCAGAATTGTTGGCTAAGGCAGGATCTGCTGCAGCCATTGATGTAGGAACATAGAACATGGGTTGGTTGCCTTGTGAATGCAGACTTCCTTTCATTTCCTTAAGGAATAACTCATGATGATATAAGTCACGAAAATGAACTGCTTCTTTGGTTTGCTGGTCTTTATGAGATAAAGCTGTTTCATAATTAAGTCTCAGTTGCAAAATCTCCTCCTAAAACAAGATGGAAATCAGATCAATGACAAAATTCAAACTGGACTCAGGGTTAAATCTATTATAAACAAGGAAAAAATATAAAAAAAAATTAGTAATGGAAAATAAAAAAGTGTAAGAAAATAAATATTATAATTATCTATGTTTGTCTATTATTTGTACTTATTTTTAAAGGAAGTCAGAATGTTTATGAAAAAATTGTTACATTGTGTTTGTAAAAATTCCTTTTTATAGAATTGGCAATTAAAGAACCAGAATTATTTGTCGAGGTGGAGTGTTTCTATGTGGTGTGGCCGGGGCCTGCTATCTTTGGTCAGGATCAATCCTGGTATCAGAGAACAAGCCATCAGCCCCACACTCGTCGGTCATTGGTGGCGTTTGACACTGCAGTTGGTCTTTAAGTTGACCTCTTCAACTATGACCTCTCTTACCCACATTGTGATTTTTTGATCTTAAGAGAGTCAAGCTGAATTATCACAGGGGTATCTCAACCAAGCTAAACCAAGGAGTTGAATACGCACAGGCCTGAATAAGTCACTAGATGATATTTATATAAAAAAAAAAAATATTTACAGTTCTTTTTTTTTTTCCAACCCGTTTCTAATATTTGGCGACAGAATGAAAATTTCGGCTAACTTCTCTAAGGGTGGCCAGACTTGACAACTGGATTTATCTTCAAGTACTGTTGATTGTACTTTCAAAGACAGCACAAGGATATTGTCAGAGTTTTTCTTCTTCAGCAGATTATTATTATCATTAGGTTGGCAAAACAGCGTAATGGCAAAAAAAATCTCTTAACTCCACATTCGTGCAGCTCGCTGCAACTCCAGGCCGCAACTTTAGCCCCCATGGACACTTGTATTTATGGGTGTCCCTTTCAATTGGTATAGTGCAGGTGCATAAGGGGGGTTTTATGCAAATCTCCTAAGATTCAACCAGTCTCCTTTCGTTTTCTGTTTCACACTTCCAATTTTGGAAGATTCCCCCCTCCTCCAAGAGGAGCCATTATATGACGTCAATCTTCCTGAACGTCACCTTCTTTCATTCTCTGTTTCACACTTCCAATTTTGGAAGATCCCCCCCTCCTCTGGGAAGAGCCATTATATGATGTCAGTCTTCCTGACATCTCCCTCAATTGCTCATTCTGTCTTCACAATTATAATTTTGTTTCTCAGAGAAATTTTGGTTAATAATTTTCCCAGTATGTAGACATTGACACCTTTCAACATTGACTTTGACCTATGGCCCCTGAACCTGCCAGTTGTGTCTTGCCGGATAGTGAAAATTGTATTTTGAATTTTTTTTTTCAGCAGAATTCGTACATTTGTTCTCAATATCCTGGGGAAAATGAATCCCTTTCTGATAAAAAAAAAAAAAACAAACCTTTTTCATCCATATGCCATGTTAAATATTGTTACATCAGATTCATTTTTTTTTTTTTTTAAGAAAATGTGTACTATTTTATTTATTATTTAATCAATAGTGTGGGCTTATGCCCTTGTAAATTTGAAGTTTCCTATATAAAGAGACTGGCCAGCAGATAAGTAGCAGAATGTAATCAAATTTCAAGGTCAAAGGTGGTTTCAAAGCAGAAGGGAGTGATAAGTCACACAAAGTGACAGAGCCAGCTGGCTGGAGAAGATTTCAAATAGGGGTCAAATCTTCAAACAAGAACCAAATATTTCAACCAATATGAACTGTCATAAAAATTTCATTCAGAAGACAAAATAAAGATTAAGACGGGAAATCAATTTTTGGCTGCCTCCTCAGCAGAATTTGCAAAAAGAAACAGAAACTTGTTAACAGAACCTTTCTATAAAAGAAAAACTAAAAAGTTGTTCTAATCTTGGTAGTTCAAAAGTACCTTTAACTCCCTTCTGATTGTTTTTTTTGGCCTTTCTATTATGTGGGTAAACCTCTTTTTTCCAAAAAGTATTTTCTGCCTCATTCAAAATTTGCATAACCTTTTCAATGTTTTTTTTATTTTTCAGAGATTGTTTTAAAATCTTTCAAAATCCTGCTTTATTTTTTTTTAAATAATCTACACAAAAGGCCATCTTGTAAAATATTGTATTTGTTTTATCATTTTAATATGTTTGTTCTTTTAAATTTCATTAGTCAAGAGTTTTGTTAGTTTACATTTTTTTTTAATATTCAGGAAAAGAGAGTGGATGTTCTCTCTTCTTCCATTCCTTCCTAGGAAAAATAAATTTTCTTTTAATAAGGAGAAGTCTTGCATATGTTTGCCCGCTCCATCCCCTCAAAATGTCATACAAATTTATTATTATTTGGCTGAACTCTTTATTTAAAAAATAAGTAATTGCAAATCATTAGTTCTTTTTTTTTTGCCTCCCCCCACTTTTATCTGAAAACAGGATTTGTTTGACAGATGTTCACTGGGTAAATAATAAAGAACAATCAGAAAAACATTTGATTTATATATTGCTTTTCCTTCTGTAGACTTACTGCAAATATATAAAATCATTGAACATCTTTAAATATATTACAGAGGTTAATCAAATTGGAAGAAAGTTAACACAAGTACAGATTTCTTATAAAGCAGATTTGATGTAATATCTACAATCAGCAGAAGCGTGGAGATAGAAAAAGAAATTTTGCACTTCTTACCTGTAATTTATTTTTTTCTGCAGTTAATCGATTTTCCTTCTCGGCCATTTTCACTTCATATTCTTGATGTTGCTGCTCCAGGTAACTGTTTACTTCTTCTAATTTCTTACCCAATTCGGTCCGCAGGTAAGAGTCGAGTTCTGATTGGCTTGGTAAAGTAGCCGTCTTCCAATTTGAAACAGAAAATATTCTCTAAATTAATTTCTACTAGATTTTTAAAAATGTGACAATAGTTATGGTCATGCAATGTTATCCGAGAGAGGCAAAGAGCTTTTTTTATCTTTACATTTTTAAATAATTTCATATATCAATCAATTTCAATATGTTCAAATTTGAAGCTATCAGAAACAATCAAAGACTAATGATATTCCCCTCCTCCCCCACAAAAGAAATAGCATTATCTCATTACACATTATAATCAAGATGATTTATGTGAACATTTTTCTATGTGAATTTCAGAAAAGAAATTGATATTTCTAGTTTTTCTAAATGCAAAAATGTTAATTATGAAGCATCAGATTCTCAAACAGTAATTCTCTTTGCAAGTTTTTATATTTTCAAAAGAGTAAATCCCACATTGCTGACAAAGTTAACCTTGAAAAAGACATCCAATCAGAAATGGCTTGTAAATTTTAATGCCTCCAAAACGAAACTGCTCTCATTTTCTCACCAAAGAGAAACCTACCTGCCTCCTATCAGCATGGCTGATGCTCAACTTCATGGAGTGTCTCTCTGTGCCTTCTTGGTCTCATGTTTTCCAATGACCTGATGTGGAACAACTATGTTGAATCAATAACAACATCTATTGCAAGGAAAGTTGGTTCTCTGTGTCACACCAGAAGGTTTTTTTTCGTCCGAGTCCATCCTTCAAACCTACAAATTTATCATTCGTCCTTGTATTGGGTTCTTGACAAAATCCAAAGACGGATATGCAATGTGATAGGTTCTGATTTGGCATCTTTGACTCCAGTCACGTTCTCATAGATGTGATGTGGTTTCTCTGTCTTTTCTTCAAATATTTTCATGGTAACTGCTCTGATGAGTTATTTTCACTGGTGCCCAAAACAACATGAATTTAAGCGTGCTACTATGTTGGCATGTCAGTCCCACCCTTTTACTGTCAAAACAGTTAAATGTAAATGCCTTGCTTGGGGTGAAATGCTTATTAAAAAAAAAAAAAAAAAAAATGAATTTAATAATCATGACTTATGAATGCAATTTTTCTTTTTGTTTTTTGCCAGGGTAGATATCAAAAATCAAATAATTGCAAACATTTTTATCCTTTGACTGTTTTATCCAAATAACAATCAAAAGAATGAATTTCTCAAAGGCAAATAATATAAGGATGCCAAAGAGAAAATAATCAATTGTAGAATTGAATAGTTATTCAAAATTTAAATATGTCAATCATTTGGATATATATCTAATTTAGTACAAGTATTTACTACAATATTATCTTGATTAGATGAAGCAGTGACTGTTATAATTCTCTATTAGTTCTGATTGGTTAAGCACACATTCAGGTTACACCCTGCCAATACCTTATAAATAATGGATTATTCCATTTTAATCAAAAGGGTAGACAGAAAAGACAGAGACACTGTTTAGTTTCAGTGAAAGAAAGAAAGAGGAGGCAATAATGCACTCATCCGTTCAACATTTGCTTCAGTGAAATGGAAAAACATCTGAGTTTTTAAATTTTTTTCATTTGTACCCTCTTACTTCTTTAAATAATGACCTGTATACATACTTATGATTATTATTGTAATATTTTGTTAAAGTTAAGCTCAAATATTTAACAAAGTAATCGGGAAATTTCTATGGGTATTTTGTAGTCTTAAAACTTGCAAGGAGCTTATTCAATCATTAACTTAAGAATTATAATTCATCAAAAAATTAAAATCACAAAACCATGAAATTTTCATGGGCATTGCTAGTTGTTTTTAATTTTTGACTTTCATCCTAATTTAAACATTGCAGACCAGAAATTAACAAAGAATAAGCTTTCAGCAAGACTTGAACTTCATTTTTGTTTATCACAAAAAGTCAACTGTTTATTTATGGTTGGAGGATGATGATCTGAATAGATACGATAAAAAGCAACTGAATTTCAAACATAAAAATCAATAATGGATGACAATACTTATAATAATAATAATAATGTTCAAGATAATATTACTGTGAAGAGTGTGATGGTATGTAAACACATATCAAAGATGGATCATTTGTAGGAAAAAGATGGTTTTTGTAACTCATGGGGGTAAGGAAGTTGTTATAGTAAGACAGGTTTCAAAAGGAGAGAGAAGAAAAGAAGGAAAGAAAGAAAAAGGAGAGAGAAGAAAAGAAGGAAAGAAAGAAAAAGGAGAGAGAAGAAAAGAAGGAAAGAAAGAAAAAGGAGAGAGAAGAAAAGAAGGAAAGAAAGAAAAAGGAAAGAAAGAAAAGGAAAGAAAGAAAAAGGAAAAAAGAAAAGGAAAGAAAGAAAAAGCAAAAAAGAAAAGGAAAGAAAGAAAAAAAGAAAGAAAAAAAGAAAAGGAAAGAAAGAAAAAGGAAAGAAAGAAAAAGGAAAGAAAGAAAAAGAAAAAAAAAAAAGGAAAGAAAGAAAAAGGAAAAAAAAAAAAGGAAGGAAAGAAAGAAAGAAAAAAGAAAGGAAGGAAAGAAAGAAAAAAGAAAGAAGAAAAAAGAAACAAAGAAAGAAAGAAGAAAAAAACAAAGAAAGAAAAAAAGAAATGGATGCAACCTAAAAAACTTTTTTATTTATTTTTTATCCTCACGGTTTACTGATGGTGGCTATAGAATGACAGCCAAAGAACTTGCAAGAAAAGTCTTCAGTGTATTTGACTCCAAATTATTTGACCCATTTAATGCAAATGACCTATGCTTAGATAAATGAAGTAACATAATGTAGCAATGGTGAATCTAATAACAACCTCTCTTGACCAATAATTAACACGAACGCTGTAGGATTGAAAAATAAGGTTGACATAGTTAATTATTTTGAAAACTTGGCACTAATTAATAATTCAGATACAAATGATGACACAGAGTTGAAGACAAATTAAAAAAATCTATTAAGTGTAATTTACCTTCTCTTGACCATAAAAATGACATAAATGTGTAGATATTTAAAATGAGCAGATAATTGATGACTGATCCTTTGTTGAACAAATATGAATTTCTTTACCCAACAGAAGTAATTGGATTCACCTATATTACTAAGAATAGCATTGTGTGGCTCATGTTGCTGGTAATGAATTAAACTGGTTTGTATATTGTCCAATTCTCCCCCCTCCCCACCAAAAAAATTGCTTTCTTGTACACCTTGAAGAATGTATAGACCAAAAAATTGAAGCAATGCGAAAGACGAGTTCAATAGTCTAAACAATTCAGGGAATGAAAAGGACACTTTTCGAAACTATACAGAATAGATTAGAATAAAGTCCAGGTTTGAATTCAGAAAATAGAGTCAATTTACAAAAGATCAGTGACTATTTTAGCAGTTTTCATTCATCTTTTGTCTAATATATAATATTTGGATATAGTAATTGTAAAGAGATAATTGCTGCATTTATATGTTGCAGAGAGAGAGAAAAACATTAGAAAGATACCAGACTTTCTGGAGTTGACAATGGGATTTATATTAAGCAATGCCTAGTTCATACATTGTCAAATATAGGTATAACATTTCAGGAGTGTCCTTAAGTTTCAAAGAAAACTTGCAATTCATTAGTGGATCCAGGTGACTCTGCAAAACATGTCTGGACACACAGAGCCTGAAGCAATTGGGACACTGGTTGTGACCAATGACAAAGTTACACAGGGGTATTCTCTTGAATATGTTATGGGGTTTCTTTAAAGTTTGCAAAGGTTTGTTGGACAATGGCACACTAACAAATTTAGTTGGCAGCACACACTAATTCCTTTGGTCTGATCTTTGCACCAGTGGAGGTTAGTTTTGACTATCTTTGTATTGTTTCTTTGCTTGGCCTTGATGTCTTCTGTCACATAGCAATGGTTTTTACAACAGGTGTCTGGGAATGTGATGTTGCCCCATGTAGATGATGTGTCTAGTCCATTGGACTTGTGTCTTGATAAGCATTGATTCGATTCAATGCTGGTCAAGTTCGCTGGTCAAGTTCGCAGTCCAAAATTTCAAAGTTAGTGATGCGATCCTGTAACGTGAAGCAAAGAGATTGCACATGGAACTTGCCAATTTTTTGATGTGTCTGCAGTGCAAGGTCCACGTTTTGTATCTACAGCAGAGAGAAGGAAGGACTACTGTGTTGTACACTTTCAGGCAGTTTTATATATATATATATATATATATATATATATATATATACACACTGCAGAAGTAAAACTTCAAATTCTTTTTCCAGAAAGGTAATTTCTCAGCTCAACACACCTCTCAGAAATCAGGATTTCAATGACCAAACATAATATTTTTTTTTTCTTTCAGAAGGCTGAAAGAACTTAAGAAATGAGATAATAAAAGCGTCTCAGCTTCAGTCACTTTTTCACCACTGTAAAGTTGCTTCTCTCTGCCTTTTCTATAAATACTTTCAGGGTAATTGTTCAGGTGAGATCTTTGCTATCGTACCTAGACTTTAGGAATTTAAGTGCAGCACTAGATTGGCAATAACAGTCGAAATGGCTCGGATGTAACCATAAGTTCTATGTTAAGTTTCATTTGTGGAACTTTTTTCGGTTTTTTGCTTTCCAGTCAAGTTTGATCTTCAAAAATTTAAATGCAATGTCACTCATCTGTCTTCCCGATTACTCTTCTATTTTTCTTGCTAGTCAACAATGCTTGTTTTCTAATTCCCTCACACCCAGTAACCCCTCGTGTCTTAGTGGCTTTGCTGCCTTGCAAGGGGTGAATTTGATGAAAAAAAGAAAAAAAAGTGTGCTGAACATATGGAATAGGTTTCATTGCTGTAGGCCATTCTTGGTTTGGCCCAGAAATTTTCAGTATCCCCTCATAAGTCAGTTACTTTAAATTCCAACTAATATTATTGCAGTCATATCCATAAAGTTTGAAGTTTTAAAAAAAAAATTAGAAACAAATTGCAATAATTGTATTTCTCTTTTAAATTTTATTTTAAGGATGATCTGTCAAATACTTACTGGTTGATATTTCTCTTCGGCAACATGAACTGGCTTTGTTGGTAAAGATGATGAAAGCTTGGTATCAACCTGTAAGTAAAAATATTAGTAATTGTTTAGAAATTGAAAAAAAAATAAGTTATTTCTAGTAAATATAAATATAGCAATAAGTATTAGATTATTGTTCTTTTTAGGTGAAAGCAATATTTCTAGAATTTAAAGAGCTATATGGGCTTTTAACAAGAGTTACAAAACCATCCATGGATACAAAGTATCAATATAATTTCAGCGAAAATTCATTCGGGAAAAATCATCTTAAAAGTGTTGGAGACAATAGAGAGGTGGTGGTCTGTGGACCAGTGCCGGTATGCAAACCATCAGCTACTGGTATCCAGCCAGTGTCCAGGCCATGCTAAGGAATCATTTGAAGCTTATTTTTTTATTAATTTTTAAGTGTTTTCATATTGAATTATTTTTTGCAAAATAAATGGAAGATAAAAAAAAACAGTCAACTTTTATTATATCCATTATATATATCATTTCAAGTATAAATTAATATTACCACAAAATATTACAGGTATGTGACATATTGAGAAAAAAAAATGTCAGTCTGCCATATCAGATAGTTTTAATAAAAGCCTGTAATTTCCAATCAATCAGAGCATTCCCAATGATAAAATTGTGAAAATCCTTAATACTTAACAACATTAATCTATACTTGCATAAGAAAAGTTCCTCTTCTTGAGTATTATTAAATTATCATTTGGCACAGAATTTTTTTTTTTTTTAAAGTGATGCTTATGAAGTTTAGAGACAAATTGTATAAATAATTTGTGTGTGCATGTATATACATATACACACACACACACACACTTAATTTGTTTAAATGTTATTTTTAATGAATACTCATTTTTTGTTTTTATTTATTAATCAGTATATTTATTTATTTACATCTGCCACCCTGAATATTCAAAGAGTGAATGTTTTTCTAACAATTTTTGTAAGACTAAAATATTGGAGCAACATAAAAGATGAGTCCAAACAATGACAAGGACATTTTTTTTTTTCAAAACTATACAATGTACATAGGAGTAAAGTCTAGGTTTGAATTCAGAAAATAGGATCATTAACTCAATTTTAGCTGTTTTCATTCATCTTTTGATTATATTTAAAATTCACTTTTTTTTTCTTTTCTAATATATATCTGGCTGGAAGATGTCTAATGAGAAAATTTTGGAAGTTAAAGACAGAGTGTATATTGTTTGAAAATTATCCCTATCATCTAATAAAAGGAAAAAAGAAATCTTTATTATTTCTTGTGTTTTACTTTTGCCTAAAACAGAATGTTATGCTTTGAAAACAGGAAATTACTTTTAGCTAATCTCTGTTATAATTATGTAAATTCTTACTTCTGCTTCTACTAACTGTTAGCTCTTCCTATAGTCATCACTTGATAGTGATGACTAGAGCACTGTGTAGGAGGTGGATTGTTGCATAGGCTTTGGGTGTGGTCATCCAGTCAAATTGCCAGTTCTGCTATGCGTAATCATTTTGGGTAATGTCCTATATAGAAGATGTCTCAAGATACACTGTAGATTTTAGAAGCTGTCTGCTCTTAAACATTATCTCATAGATTTTTTAATTTTTTTTTTCATACTGAAAACTAATGTACACAAGTCCAAAGAATTTTGTTGTCAATGAAATGACCCCTGAAGAATTTTTTTTATGTAGGTTAGAAAATTTATCTGCATTTCTGAACAGCTTCTATTCCTCTGATGATTCTTTTGCATGCTTGCAAATATATGAAAATCTGATGTCGTCCATCATTCACCTAGATATTATTGGTCTGGATTTTACAAAGCCTTGGAAATACAGTCAATCTGACATCACACTGACAAATACAACCTTTTTGGTCATTAACCTAGTGTTTATCTTATTTCAGGGGAAAATAAATCTTGGATTGTTTTCGACTTTAATATTAGCAAAGTAATTATGTTATAATATCTTAGAATCTAAATGAGTTTTTTATGATCTTGTCTTTGAAATGTTTGCTTACCAAGCTTTCCAATTTTGGTTCAAAATTTTAAAGTGTTTATTTAACTTTGTCCCATTTTGAAAGAAATGTACTTTCTCAACTTGACCTCAGCATAATTTACCAAAACAATTTTCCTAGAGAAAGCAGATGACCTACCTAGGCACAGCTCATCAAACTCACAAAGTCTTGGAAACAACTCTCAAAGTTTCAGTCTTGCTGATTAAATGAGTTACAATGATTTTCATTGAATCCATTTGAAAAGACATCATATACTGGTCATTATTATTATTTAAAAATGTTTCCTGGTTGTTCTTCTAAGCAAAATGCATAGAACCAATTATCTTTATCAATGATGTCAGAAACAAAAAGTTTTCAGTTGAGACAATGAAAGAAATATCAAAATATTTGAGAAATGACACAAAATCATTTCTTATTAAATACTTATAGCGAAATTATTATAGAAAGTTGAGCAATATTGAAAATGATCCAATGAATATTTAATTAAAAATTATGATTATTCTGAATTGAAAGAATGTGGAACTTCAGTTCAAAGACTAGAAACGATGAAGACAACAAAATAGTCACACTATAGAAAAGCATGAAAAAAAGCAAAATAATCAAATTAGGAAGTCAAAATATTTATGTTTCATAACATTGTGACACTATGATTGAGACACCCACATACAAGGAGATGGTGCGTGTGATTTTATTCTGGTTTCAAGTGTTTTCTGACCAAAGATAAGGTCTGTGAACTAGGGTCTTCCAGGAAGTCAACCAATTGACCAAAAGAGAATAAATAGATAAAAACTTTTAGGAACATGTAACAACAAACCAGACATCAAGGATTTCTAATCACAGGCTTATGTTAACAGTCAGTTGGGGTAGAGGTGGTTGAGTTGTGGACCACCCATTAACAGGGACAGATTGTCCCTCAGGATAGTTCCAATGCTACCTATCAGAGTTACCAGTCACACATTGTGTCAGGTGGAGATTTGGTAGGAGAAAGTTAAGATTTTCACTGGTTGAGGGGTAAAAGTTGATCTGTTTGTCTAATATGGCAGAAGTTATCCTCAAGTGTCACATGCTTACCCACCTAGACCCATGCAAATGAATCCCTACATATATTGGAACCAGCGTTTGAATCTACATTTCTTCATTTCACCTTTCATTTTCTTGTGTGTAGTGAGCCTTACCCACTTATTTGGGGCACACTAACACGAACAAGGATAGAGATGCAACGTGAGGTTTTGTGTCCGGTCAGTGAACAGTTGGTGGAGGGACCCTGTTGTACATTTACAACATTTCTGATAGTCTTCAATATTGCTGACATGGACAAACATTGTTAAAGCAATTTTAAGTTAGAGAAAAAGAAAATGGATGAATCTATTTCAAACACAGAGAAAGAAAAAAATGAAAATTTTATTAAAAATTCTGTTTAACGTGAATAAGCCAACAAATGAATGATCAATGTATCTGCAAATGATTGTTATTATTTTATGTTATACTATCACTTTGCAAAGTAAGATATATTCACTACTTGAAATCTTTGAAACAAAAATGTTAAATGAATATTTAATTCATAAATTGGCTTGTTATAGTTAAGGAAAGTTTTACAAATAGATGCCTATTTGTTGAAGGCCAAGTAAAATGCAAATTTCAAACATTTTTCTGCACTATGTAAGACGATATTCCTAAACAGAACTAATTTTGACATGAAAATCAAAATAATCCTTGAATAAAAGAACAGTAATAAAGGACAGTTAATTAATGAAATAAATTTTTTAAAAATCAATATGCAAATTAGTTGAACCTGAAGAGTGATATTGCTTAGAAGTAGATAATATATAATACAGATATTGAGCATTTAGCATGTAAATTACTATAAAGTAGAGCTATGGCTTTATAATCTTAGAATTTGTGGGAGAATTGAGCTCCAATTTCGTGTTTATTCATATAGATTCCTTAGGTTTTACTTAATTAGCTATTATGTTTCTCTAACTCTTCAAATGTTGAATGTATAACTAATTCTAATTTCTATTTTCCCATCTTTACACTATATTAATTTTATCTTACAAATTGTCCTGTTCTGTCACCCATGAAATAATAATTGTACAGAAAGTAAGGATCAATGTACATCAAATTGTCTTTAAATTAAGTGGCAGCAGAGGAATTATCATTGAACTTTTAAAAGGTAAGCTTAAACATTAATTCAATACTTAAATGACAGCAATCATTTTTGAGTTCTTCTGTAGTATATTGATGCCTATCACATCTACTCCTCCCTAGGTATTGTGATGATGACCAAACCAAGAGTCCGCCACAGGAGCTAGCTTAAATGCCACACGATAGGGCAGCTTTTAAGCTAGTTTATAAAACATGTAGAACAATTTTGGACACAAAAGGAAAATAAGGGTTAATCCCCTTGAACCATGAAAGCAATGATGATGGCTAGTATAATATATTAATATAAATCAGACCAGTGGAAATGGAGGAGTTGCTTGTACACACACAAACACACATACATACATACATTGTACTTTATATATAAGATTTAATGTCTGAAATTTTATCAAGATTAGAAAACTATCAAGATGCAAAGAGAATCAAGTATAGAGCAGCTAAGGTTAATAAGTGCAGAAATGTATCCATATAGAAGTCTAATTGGGTAGTAAACTGGTTGATATGTAACCGGGCATTGGAAGAGATTGGAACTACATTGAGAGAAAGTGCTGAACAGTAAAAGGTTGTAATGTTTAAGTTGGCATTGAATCAAGATGAGATGTAAAAACATACCCATTGCATTTTCTTTTGTATTTTTGACTTTGTGTTTATTATTTCATATTGGAGTATATGGTTTCTGGAAAATAAAAGAAAATGATGAAAACAAAAACACTTTAAAAAATTATAGGTGTTTCTCAGAAAAAAAAAACAAAAAAAACAAAAAAAAAACAAACATTTAAAAAAATTAAACAGGAAATTGCTAAAAAGGCGGAATTCTCATAAGCATTTGGGGTCCTTATTATTTTTTTTATAGCAAAGAAAAAACAAAGCAACAACAACATAGAAGCTGCTTCATGTATTTTAATTTGAGAACTGTCTTCAGGAGTTGATCTTGGTCTTCAAAATATCAGTAGTAAATAGAACTTCAGAAATGAAAATAGTACAAATGATTTAACATTAAGTGGATGTTGAAATTTAGATCATAAATCTAAAAGAATTTAATCTGATCAGAAAAAAGTCATCTTACTTTTCAACTTCATCTTCCAACAGGACTTCAATTGCTTTCTGACGTTCGACTGCCTCCTTAGATTTATGCTTTTCCTGTAACAAAAGTAAATTCTAAATAACAACTAGTTATATATTTAGGTGATTTTATTAATTGACACTTTATTAAAAAAAAAGTCTCTTTCTAGATTCTTCAAGAAACAGTACCATTGATATTTTGGCAGTATTATTCTTGAAAGATCTTTTACTGGCAGGTGGTTTATGTTTTTGTGATTTTAAAATTAACACTCTTCCTTTTATAGAGATTTTATTTTGAATTCTATAATAATTGCAAATAACAAAAGTTGTAGATTAAATTCTGATTTTGTGTTGACACATTTTCTAGATTTTTGACAAGACAAGTAACCTGAAATTTTAGATAGTGCCTCGTTGATTTTCTTACAGCTGTTATTGTTATTGCACAATAATTTGTTTATTACATCTATATGATGTTAATTGGTTTCAGAATTATTTTTATAGCAAAGATTATCTAGTGAAAATTAATTAAACAAAGGTTACTTTTAAGAGAGTCTCATCCATTCCATCCATCACCATATTGGTGGGAATCAAATCCTTAAAATAGTGTGTGTGTTCACACACGCACATATATATAAACAATTATTGCTTAGTGTGTGTGTGCCTGTTTATATATTTATATAAACAATTATTGCTTAGTGTGTGTGAGTGTGTATATATATATATATATATATATATATATATATAATGAAATGAACTAAATCAACAAATATTTTAATATATTTTATTGTTATAAGTTATTTATATGAGCACAAATATTTAAGTAAATGCTCTGTTTATAATAAACAATATTAACAACATTTACTGAACTTATTAGCTGAGCTATCACTTTCAAATAACCACTTTTTGGTGTGTGTGTGTGGGGGGAAGCAACATCCCTTGGTTGATCAGGGGTTCTAACAAATTCCAGATATTAGAAAATCCCTCAAATATGAGAATTAAGTAAAAAATTATCCACACTTTTGCCATAACATATCATTAGATTTGTCACACTGCTCATGTGTGCTTATAGTTTGTACTATTGTAGTCGATCAAATTTTGAGCTTGATTGCACTAGTTTACTTGCTGCTGTTACAGTGTAAACATGGACGCTCTGCTAGCAGTGTGCACCAAGGAACAAAGAACATGTTTAGATTGTAACAGCAGCAAGAAAACTGGCCCAATCAAGCTCAAACTTTGATCACATGACCACAATAGTACCAGCTATAAGCATGCATGAGCAGAAGACATTGTGACAAACTGCACCCCAGGTGACTATATGAACTAGTCCATAATTATAAATAAAGAGCTCCAGGTTAGAGGTAAGAAAAGAAAAGCTGTTTGGAGTCATTCAGACTAATTAATACAGGCATCACAGCAGGTAGCTGAAGCATTACTTATATTATAACTGCAGCAACAAGGGATTCAAAACTCAGGTGATTTATAACCGTTCTTATGACTTATAACAGTAACAAGGATTCAGGAACTAGAACTAGAGTCACAAGTATGGAAAGAAAAATATATGTGTTGCTTTGGGAACAGGTGATGACAAGAATTTCAACCACATTGGCTTAAAAAAAAATTTTTTCTCTTGAGTGTAGGAAAAAAAAAAAACATACTTGTGAATATGGAGCAAATTTTGGCTTCATTAGCTAAAATTCAACAACAAAATCAACAGTTGATAGAAATTTGACTAAAAACAGAAACAAGAGTTGTTGGATATAATTCTGAAGAAAACAAAGATTCTTCAGCATCTCTTATGCCAGACGCTGTCCAAAATACCCATATCAGAATTTGTATACAATCCTGATGTGGAACTTTCTGCATATTTTTGTAGATAAACATATATTCAGTCAGGATTGGGAAGATAAGTGATTGTTACTGAAGAAAATAGCTCTGATAGAGTATGAAAAATACATATATAACTACATATTACTGGTTTATTTATGGTACAAGCAAAGGACAAATGTACAAAAAGGAGAAATCCTAATTTCAAATGTGGTAAATTACATCTTGGAAATGACTGACCACTGAAAAAAATGTGGTAAATGAGGACATGTAAAGTCACACTGCAAAACCAAACCAAACCAAGAAAAAAAATTCTCATTGGAAGAAATTAGTACACAGTATTCTCACGGAAATTTTTTTTTTTTTTTGTGGGAGAAATGACTTGCAATGTCTCATTTTGTAATAAGCATGTAAAAAAATAAAAGCTTATGCATTAAAAAATGCTACAAATTTATTCTGAACTGACAGGATAGAATTATTTGAACTTTGGAATTTGCTGATAAACTTTTATTATAAAAATGTAAGTGGACAAGTGACCAATTTAACCTTTACAACTCTGCAGGCATACATACCACCAGCAATACGCTTTCTCAATTTTTTTCCAGTTGACATGTTCGTCTAGTGACAGAGACTTGTTTCAAAGGGAAAGTATGTTTCTAAAAATAATCTATTACTATGGAAATGACTTCATTAAGCTTGTGATATGAACTGGGAATGACCGAATGTCAACCATTTTGTCCCAATTGAAATAGTTATTTTATTAGAAAATTATAAAAAAAATGTTTTAAAAATGTTTGTTTTTTGTTCACAATTGTGACCGCTGGGGCAAGGCGTGGATCTGTTACCTCAATAGAGGAACTTTTCATGGACAGTGAGAGTAGCAAAGAAGAATTTCTCACATTTACCCATGCAGATATTGGTGATGTGTGTGACAATGAGACTGAAAGTGATTTCGACCAAGAAGAAGGAATTTTTGAACCATCACAAGCATACAATCACCCATGACTACCAGAGTTTTCCTATACTCCTGGACCTACAAATGTAATCAAGAAGCTAGTGAGATAGACATGTTTCATCTTTTTTTATCTGATGAAATTATTCAATTAATCGTAGTGGAAACTAACCTGCATGTAAACAAAATTAGGTGACACAGCAAAGCCCAACTTGCAAATTAGAGCTTGGAAAAACATTTGCTTTGAAGAAATTAAAGCATTTTGGTCTCGCTTTTGTTGATATGTTTGACAAAGTGACCTTTGTATTTGTCTTACTGTACAACAAACTCCCTTTTTATATATGCAAGGCTTTCACAATGAGTAAGAATTGTTTTTTTTATAAATTCTGTTGGATTTTTTTTAGTTTTCATGTTTTTTTTCTCTCAAAACTTATAAGTAAAGTAAATACGTCTACATTTTATACATTCTTTCATGCAAATACCCTGAAAATCTTATAACAATATCTCTAAAAGCCTAAAAGTTACAGTGTTAGTAATATACACACCATTCAAAAACTTGACACACTAATAATTAATATGGATCCAGGGGACACAACTCCGAAAGTTAGTGGGGATTTGTAAAAGGTTAAAAAGTTAGAGGGAAAATCTTAAGGAAGAATTTAAAAAAATGTTTTTCTGATGTTCGGTCAAATGAACTGGTTCGGTGTTCAAAATTCAAGGCAGATTTTCAAGTAAAAAATGTTTGACACCAGTATTTAAGCCGAAATGGAACGTACCATTCACAGCATTTGAGCAAGTCAACGAGGAGTTAGACACATTTGAAATAATTAGTGTAATAGAAAAAACAACCATTCAAAATGGGCTGCACCAGCAGTGTATGCAAAGAAAAAAAATAATAAAATTTGAGTTTGTGTGGATTTCTCAACAGGATTAAACTGTTGTTTAGAATCACATAACTACGCATTAACAAGTCCAGAGGAAATTTTTTCAAAGTTAAACGGCAGAAGAATATTTTCAAAGCTGTATCTCTCTGAAGCATATTTACAAATTTAGATTGAAAATGAATGTGCAGAATTAATGATCATAAATACTCACAGAGGATAATATAAGTTGAACTGACTTCCTTTTGGTATAAAGGTGGCATCAGCTATTTTTCAACCAGCTATGTATGCCATGTTTGCGGACTGTGATTTTGCAGTGGTGTATCTGAACAGCATTTTAATGAAAAGTGTATCTAAAGAGCAACATGTTGGGCATGTGAAAACAAGTGTATGGATTCAAACTCAGTGAAGAAAAAATGCGAATTGTTTTTTGCTGAAAATGAAATATCTTTTCAAATTATTGATAAAAATGGTTGTCAACCAGATCCGTCGAGAGAAAATTAAAAATATGCCTCCACCAACAAACATGACTATGTTACAAGATTTTCTAAGACTGCATAATTTGAGAGCTGCACTGAACGATCTACTTAAAAAAAGGAGTAAAGTGGAACTGGAATGATAAGTGCCAAAAGGCATTTGACAAAAAAAAAAAAAAAAATCTTATGTCAGGTTTATCATTAGCACACTATGATCCAAAAGCAGAAATTGTAGTGGCATCAGATGCTAATGAGTATGGTATTGGAGCAGTGATTTTACACAAATATGATGGTAATAAAATGAAAACCTTTGCTCATGCTTCCCCCTCACTTCTACCAGCAGAGAAAAATTACAACCAGATAGAAAAAAAGAGGCTCTATGAAATTTCTTCACAGTAAATATAATTGCTAAATTTGTTTGCAACCTAAAAGGCCTCTATTAACAACATATAGTTCAAAGAAAGGAATACCTATGCATATAGCTAATAGACTACAACGAAAGGTACCATCGTATTAATTTATGATTTTACAATGGTGTACTGTCTAAAAATTTAGGATATGTAAATGTATTATCAAGATTAATACTTAAAAATGCAGAACCATTTGAGGACACGGTCATTGCAGCATTAAGAAGTGAAATGGAAATAAAAAAGAATTTTGTACAATGTGTTACAATATGACATTGTACAATATGAGTTACCAGTTACCCTGGAAGAAAGAAAAAAAAAAAAAAAAAAAAAAAAAAAAAATCAATTGAAAGAAAGTAACAAAGAACAAAATCCAGACTTAAATGCTTACTCACTATGCAATGGTGTAGTTATATCCAGGCAAAGGGTTGTAATACTTAGTGTGTTACAGAAGTGAATATTGAAGGATTTTAATAGCAGACATCCTGGTATTTCAAGAATGAAATCCCTGATGAGAAGTTTTGTATATTGGACTGGAATAGACCAAAATATTGAAAGAATAGTGAAAGCAAAACTACCTATCACAAAGATAGAACCTTGACCAAAAAGAGAATGCCATGGTCAAGACTGCATATAGATTATGCAGGTCTTTTGAATGGATCATATTATGTTGTGGTAGTTAATGGCCGGAAATTTATAAGTGCAAACATCCAACATCTTCAGTGACAGTGAATTTCTTGCATGAACTGTTTGTGAAATATGGTATACCAGATTCCATAGTCTTTGATAATGGAACGCAATTCACAGGTAAAGAATTCAAAGACTTTTGTAAGATATTCTCCATTGAACAAATTATGACTCTGCTGTATCACCCAGGGTTGAATGGACAAGCAGAACGATTTATGGGAATGTTCAAAAGAGTATTGAAAAAAGTAAGTCATGTGAAAGTAAATAAGGAAGCAATATTTTCTGAGTGTTTACCAAGTAGCACCTAACACCAATACACCATCAGGCATGTTGCCAGTGGAATTAATGATGGCTAGAAAAGTAAAATTGGTGTTTGACAAGTTATTACCAAGTCAAAAAACAAAAATGGATAACAAAAATGAAACCAAAAGCTTCAAGGTCAGTGATAGTGTTCTTTAGAACATATAAGGAAGGCCAAGAAATGTGGGAAGATGGCATAATATCAGCAAGAATTGGGAAGTTGATTTACATGATAAAAGAGAAAAGATTTGAACATAAAAGGCACCATAGTCAGCTGAAAAAAATGGTTCATCGATGAAAGACCTGAAATATTGAAAGAACTGATAAAAATGCAATTTGAGGTTTTTGATGAGCCAGCACCATATGAAGTTGAGGAACCTAAAAGACCAAATTCAAGGAAATGAAAGTGTACTGAAGAACTGGAAGTGGAACCGAGATAGAAACACTACAAAGTCAAGTACATTGGTGAATTCTCTAGAAAGAGAAGGGGGAGATACTAAGGCTAATAAAAAATTTAAATATTTATAAAAATTATTAATCTCTAAAGCAGGGATGTTGTAGAGTAAATAGTACACCCCCAGTGACTATATGAACTAGTCCATATTTATAAATAAAGAGCTCCAGGTCAGAGGTAAGAAAAAGAAACCGTTTGGAGTCAGTCTTCAAACTAATTAGTACAGGCATCATTTATATTATAAGTGTTACAAAGCACGTTATAACACAAACCTAAAGATATGTTATGGTAAAAGTGAAGATAATTTTTGACTTATACTTCAACTTAAAACCAAGAGAGTTGTTTTTTTCCCCCTCTGACTTTCACAATTTACCTGAAAGGTGATGTAAAGTCAAGAAAATACTTTGACTGAACAATGATGTAATAAATTTATATGAATAATAAAAAAGAAACTTAAGTATTTTGTATCAACATCATATTTCAACATGTAAACTACTTTCTAGCAACCAAATATTTTCTGATTATGTACATAGATTTAATCACTTATTACTGATTGAAAAACTCCTATAATGGCTTCATTAATAAGCAACAGTTTATTGTAGTCCTAACTATATAATAAAGTGACTACTTAATAACAGAGGTGAATATGTTTTATAAACTCTAGTGTTACAAAGAAAGAAAGATCATATAGTAAATTAGCACATAATAACTTTGCCTACAATGAAATCAAATTGAATTCTTAAATATGAATGTTGTTTTGTTGGGCTTGAAAAAAAGAAAGAAAGAAAGAAACAAAACAAGATTCTCACTACTTAGCAAACAAAACAAAATCATATATTTTTGTTGATCTTACTATGAGCAGGAATAGCCACAATCAATCGTCAAATTTACTATCAAAAATTTGTTGCCTGATATAAGAAAATAAACTATTGGCATACTGAGCAACTAACGCTCATTTTGGCAATGGACAAAATCCTATAATTTATTATTACCAATATCATCATAGAATTCCTTTTCTGAATAATTAAACCAGATTAGTTTATATATATATATGCAAAACTAAATATTAGAATCATTGATGGCTTCTGTTATTTACCTTAATAGCAATAAGTGGAACTACACCAATTGACAATCAAGATAAAACAGAATTACAGTAATTTGGGATATGTGCATAAGAAGTGTGTATCAGCCAAAAGTTTGGGGACACCCTCTGGATTTTGAAGAATCACCAAAAAATTGAAGGTTGCATGCCTTTTCCAAAATTTATTTACAAGCTCACTTTGGGTCAGAAGGACTTTGTCTTCCTGAAACATTTTATCAAACATTTAATGATAATAATAACAAAATTAACCCATTGCTGAATAAAGTTTCCTTAAACTTTTACCTTTTTTTTTTGTTGTTTAATGGTAATTTCAGAGTAGGCAGATTTTAAATTTTAGGTAGTAGGAATTAAAGTAGGTATGAAACTTAGTTATTATTAAATTGGTGGAGTAGCAGTCAAGTAAATAGGCAGAGATTAGAAAAGCATTCAACTTATCGATGTATATCAAATTCAAATGAAGTCAGCACTAACCTTGACATTGGGTCAAAAGGCAGGCATGCCTGAACAGGACAGTGAGGATGAGCTCTTGCTGGCATACAAAGCAGCTCAAAATAGTCTGTGTAACATAATCATGTGATCAACTAACTCTCATGTGTCCCTTTCGAATTGCATTGGGTGTGGAAAGTGAATGTTTCAGCACTACTAATTTAATCACCCTAAAGTGTGTATACGTGCAGCTGGGAACTGCTTCTGAATCCAATTTCCTACTGAAACTCCTATTATGAATTTGCACATCCAAATGAATATAACTGCCGAGCTTGGTCGGCTTTCATTCGGGATGCAGCAAATTTATTTGATGGAGCTGGCTCAACCAATACCAAGTGAATGCTGCAACAAGTACAAGTAAAGTAAGTACTGCGATTATTGTATTTTCTTGCCATTGACAGAATTTGTAAAGTCAGTCTATAATTACTAATTATTACCATTCATATGAGAAAAGAACTATCATAACTCTTGGATTTTGTTTTATTTTATTAATTTCTTTATCTTAGATTTTTTTTTTTATCAAAATATTTTGGTTGCTGTACTCGCTGACCTTCTGTTTTGTTATGTGATTTCAAATCAGCAAGTAACTTGGAACAAAATATGATGATTATAATGCTTCACATAAAGGTATTGACATAAGAGCTTTTATGACACTCATTAAAAATAAAAGTAATTTTTCTTTTGTGGGATATACTTTGAACATAGGAAATCAAAATGAAGTGGAAAAGATGAAAGAAAATTATGTATATTTTAAAGTAATAAAATCCTCTTCATAAATTTCTTTTTGTTTCAGAAAAAAAAAAAAAAACTTGTTTTTTTTTTTTTTTTTTTTAATTAAGACTTTGAAATTCTTAATGTCCTTAACAAATTATATAATAATAATAAAATTCAATAATTTCTGATCCTGTTGGGTTAATAGTATAAATAAAAGTACAACTAAGTAGCAATTTATAGTCTATTTAAAAGAAAGAGAGACGAAAAAGAAAGAGAGACGAAAAAGAAAGAGAGACGAAAAAGAAAGAGAGACGAAAAAGAAAGAGAGACGAAAAAGAAAGAGAGACGAAAAAGAAAGAGAGACGAAAAAGAAAGAGAGCAATGTGGTAGCTTATTGTCCCATCAGCATCCAAAATTAAAGCAAGTAATAAAGCAGATGTAATCTAAAGAATATTTACGCTCAGATTTTCTGTCATTAACAGAAGACTGAATTGTTCATGTCAATTCTCAAAAGTTAGGAATAGTAAATTACTTTATGGCTGTCATACATTAAATATTATAAAGGAAGATATTGTGAACTTTGAAATGAATAATAAAAAATTTAAAGAAATGATAGGAAAATTGAAATAATTTCTCTACATTTTGACCACATTCATTAAACTATTTCAAATTCAAATGAAGACTAAGATTTGTTGGATTGATGTCCAAGAGAGAAATGTCATTGTGCATTACATACTTATATTTTTTGTCTACGAGAAAAAAAAAATATAAATTTGCTTTTGAGAAGATGAAAGGTTAGGTAGTGATCATCAAAAGAACAACTTGGAGGGGGGTGGATAGGCTTGCATGGATGCTAGCTCCTTATAACTTTTAATATTCATAAATAAACACCTTTTAAATACTTACCTTACTTCAGTGTGTCATTTGTAGAAGGTGGTGTAATGAAAATATTATGAATGTAAAAGAATTCAGAATTGAAAAACAATGAACCCAGCTTACAAATTCTCTGTCAGTGTCAGCCAACATTCATGGGAGGAGGGGCATATGAAGAGTTCATGAGAAGGAAATCTAATTCTTATTTAAATACTATTGGAAGCAATTTTATTATTTTGAAATAAGTTTGGATTTTTTTTTCTATTAAAACAAAAGCCAAAACAAACCTAAGATGGAGTTTAGTATAGAATGATGAGAACTTTGCAGAAAATTTTGCCCATCTTTAAATCTGAAATAACAGGGAGAATATCAGAATTATATTCAATGAAAATGCTGAGAGAGATAGAGAGATGAATATTGACTATCATTCATCCTTCTATAAGTATATATTCTATAAAAGGTTTTTGATATATAAGGAAAAATAAAAAATCATGTAATTTTATTCACCTTTTCTATTTGTATTTTCAGCCGCTTCTTCTCACGTTCCAATTGAGCAACCTAAAAGAAGAACAAAAATTACTATTCAAGCATTAAGGTTATACACACATACATTTCTTTCTCTCTCTCTCTCTTGCTAATACATGTGTGCATGTCAGAGAGAGAGAGAGAGAGGATATGGCAGGTTCATGGCAGTTAAAAGAAATGTTTGGGAATACAACAAAGTGCTGAGTTTCCATTAGGTTAAACATGGGTTTCTAATGTTAGAGAAAAAAAATCTTTTTTTCTTTATCAGAGAAAATAAAAATAAACTGATTTATATAAATAAAATGTACATAACTGAATATAGCTTTGAGGAATCAAGAGAAATCTCCCACTTGTCTGTTGATTAGATATGTTAAACATTTCTATAAGAATATTGTGCATTTTGTTTCATGTGATTAGAAATATATAAACATACATTTACAAAGGGTTCAATTTTGCATTAGCACTTCAGTAATCAGAAGTGTAGTGCATAGATAGATAGATAAATAGACATTATTTTGTTATATAAACCTATATTAAACAGAAAAATGTTACCAAGTTTAAACTTTGCTGACATTTTTCTAGCATGTGATGCACACCAGATAATACTGGAAATCTGAATCAAGTTTAATGTCCATCAGGAACCTTTGAAGAAATGGTCTGTAGTGTTCCCAATCAATACATTGTGGGTTCACTGTAAGAGATATCAAAATAAGGTTTGTACTTGGTGTCACCTCAGAACAAGACTGGTAGGTAACCTCAAAGCCATTATGTGCAGAACCAGGCTCAAAGGATGTCAGTGGGAGCACCAACATAAAGACAAGAGTGAACCCAGCTGAACTTAGAATATAAGCACACAAGACAACCAAACCAGAATCCCTTACACACTCACAAGATCAAATGTTTGAAGAAAGAACCAAAACTATATACTACTTGACCCTCCAATGTTAAATTGACAGAATCAGAAGTAAATAAACATTTTACAAATTAGAACTTTAGCCTGATATTCTTGTCAGAATTACATTGTCTGCAGCCTTTTATTGTACTAATCACAAAAAAATTATTATGCGTATATGTTTCACTGTATTACATGAAAATGTATCTACACAATGTATTTAATTATATGGAATAATAAAAATGTTCTTTAAGATTTCTTATTATATAAGTTCATTTTTTAAAAATCTTCCAGGGAATTAAAATATTTTCATTAAAAGAATTTTATAAAGATTGCAATAATCCCAAAATACCACATCTTCTGAATATGGTAGATAAATGAAAACCTGCCAGCCAAGATGAAATAATTTTTGCTTGGGTGATCAAAGAAACATGTAGTCTAGCATTGCTCTGAGAACATATTACATTATTTCTATTGAATATAGGAATTGGTTATACATGTGTTACTGTAATCTAATGGTCATGAGTTCAATCCTTCATTAATTGAGAACAATAGTTGATCAAATCAATTTTTTGGTCCTCTGGATGGATCTTATAAAGGATGCTGTTCCAATTTTATTTACACAGCATCTTTTGATGAAGACTAGACTGTCGTACAGTGAGTGGTAGTTCATTCCATTTGTCCCATGATTTGTGTTCTATATTTATTTTAATTTATGTGGTAGCCACACATCAATGTGACTAACATAGCTGAATTGGTGCAAGAATTTTCAATACTTGATTTGCACATTTTTAATATGTTGGCAATCTCCTGCATTGTATAATGTTGATTATTCTCAATGTTTTCATTGTAAGCTACCTGATAACAATCAATGTTTGAAACATTTGATCATCCACAACACCTTCCAGTATATGTACTGGACAAATTTTTGCCATTTAAATTGAATTTTTAGCTTAAAATGAAAAAAAGCAAGTTGAAAATATTGCTTCTGCCATCTTCAATATTAGAAGCATTGAGCAAAAATAAGACTGTTTTTTTGAATGGTCAAAACTAACTGCTTGTGAGTACAAAAATGTCCTAATCCAATCAAAAGCCTTCTTTTTGTATGAAGTCAGATAAAACTAAACAATCTTAATGAAATCTAATTACAAAATAGATTGAACTATTTAGATTACCCAATAGATGAAATGATAGTAACACCATGACAGTGTTTGTGTTTAATATAAGTAACTATTTAAAAGAGGGAAAGCAGTACTAAATAAAAAAAAATAGATGACATATCCATTGACATGGACAACTGAACAAGAACATTCTAACCCTGTAGTTTAAAGAAAAGGTTTAATTTGAAATCACCTGAAAAAGACAAGAGGGCACAATGGGCAAGACATTGTGATAGTAACAACAAAGATAAGGACAATAGATCACACGAAAATAATGTAAATAACATTTAACATAACTGTTATTTCAAGCAGTGTTTGTTTTGAGTTTGTGTCTGTGTGTTGGAGTTAAGAGAGAAAAGATGAGCATTTTGTTCTCTTTTGTCTTGTCTTGGTTGAGGATGAAGTGACATAGGATGTTTCCAAATTGGTCAATGGCTATTTCAAGATCAGCAGTGGCAATTCTTTATATGTCCATTGTTGTGTGCTTGGTGGAAATTTGCTTCAGGATCACCTGCTAGAATAGATATTGTTTTGGTAGGGTCTCTTGGGTGAACAAGTATGATGTTGAAAGACCCGAAACTTGCCATGGCCCCAAGTCATAACATCACTGAGGAGGCAATCCTGTGTACATGTTGGAGTGTATATTCATAACAAACACAATTACATCATAGATTAATTAGAAAGTTTCTTTACTCAAAATGAAAGTAGCTCAGTTTTTAGCTGATATGTACAATTCCTAGTTTTAAAAAATTCTTAATAAGCAGTTAAATTGGGTTATCTTGATTAGAAACATACATAGCAAAAATGGACAAAATTATATGCATTTACTTCATATGTACTTATATAAAATAACTGGAATATACTCAATAACATGTAGAGGGCATCTATATTAGCATAAGCAAATTGAGAACCTTACTTATAAAAGACTAAAAAAGAATTTAGGCTATTGTTTTAAACATTGATGTTTCCCTTTTATTCTTTTATATGAAGATAAATAGAATACTTTACAGTATTTTTAATATGTACATAATCTAGAAATGACCCTCAGAAATTGTAGACAATACAATTCACACCCACTCATATATTGTTCAAAAATTGAAAGCAATAAAAAAGAATGGGTTTAAACTCAGGATTTTTGTGTTTTATACTTGTACAAATTGGGTTATAATAGAACCCAAATTTCAAGGAATCTAAATTATGATTTTAAAATTCAAATCAAAGAATTCTTAGAGAATTTCAATGTATCTAATTTGAACCACTGCAAATCATTGGTAAAGAAAAGGGAATAAATAGGGTTTGTTTAAATTGAATGAGGAAGAAAACAAAAATTGGACTCTAATGGAATGATGTTCAATGATTTGAAATGCACTTGCTTTTGTATTGAATCCTTTTGTGATGAAAAATTAAATTTTGATAATGTGCCAATTGGATAACAGAAAAAAAATATAAAGAAATTGAGTCAAATGCTGTTAGTAAAAAGCAATCAACTGAACATGTACTCTGTCTATTCACCTGACCTCTCTATGGATCATCATTTTTACAATGTATCTTGATTGAATCATTACAGGCAAGAAATTCTAGAAACAGGAGCAATTCACATATATAGCCAAAGAATTTTTATTTTGATCTTTATTTTATAAATAGAACATATTTTTCAAAGTTATTAAATGTATCCAAATTCCAATAGATAATCAATATCACATGTTTAAATAGTTTATTCTTGAATTATTTCAAATTATTATTCTCATCTTGGTTCTCATAGACAATGTTTCTGGTCATCATCAGGTAACCACTGATTGGCTGATATGGCATATCTCTTGATTATGATATATTCTTTTCTATTGAATTAGTATTGGATATAGGAATTGGTTATACATGTGTTACTGTAATCTAGTGGTCATGAGTTCAATCCTTGGATCCAACAGTGAAGCACCAATTCAACAGGAATGAACAAAAACTAACATCAGAGGGAAAAAATATCACAATAATCAACCAATATCCCAATGGATACCTGATGATGACCAGAGGGTGTACTTGGTCAAAATGTTGTATCTATAAGAACATCTATATCAACCAATACGAGAACAATAGGTCAAAATAATACAAGCATATTGATAATTATTCATCTTTAGACTGAACTATTTTCATCTATCATCATTTTTCAGTTTCATTAGGGAACTTTTGCATGCTGCATGAATGAAAAAATGAATAAATCACCAATAACATTACGACAAAGTACCCTCAACATTGTCTTTAATAACATATATATTTTAATCCAATATGTGAACAATGGGTTGATATAATACAAGTATATTGATAATTACTCATCTTAGAAATAAAATATTAAGTTTAGACTGAACTATTTTTGTCTATCATCACTTTTCACTTTAATTAAAGAACCTTCGCATGTTTACATGAATGAAATAAAGAATAAATTGTCAATAAAAATGCATCTTCATGAAGTATTCTTTTTAAAACAAAGAATTGTCTTTAGAAGGGAATTCAAAGATTTGGAATTTGTTAAATAGAAAGCAAAAAGAAAGTGTTAAAAACACTAATGTCATAATAAAATAAAAGTGTAAGGTTTATTATTATAAAGCTCATTTCAGAGTGTAAATATTCAAAGCTAACAAATGCTGGATTTAGAGACTCTCTCCTAAAAATACATTATTTTAAGATGTCAAACTAGAATCCAAGAGATTTAGGATTCCTTGTTGGTGAGAAAGAAACACTGAATATTTTCTTCTTTCAAGTCAATAATTGATAAAATTGATAAAATGAACAAAAGATTGATTATAGCAAAAGAGCAATGATAACCAAGAGGCTTGAGTTTGCATCTTAGTTCTTTACAAAGAAGAAAAATTCATTTTCAAATAGAATAAATGCCTATTTAGATATATTATTTTATTATAACCCTTGGCAAAAAGTATGAAATGGGCACACTTAGAGATTGTGTTTTTCTTTTTTTAAGCAGTAAATCAACTAACTGCATATCAGATACAAAACCTTTTTAATTCAATCGACCTGAACATTCTGGCTTCATAAAATATACCTTAAACAAAGTAGATTAAATTATTTAAATTAATAGTAAAGTTTTTTTCCAAGCGATGTACAAGAAAATATTACAGAATAACACAATATTGGGAAAAATTATAAAATTCATTGAGGAAAAATTTAGAATTAATACTTATTTGCTCACCCACCTCTCTTTGAGGTTTTATGATAGCCTTAATTATTTCAGATGTGGACTTCATTAACTTAAAACAATATTCTTTATCAAAGTGGTTCCAATCTTCCCAAATAGCAGTTAATAGACCTTCTTTGGTGGATCAAACATTCTCATGAACCATTTTTTTTAAATTTCCATCATAAATTTTCAGTTTGATTGTGATCCGGACTATTTGCTGATCATGTGATTGATTTTTATTTGCCTTTCCTGAAGAAATGCTTTAATCCCAATTGCTAGGTGACAAGATAGATTATTGTCCTGAAAAAAATAACTGCATCATCACCAAATTGATTTTCTATTAATGGAATGAGAGAATTATCCATGACTTCAATGTACCTCTGTGCATTGATTGCTGAGGTAATGATTGCCATCTTCTCTGGTCTTTGACAGGCAACATGATTAGCATGAATGACTTGGGAAATTTAATTGTTTTCTTCAGGTAGTCATCTGTCATCTTTATATATTTCATTTGAATGGTGCCTGGCAAATCTTCTAGCATCATTGTCTTGGCCAATGCAGATTCTGGATCCATCACTGAATATCCCTTTTATCCAATCATCCACATACCATGATTGCTTCTCTTTAGCCTACTTTAACCTCATTTTCTTATTCTGTGTTTTTATTTGGTTTTTCTGTATATAAATGCCATTTCATTCACTTGATTTCTTCAGTTCTGTCCCAAACATTGATTGCATTTTCAACACATTTGTTTTGTTGTAGATTTTCTATTTTCAAAGCGTACTGCTTTAAGTTTTCTATCCCAACACCCTGATGTCTTACGTGGTTTTCAAGTATGTCTGACTTTTTTTTAACCATTGAATTTTTTATATTTGCACCAAATTTTAAACACAGCTGACCAAGAACAACCAAACATGTTTTACCACACTCAACTGTGGATTACCTGCTTGAATGAGTTTCTTTCCATTATTTTGGTTGGCAGTTCTTTTGTTGAAGCCAGGTTTCCTTTCAATTAGGGATGCCCAACCACCTGATGAGGTCTGCATTAACTCTTAAATGTAGACTAGATTGCATATCTTGACTTCTGCTGGTAATTATTTGAGGAATGCAAATTACAAGATTATTCTAGAATTTCTTCCTCAACATTGGGTTATTCCATAATATTTTCTTTTGCATGTTTTGAAAAACATTACACCATTAATTTAAATAATTTAATCTAGCTTAGTGTATATTTTATGAAACCTGAATCCCTAGCTATTGAAGAAAAATGTTTTGCATCTTTTCTGTTATTAGGTTATTTACTGCTAAATAAAAAAACAAAAAACAAAAAAACAACCTAACTTAACATCCACTAAGTGTTCTAATTCCAGAATCTTTTGCCAGGGGTTTTTGTTAAGTAGTCGAACATTATAAATAATTTTTCTTGACAATTTACATTTGTGGTGTTTTTTTTTTATTGCAATTTTACTCAGGTCATTAATCTATAGTAGCAATAATTCCATGCCATCATCTCCCTACCATAGATTGATTATTTGAGTGAAAGATACAATAAAGAACTAAATTATTAAGATGAAAGTAAATACTAGATAAAAATTAATAATAAATGGATGACAAGGCTCTCTTCCATTTCGATTAAGTTTTGAACTTTTAATGTTTGACATCATGATAATAATTAACACTGAATGTTTATTAATTTAAATTATAGAAAACAAATTGATTTCTCTTTTATATTATAAAATTAAACATAACCAAACATTAAGAGTCTATACTATATATGGTTCTAAAAGCAGAAATCTACTCATGTATTTTATCTGTAATCACAAAGGACTGAAAATACATGATTGCATTAATATTGTCTGTTCTTCCTTAGTTTAGAATACAAGTGAGAAGAAAGACACACCCAAGATAATGAAGAGAGTCTACAAGAAGGTCTTATTTTGCCAGAATCTTGACTCCTTTAATTTTACATTCAATTTCCAAATAGTTTATTGATTTGTCCACCTGAACTAATTAATTAAATGGAAGAGTAATTAGAATATTAATTGACTAATGCAAAGTTTTGTTTGAAGGCAAATTCTTTGCGAATATGCAAATAAACTTTAGTTTCCAAGAAAAAAATTTAAAAAATATCTTATTAGAGTATATTATTCAATAATCATTAAGACACAACTTCTACTTCTAGTGTTAATGATTTCTTTAGTGGCATATCAACTCCTCATGGGTCACCTAATGTTAATCTCTTATTTAAGGCCATATACTTGATAAGGAAATGTAGGGAAATAGTACTGGCTTTCTGACCAAAGTTAAAATGATTCTTTAATTTAAAATAAAAGCACAAAAGTCACACTTTTTTGATAATTTCTTTAGGCTGTAAGAGAGGACACAATAAGAACCATAGCAGTGAAAGTCAAATTTTAAAACTTAACTGTTTAATAACTGTTTAATTTAATTATTCTTAAATCTACTACAACAGCCCTCCTGACATTTAGTTAAAAAAAAAAAAAAAAAAAAAAAATTCCTTGTTAAAGAATTTAATTTTTAAAATTTAAACTTAATATTTGCAATTATGATTCAGGTTAATGTTTTGTTTTTTTTTTTTTTAAGTATAAGATTTAACATTGATCAAGATTATAAAAGAAAATCTTTTTACTGTAACTTTTGTCTAAAAGTTCATTATTAATTCTATAGAATATCAAAAAGAGAATGGAATTTCCATGGATATGACATAAATAACTGTTTACAAGAGTGTGGGAGAAAATAGCAATGGGGAGTTTCCAGAATGCAAAAAAAAAAAAAAAAAAAAAAAAATCAAGGTCGCAGTTCCAAAAGGTTATAAATGAGCCTTGAAAGTCCAAAGTCAAAAATTCCAGCAACATAAATCAAAAGGAGTCAAAAAAAATATGTACTCAAATCTTGCAATTCACAACAACCTTTTTCACTCATGAAAAACAAATATAACTAATTGTTAAAAGTACCGTATTAAGGGTAAGAAACAGTGTGATTGGTTGAGACTGGTAGGGAAGTGCAACCAATTACTATATTCCGAGGCCGACCCAATCTTTTTTCTGATTTTCTTTTTTCAACAGATAGCACAGTGAACACAAATTCGTTTTCAAAGACTTAGTTTTTTTCCTTCATCAACACAATCACTTTGACAATGACTTTTCAAAGAGGAAATACTTTCCAATATTAATATTTTTCTGTTTATAAAATTAGTCTTAATCAGAATTTCAATTTTGTTAGATTATGTGGTTTTTAGTAAAACAAGAAAATAAACATTAGTATTTATTAGTATATACAATACATAATTCAATAAAATTCAATAAAATAAACCAGAGTAAAAGGCATTTTGTCAAACTGTCAAAGATATAAACAAAAAACATAAAAATTTCTCAGAAACTTACCCAATGTTCTTTCTTGTTTTTAATACTTGACTTCAGATATATAATTTCTTTTTGAAGAACTTTGTTTCTGTATGAAAAAAAAAAACTTGAATGAACAAGTAGAATTGAACCTGAAATTCTGATTGTTTATGTTTTTGCATTGTAAAAAAAATAAAGGAATCATGAATATGAGTGGGTCAAAGGAAGAATTTAGCATCTCGTGAAAATTGACAAAATCAATTGAATAAACAAAAATCTACAGACGGAAGGTTTTAATTTTTCTATTTTCTCAGAGGTTTATGTTAAATTCCTAAAACTCTGATAAGACATTAAGTTGCAAAAAACATGCTCAAAAACCTTTATAGATAACATATTAAAAGAAATATTTAAAAAAATTGTAATGACATGTCTTTAGTGGTTTTGCTATGTTGTTTTATTAGATAGACCTACAGTCCGAAGCTATTATGCAAATCACGTAAACCTCAATAACTTGAATTTGCTTTGAATAATTTTGTCAAATTTTACACTTTAGGTGTCAAAAGAAAGCTTGATTTAAATTTTTAGGTAGTTTCAATATGTTTTACTAAAGTTATTGTATTTACTATAAAAATTAGTTATTATGTGGAACAACTACTTTTAACCAGTCAAGAAGAAAATTTTTTCCAATTTTAAATGATTAATTTAGAAATCAAAACAAAGCTAGAGTTAAATTTTTAGGTAGTTTCAACATGTTTTATTAGAGAATATTGAATTTATTATAAAAACTGCAGTCTGAAGTTATTATGCAGATTAAAACTAATAGTAGTTTAAGGCCTAAAATCCAATACCCCCCTCCCCCATATGTTGAAACACAGGTAACAGAAAAGATCTAACAAATGCTGAAAAACAGGAAATAACAAAGTTATTGAGTGAGTGAATGTCCACATTGGGAATATAAGTGGAGTTTCACAGAGATCATCAAACAATAAAGAGGGTTGTTGAATATATAACTAAGTTGACAATTAGAAGCAAAGGAAAAGACTTTAAGAACTTGTTGCCTTGAGAGGAATGTAAACTAAATTGAGTTATAATGGAACAACCATTTTCGATCAGTACTCAAATGATTGAACAGGCTGGAATTGAGGAAGTCAAGAAGGACAAAAAGTGTAGAATACTTTACAAATTGTGATCTGTCAATAAATACATAAAAATTGACTTTTCTACAGTAATTTTCACAAACGAATCTAGAGTGACACTCAATGGATCTGATGGACAGGCCAAAGGATTGATTTTAAACCAATGCAGAGCTGCCTGTGGCTAAAAGAAGGCAGGAAAGTGACATTGTGATGATATGGGCTGGAATTGTTGACCAAACCATTACTGAAACATTCAAAGTTGATAAAATCCAATAACTTTAAAACATGTTGAAAATTACCAAAACATTTAACTCAAGCTTTGTTTTGATTTCTAAACATTTAAAATTTGACAAAAATTGTTCAAAGTAAATTCGAGTCATTGAGATTTTTTTTTCAATTGTTTCACCCCAAGCAAGGCGAGAAGCCACTAGGATGCAAGGGGTTACAGAAAATTTGGAGCAAGATCAGATAGTAGTGATAGAGGAAAAGATGAGGAGAAGGATAGTGGATAGATCAAGGCAACTGGAGATGTCGATTGACATTACATTTGAATAGCTGGAGATTATAGCTCTCAGGGAAACTGGAATAGGGAAGGGAGTTCCACAGGTGAGAGGTGCGAGACATGAAGCTATTGGAGTAGAAGAGACGGCTACATTTAGGAGTTTTGACAGTGAAGGGGTGAGAGCAGGATGCCAGCCTCGTAGGGCGCTTGAACTCATGAAGTCTGGGAACCAGCGAATGCAGCTCCTTGAAGCAATTGCCATGAAAGTATTTGTAAAAAAGACAGAGAGAGTGACTGTAGATGAGATGCCAGAACAGGGTCAATTATATTGCATATCCGCCTCTGGAGCCTATCAAGAACCCCGAGGCAAACAGAAGGGGCTGCAGACCATATATGGCAGCAATACTCCATGCAAGGGTGAATTGTTGATTTGTAGATCTGGAGGATCGATTCCGGGGAGAAAAATTTCCTGGCGCGGCACAGGAGCCAACTTTCCTTTGCGGTGGACAAAGCAATTGACTCAATGTATTTGTTCCATCTCAGGTCAGCAGTCAACGTGAGACCGAGCAGCTGCAGAGAGATGCTCTCGAGAAGTTGAGCATCAGACATTCTAATGGAGGGCAGGGAAGGATCTCTGTGGTGATTAATAGAGAGCAGTTTTGTTTTTGAGGCATTAAAGTTGACCAGCCAATTCCTGCCCCAGTTCACAATTGATTGGAGGTCCTTTTCGAGACGCACGGCCAGGTTAGTTTTGTCAGTGACACTAGATTTGTTTTTGAGGCAGGAGTAAATTGTGGTGTCATCCGCATAGATGCCAACTTGGGAATTTATGGCGTCAGGAAGGTCATTTATGTAGATAAAGAATAGAGTGGGGCCTAGGATGGAGCCTTGAGGAACACCTGCATTCGTGGGATAGGAACTGGAGGAGAATCCGTTGAGAATGACCTTCAATTCATGGTTTGACAGGAATGATTGTATTAGGTCAAACAATCAACCCGTAATGCCATAACCCTGGAGCTTGCGAAGAAGGCCGGCATGCCAAACCCTATCAAACGCTTTGGAGATGTCTAGGGCCCCGTTATTTTGAAGAGCATGGTAGACAGTTTCAGTGATGGCCGTAAGCACATCAGCTGTATATTGGGCAAAGCGGAAGCCATATTACTTGTCTGAGAGTAGATCATGGGATGTAAGGTGGTTAACCACTTTGGTATTGATTAGGGCTTCGAAGACTTTGCCAAAGAGGGGTAGGAGACTGATAGGATGGTAGTTAGAAGGGTCAGTGGGGTCGCCAGAGTTCTTGAAGACAGGAATAATCAAAGAGGACTTCCAGCAGTCAGGAAAACAAGATTCCTTGAGGCAGAAGTTATATAGTTTAGAGAGGGCAGGCGCCAGTTCAGGCACGCATTTCTTCAAGACAATGGCTGGTATCCCATCTCCATCATTAGCCTTAATGCTCAATACCAAAGATGGGGTTATGTGTAACCCACTCGATAGGGCCTCAGTTCTAAGAGGGAAGTTGGGTATGGGTACACTGGAAAAGTCGAGCGTTGAGTTGAATGAAAATTTCCAAGCAAAGCATTCAGCCTTGTCGGTAAAGGAGATCAGGACTTCGAACTGGTTGAACAAAGGAGGTATAGAGGGTCTGCAATTGTTCAATACGGTCTTGCAGAGACGCCAATAATCTTTGGAGCCAAATTTGCGAGGTTTATGTGATTTGCATAATGACTTCATTTATCAAACTGCAAGGACTTTTCATATTTTTAGACAATGTTTAATAGTGAGTTTGAAATTTGTTTTGACTAAAATCACTTTCATTTTTATTCTTTTTCATAAGCAAACTTTTCATGAGCATCTTGTTTGCTGAAAGACAATCAGGATCAAACATAAAATAAAGACTGTGTTTCACAAAAAACATTGGCTAGTGTATTTCTGGAGGATAATTGTTTTAAGGCAAGTAGTGATCACTATTAAGTAATAGAGCATTGATAGTGAAGAAATCAAGTAAAAAGTTAAAAAACATCTTGAATCCTTCTATAAGATAAAGGAAAAATTTAAAATCAGAATTTTTATAGAACTACCTTCAACAAAATAAGATGGATGAAAAATTTTATAAAAAAAAAAAATTTAATTTCTAAGCTGCACTCTTTAGGATATCAAAGAGATATTGAGAAATCTGATAGAAATTTAAAAGTTGATTAAAATACTCTTTATAGGATTTCATTTTGATCAACAAGGATTTTTTTTTCAATGATTTTTAAAATAATTTTTAAGAGAAACTATAATACAAGAACTGGAAGTTGCTCTAGGTCTTTTAACAAACTCTCCAATAAAAAATGTTAACTTCTTTTACTTTAATATTAATGAATTAAAAAAGTTCCATGACTGAAAACCTGTATTTAAGACATTCTTTTATCTTTTCCTGAGTCTTGATGAAAATGTGCTAAAAGAATTATCAGTTTTGTGATTGCTGGATAATGAACTTTACAGAAAAATATAAACAAAACAATTCTTTTGTTTCAATCAAGTGGTTCAAATATAGTAATATTTTTAATGTTGGTTGATAAGCAAACAACTTGACCTAACATTTTAACATGACAATTACTTACTTTTCTAATTCAGATTCAAATTTGTTTTCCATCCTCTTTTGTTTCTCAATGGCTTCCCTTAATTTTTCATGATCCTGAAAAATAAAAGAAAATCTTAAAACGTTTCTTCTACCTTGCAACTATTGCAATTGAATGAAAAACAGAACAGTGTAAAAAAAATTCCTTAATGTTATAAGTTAGTATTCAAATATGGGAATATCTTCCAGTGTAAAGGAACTTTTTCTCTTGGCCTGAAGAGCTAATGCATTGCCCATTAATGCGAGAGGGTTGGTGTGTAAGCCACAAGTAACACAAAAAACAAACAATCATTCTGAATGTAGATTACCCCCCTCCCCTCTTACTGGATTGTCTTAGCAGAATCTTTGCTCATTTAGGCTTGTGCTTTACTAAATTAAGATTTGTAAATATCAAGATAAAAATTCCTGTTACATGCCCGAACGGAGTCCATTTTGTAAGACTTTATTGTTTCCATTTTGAGGAATAAAATATGATCCCATTTTTAAAAGATCATACATCTCTCTCTCTCTCTCTATATATATATATATATAGATATATATATAATATTAAAAGCTTAAAATGTTCACTTGTTTGTTGATAAACTACATTTTCTAAATAAATGTAAATGTTTCGCAAATATATTTTGATTAAAGTAACAGTATTTTATATTTATCTTAACCCTTTTGTATCTGGTCTTAAGATTTTGACCAGGGGTGTGTGTGTGTATATATATATATATATATATATATATATATATATATATCAATAAATAATCAGTATCACCCCATGCAAGAAGTAAAGCCACTAAAACACACAGGATGTGGAAGAATTAGTAACAGAAACATTAATAATAGGAGGAAAGTAGATAGTGATTGACATTGAATTTAAATTCTTGCAGATTAAAGTTTTGAATTTTCTAGTATTAGAACTAGAACTAGTCGGTTAGTAGAGAAGTTCTTCAGGATCAAGTAACCAACATTTAGTAGTGGAATTGGGGTGGGATCATGTACATGTGTTGGAATAATATATTATTCTTGCCTCTTCCATTTGGATTTTCTGTTCAATCAGATCAGGTGCTGTATACGTTTGCTGCTGAAGAAAAGAAGAAGTAAAATTAAAGATTCAAAAGAGAAAAAGTACAGAGTAAAACTGCTGTGAAGCTTTCTTTTCAATAATGTTTTTGAGAAAGGTCAATTTGGATGACTGGACATTAAAATATGCAGCTGAAACAAACAAACTTATAAAACACCTAAATAGGCAGAAAAGAAACTATTCAAGTTTTTTTTTGTGATGAAACTGAATAGAAATAATATATTTTGATATTAACTTCTGTGGTATGATCCATCTCCCCCATTAATGGATTTGTCCTGAACACATATATTCAGGAGAACTCTGCTGATATCAGTAAGATTTAATATACTCTGCATAAGCAATACATATTGTCTTGCACAATTCTACTACAATTTAATATAATCTCGTTGTTAACCATTTTGAAAACGGCTAATTTACTGTCTAGAGAAACTTATTGACCCCCAACATGTCTGATGCCGGACTGGAATATCATCACTGGAGAATAACTTTCATGGACATCTTGAGCACATTCTGCAACCAAAGTTCTAATAAGCTACTCTATCTCACCAAATATGTCTCAGCACAAGTTTACAAGTATTTTGTGGACTCATCTTCCCATGAAGAGGCTTTAACAATACTGGATATGATCTACATTAAAAAAGATAAATGAAATTGTCTCTTGATACTTACTGGCTACAAGGTGTCAACTGCTCTGTTGACGGATTTTATCAAGCCTTGATAAGTAAGGATTGTTCATTTTCTTTTTTATCAGGAGAACAATATTGAGACAAATTGATCCAAGATGCCTTCATAAACAGTCCACGGATATCTGACAAAGAATACTTGGAAACAACACCTTAACATTACAGCAGGCCTATGACCTGGCAAAAGTACTAGATTTAGTAGAGCAGTTGCAGTAATGACAGAGACCTCTCCACCTATTTTGGCCTCCCAGTTGTATAAAACACTAGGCTCTCCAAAAATATCAGCCTTAACTAAATGCATGTTGTTTTTTCTGCGGAGTCAAGAGACACGTAAGGTCATTATGTCCTGTGTTATGATGTTGATTTGGGGTTAGTAGACACAAACGCCAAATAACACGTAACAATAAAAAGGGTTTTAATAGGTTGGTAAAAAGGTACAGAAACCGCCTGAGTAACCAATAACTAGCTCAGCTAAGAACTTCTGTCTATCTGTCTTCCAACATGCCACTATTTAAAGTCTTTGTTCGAAGACAAGTTCATCTTCAAGAGGGGTGGTAGGTTTCCGACACAACATCCTGCTAGAAGGAACAAATGCTATACATGCCGGAAGTGGGGACATTAGGTTAAAGTTTGTAAAAGTAAGAAAAAGAGGAGCAAAATGGCAACTTGCTCAGCATCATTGAAAATACTTGGCACCTTATCAACTACAATGATAGAAATCATTGCTAATGAACAGCCACTAAAAGCACTGATTGACATGGGGACAACAGAAAACTTTCTTAATGCAAACATTGTGAAACTAAATTTTTTGAAAATTCACCCATGCCTAAATAAAGTGGCAATGACTAGCTTATCTCTTTCCATGCAAATACTTGGATACTGTTTAGTTGATTTATGAGTAAAGGGTACTCTATACCAAGGAGTAAGATGTCTACTGATGAAAGATCTATACTGCGACCTAATATTAGGGCACAACTTCTTACACCAACTCTCATTAGAAGAAATACTTGCTGGAGGCTTTAGGCCCTTTTAAGTCTGCGGCCTAACATCAATGAAAATGCCAGACCCAGCTCCTTTCAACAATTTAACACCAGACTGTAAAGCAGAAGCTACTAAATCTAAGTGAAATACTGAGGAGAATAAATTATTTATCCAAACCGAAGTTATTCATATGTTGAAGGAAGGAATAAGTGAATGCAGCCATTTGCTGTAGAGAGCCCAATCCTTCATAGTCTCCTACGAGAACAGAAAAAAGTGAATGGTAATCGACTATTTCCAAACAAAACAAAAAAAGTGCCTATCATCAGTTAGTTATAAGGCCCAGTAATAAACCCTATATAGCCTTTGAGGCCAGCAGCAAACTCTAACAATTTTGCAGAATACTCTTTGGCATGACTAATGGGGGGGAATTATTTTTTTTAAAAAGTGATAGACCAGATAATATCAAAAGAGAACCTGCAAGGCATCTATGCTTACATCAATAATGTAATTATTTGCAGGAAAAATCAAGTGGAACATAACAAAAATCTTAAATTATTCATGGCAGCTGTTAAAACGTACAAGCTTACATTTAATTCAGACAAATGTTATTTTAGATGTAGAAACATAAAATGACATGGGGACATAATATGAAAAAACAACATAAAACCTGATCCAGAATGTCTGAATCCATTACTCATACGACTGATCCCAAAAGATTTACCTGCTCTGTGCTGTGCATTAGGAATGTTTGCACACTATGCCCAATGGATATAGTCTTTTTCAGACAAAATCCGACCTCTAACAGCAGTATCAAGCTTCCCTTTATCTCCCATACCAGAGAAAGCGTTTAATGAGTCAAAGAGAGACACAGCGAAAGTAGCCATTGCTATGCCCGATCATACACTACCTCTGGTAGCAGAGACAGATGCCTCAGAATGAGCCATAGCCACCTCTTTAAGACAGGGAGGCCCATAGCCTTTTTCTCCAGAACCCTGTCTAATTTGGAATGTAGGCATTCTGCAATTGAGAAAGTAGCCTATGTTATTGTCAAATCGCTGATAAAATGGAGGCACTATTCGATCAGGGGGACATTTTGTAGTTGTTGTTGTTGCAATCCGTGACGTCTGATGAAACTTCCTGAACAAAACAATATTTTCTGGATACGCCTGGTGTAAAACTGCAACAACCGATAAACTCTTTCAATTTTCTCAATAATCTTCTCTTGCGCCACCGCTTTCTCCTTTACACAATTCTCCTTCCACGTTACAAAAGAGAATCCATTTTTCTAACTGCCCAGATGCCGGTGTTCAGCGTTTTTATGCTCCTTTTCTGCCTTCCTTCATTTGCATGCGTGAATCCACTTTCCATGGATTTACGAGACTGTCCGCGTGAGGATACGTGACCAGTCGCAATACAAGCTTGCTGGGGGTGGCCGTGTTTCTTTTTCTGGTCAAAAAGATAAACCTTGCACGCAGAACATATACGCTGCCATTTGCAATCAGGTGGGAGAATATTTTTGTTCCAATTATCACTACACATTTTAAGCTAATTACAAACCAAAAATCAGTTTCATTCATGTTCAGCCTGAAAGCAAAATTAAAAATGAGAAGATAGTCAAAGGAAGAATGGAACTCTCATTTGATGTAATATCCCCCCTGCCCGGGGTAAAGAAAACACAGTTGTAGACACCTTCATGTATGTAGCTTGGCTGCTTGCAAAGAAAAGTTAAAGAAACTACATAGATAGTTGTACTACCCAGGTGTTACACACATGATGAAAATCAAAAACATTCCCTACTCAGTAGAGGATGTGAAAGAAATCACCAAATTGTGTAAGACTTGTGCTGAAAATAAACCAAGGTTTTACCATCCTAACAGCAGCAAGGTTATAAAAGCCATACAATGCTATGAAAGAATCACATTGGATTTTAAAGAACCGTTTCTGTCAAAAATGCCTAACAAATATATGCTAACAATAATTGATGAATATTTGCAGTTTCCTTTCACAATACCCTGTCCCGACGTATCTTCTACAACAGTCATACAAGCACTTTGCTCAGCTTTTGCTATCTTTGGGCTACCCATGTACATGCAATTAGACAGAGGGGCTTCATTTATGTCCAAATGTGTACGGTAGTACCTACCAGAGCAAGGGTTAGCCATAAGTAGAACAACCTCATATAACCCTCAAGGTAATGGCCAGTGCGAGAGGTATGATGGAATAATTTGGAAAACTGTTCAACTAGCAGCTGCTGATATAGGGGTAGCTTTAGAGAATTGGGAACTACTAGAAGCCCTGCACGCAATCAGAATGCTGCTATACACTGCCGGTAACACAACTGAATAAGAATGAACCACAGGTGGATCAAGTGGAGCTTCTAGATGCCAACCCCCAGTATGTGCGTGCCCCTTAAACCTGACAAACAAGAGGACACAGCTTCACTAAGGGACTTGGCTCCAGCAGGGGATGAATTGAGCCCCACAAGCCTAAGCATGGGCTGTCTTCATGACACTATGAAGAAACAGAAACATGATCTCCTCATGAAGATTACAAGGAACCCTTGAGCGCTGGACCCTCAAGTGGTGACAAGCAGGTTTCACAATAGAGAGCCCACCTACCGATACTTCAGAGGATGAGCAAGCCAATTGTAGAGGATTACAAAAACAGAGCATGATTAAATCTAGTTCTAGCAAGAAAGAGGAAAAATCTTATCATGCCCCTGGCAATCCGCCATGACCTTGTAGACAGCAAAGGATTGCCTGCTCAATTCAGGGACTTCTTCCCTCTGTAAGAATAAGGCAGGGCAGAATGTTGTATGATCCATCTCCCCCATTAATGGATCTGTCCTGAACACATATATTCAGGAGAACTCTGCTGATATGCAGAGTATATTAAAGCTTACTGATAAGCGATACATATTGTCTAGAACAATTCTACAACAACTTCCATAATCCCTTTGAACATCCTAAGAATTTAATCAAGAAAACTAAATTGAACAAACGATGCATACTTACATTGAGTATAGGTTCTATATGTTCATTATTTTCATTAGACTGAAAAAGAAAAAAAAAAATTATCATTACTTTTATATTCTACAGCCAGACAAATATGCGTGAAACATTTTTCTGTTAAACAATTCTATCAGTGCAGTGTTTTCAGATATATGAAAAAGATCATTTCTATTGATTACTTAATTCAATTTATAAGTTGTTTCTGGTAAATTTGCAAAGATTTAATTTTTGTGTTGACAAAATTCAAAATGCATTTGAAACTATGAAAGTAGAGCAATTAAAAAGAGAAAAATAAAAAAAAACTCTCAGGCATCATAAGTATAAAATCTACTTTGAGGCAATTGAAAGATTTTTCAGATTTTTGTTGGATAAAAGTAGTTAAAGTAACACATGAAGCAATAGAATGAAAGAATGAGCATTTATCAAAGAGAAGAAATAGAAAATAATGAATAGATTTGAATCATTGTTCTGAGTGTTGAATTAATTGATTTTCATTCTTTGCACTATTCACTATTGTCCTCATTTGTGTTATTGTTGTTATTACAACATTTCGGCAATTGTACCCCCCTTGCCTTTATCAGGTGTATGTCATTCCAGGTAACCTACAGGAAATTCCAAAATGAACCCTTCATTTAGTATATGGTCTATCAGGGTAGACTGTTCTCATTCCACTGCCTATGTCAAGGGATAATCTTGTTTAGTCTTTGTTTTTTTAGTACTGGTCAGTTATTGCTTGCCCTGTTTACACCAAGTCCAAGTACACAATGCCCGACCCGGGGCAGGAACTCACAATTACTATGTCAGCAAATTCACAAAGAAATGGTTTAGTCCATTAGTTAACAGGGCAAGCAATAAATGAATATTAGTAAGAATAACAATTAGAGGAGATATCCCTTGGCATGAGCAGTAAAACAGTGTAACCCTTGTAGATTAAATAAAGGGTTCAGTTTGAAAGGTTATCTGAATCAACATACACCTGATAAAGACCAGAAGGCATAACGGCTGAAATGTTGTGATAACAACAATAAAGATGAGGATGCAAATAACTCCTCATCCCAGAAATTCGGGCAGAAATTAATTGATTTTCATTTAAAATAACATGCGGTGCAGTGTTTTAGTTCACATGTCAAACATTTTTTCTCAATTTCTCGACAAAAATGGTCAAAATTGAACAGTGATGATATATAAAAGAATATTAATAGTAAATCCAGGTTTAGAGAAAAAACATATTTAGTGATGGGTCAGAAAGTTTACATTTCATTCTTTATTTCTTGTTCAGTTAAAGATAATATTCAGATTCAAAAACAGACAGTTAAGATGGACTTAGAAATAAATCAGCATAAAGAAACACTCACCAATACTTGCTTCTCTAGTTGACTGGTAGCTTCTTTGAGGTCTACATCTAATGTATATCGAGCCTTTAAAATATATTTTAATTTAGGAAAAAATTAAACTTTAATGAGTCATAATTTAAGAATGGATATAAATAGAAACTTTACATTTCTAATATTTTCTTGAAAATCATGCAGTAAATTCAAATGCAACAAATGAAAGCACAAGTCAAGATAATAACTGACAAAGTTTGAAAAAGCAGAGAAAAGACAATATATATTGCAAAGCTGAGCAAAGAGAAAAATTGGTGTTAAAAAGCATCAATAATAGCAAATCAAGTTTTAGTAAAATTTTAGATTTAAAAGTCAGTTTCATAATTTATTTAATCTCACAATGGTTAATTGTGAACAAAGCACACTCACAATGAACGTTTGAAAAATAAACTTTTTTTTTTTTAGTTTATGACTGAAACCCTTTGAAAATCTTTCATAAATATCAAAGAAATAGGCTAGCAATTCATGTAATCTTCATAAAAGTTCAACAGCTAAAAGTGTATTACAAAAAAAAAAAAATGATGCGTTTTTTATTCTTTGCTTTATTACAAGTAATGTTTCAGACACAAGTATTCTTTTCTTAGTCTTTTTTAGTCTTTTTTAAAAGTTAACTAATGGCAGTCAATATGTAGTTGGAAATATTTTTGCACTTCAACCATGATCACTGGTTTTAGATTCTGCATGCTGAAATTATTTTGCCATTGTTGTTCTGCTTTTTGATCTTTTCTTGTATGCATGAGTCAGAATGGAATTGTTATTTTATCTTTGATTCTTCTCCAATGAACGACAAATCTGAAATGTTTTTGCAGAATTACTTGCAAGATCATGGAACATTTTCAGAGTTACTTCCAGCAAAAATTAAGATACTTTTATAAGATGATGACAAGTATGGACATCTTATGAATAAAAGCTTTTGTCATCATTTGCTATTAAACATCCACACGTGTACACAGGCACATGTGTGCAGAGGTAGGTACAACTGATGCACAAAAGAAAGAACCAGTTTTCATTTTCTAAAGAAATTACTCTTCCATAAAAATAATATTTTCATCTAAAAGAAATCAATTCAAACTTTTTGCTGAAAATGATAACTTTTTTATAAAGTTTTCAATGTGTGTTCAATTTATGTAATGTTTAACCTAACTTTAAAAGGAAAAACCTTAGAAGAATTTTAAGTTTACAGAAAATTATATATATAAAAAAAAAAAAAATCAAAATTTTAATTATAGCTAAAAGCATTAAGCAGATTAATAAAATCAAAAGTATCCCTTATAAAACAAAACAAAAACATCCTAACATGGTTAAAGAAAAACATTTATTGAAAAAATAATTTTATAGATATTAAATAAATTAACTATTAATAGTAATGGAATACAGGTTTGAACAAAAAGCCCCTAAGTTCAACATGTTTAACCTTTCATTAAGAGAGGTTCAGTAATTGCAATTAAAACTGGTATCTCCATGGAATTGCTAAAATTTCAACATACTATAATGAAAAAAAAAAAAAAAATGCTTCAAACTTAATGAAAACAAAATTTTATCGTCAAACTGTTTGTGTTATTATTAAGAAGAAAGAACAAAGTATTTTTGATTATTTCATACTTTCATACTTTCTAGCATGTTTGATATTTTGGTTAAAAATCTTGTTTTTGTTGCATCAGTGGGTCCACCAAAGATTAGTATTAGGAAATTTAGCATCTTTTTTGATGTTTAAAAAAAAACAAAAAAAACATTGTTTTGAAAATTATTGCAAAAATCAAATAATTTAATGAAACATTCAGAATTCATTAAAAAATGAATGAAATTATTTTAAACATATTCTTTTTTAGAAAGTCATGGCAAAAATTTTTTTTTTTTTTTACATCTGTTACTGCCCCCAACACCACCCTTACTTAATTTTATGGAAACTTAAGAAATTCAAGAATGTAACTTTTATTGATTATATTAGTTAAAAGCAGAAGACTTTGAAGAATTTAACACTGTTTTTGAGTGTGTGTAAGAACTTTTTTTCCCCAAGTATATGGATGATCATAAGTGACATTAATGTCACATGTTTTAAGAGTTGTTTCTCGATGGCAATATACTGACCTCAGACAATTTTAGTCTTTGTACTGTGAACATGTGTTGAATTTATTGTCACATTTTCAAAGGTTTTACTTTTTTTTTTTAAACAACCTATTTCACTAGATATTTTAATTTAAATTTTTAAATATAATTGATTTATTGTTTTTCAGTGAGTGACATATTGCAATTATGAATTATTTTCTTTTTTTAGTTTCAATGTCAAGGATGGAAACAATGATTCAGGCTTTCGACATATCTTTGTTAGAATATTTTCAAAAAAGGGACACCAAATTTTCACCAAAGTCTGAAATCAATTGCAGAGCAGATTTTATTTTTATACTTCCATTGTTAGTGGACTACTATGATTAAATAAAATAAGTATATGATTACATAATTAGTACAAAAACTTCACATTTTCATAAGTGTCATATTATAACAATTAATATTTAAAATAAGGAAAATTAAAAATTAACACATAAAAAAAAAAAAAAAAAAATAACATCTCATAAAAATCAGAGAGAAACTTATACTTATTAAGTATCTAATTTATGAGATTTTATGGTATTTTTTAATTATTAATTTTTATATTATCTCAGTTGTGAAAGTTTTTCATAACCAAGATATAAAAATTAATAATAGATAAAAATACTACCTTAAAATTTCATAAGAGATGTACGTAAAAATTAGGTACCACTCTTATGAAATTTTATCTCACTCTCAGTTATGAAATTTTAAATTTATTTTATTGTTAGGATTTTAAATTTTATTTTTCCAGAAATCATCTTCAAATGTAAGGCTATAAAGTACATAAAAAAAAAAAAAATTAGATTGCTGAAAGTATTTAGTTAATTTTTAAAAATTGCTGTGTAGTTAAATTTAGTTCACTTAAAATTTAAAAAAAATTATGTCACTTCTGTTCTTCCATCTGATAACTTCCCCCTGACTTAAGCTGTCAATGCACTGATGTAACTGTCAGTTAACACCTCAAAAACAAGTCACTGCAGTTAAGACAGGCTTTTTGTATTCCGTTGATGCAAAAAACAAAAAAAAAAAACCCAAAAAAAAACAAGATTTTTAATCAAAATTTTGAATGTTCTAAAAAGGATGAAAAATTACTTTGGTCTTTCATCTTGATAATAATAAACATTTAGACAATAGAATTTTTTTTCATCAAGTTTGGGGCCTTTTTTCCTCATGGTATGCTCTTTTTTGACGAATTAGTGGAGATATCTAAATTAAAATATTCTTAACTTAAATAGTAAATGTTGGATTAATAATGAAAGGTTAAATCAACATAAAAACAATATTGGTTCAATTTGAAAGTCAGTGATTATGCCAAATAAAATTTTGTCCTTACATTTTGTTCTTCAAGCAATTGTTGTTGTAATAAGTTGCATTTCTGTTTCTCATGCTGCACCTCAGCAACAAGTTTTGCATTATCAACTTGCAATTCCTGAACCAATAATCCATGATTGCCAACGTTGTTCTAAAAAAAAAAAAAAAAAAATTCAAAACAAACGAGAAACATTGTAAATGGTAGAAAATTTCCAAAAGTTGAACAGACTTTGCTTCCATTTTAAAACTAATATTATTAAACTTCAAGAATATACTTATTACAATTTTTTTTTATTATTATTATTAGTCTTCCACCAACATAGCTGATGCTAACCTCGAGGATAGTGACTCATTGTCACTGACATTGAAGTGGAATGTTTATATTGAATCGACTGCTAGGTACGCTGTGTTGCTCCAGAATCTATCTTACACATTTATAAGTCTACCATGCATTGAATATTGGTATCACATCACATGGTGCCTCTATTATGTATCTAGAGATTCTTGACAAAATCCAATGTCATTGGTCCTGACATCTCAGCTTCAGTCACTTTTTCACTAACATAACATAATTCTTTTCTATAAATGTTTTGATGAACTTTCATCTTTACTACCTTTATGAATTTATGTATTCTTCTTTTATAAATTTTGATCTGTCTATATTTCTGAGATGAGGTTTTATGTACACTATTTACATTGTTCGGACTATCATCCTCATCTTTGTTACCATATTTATCATATTTACCTTCTTCAGGTGGTTGGAATGTCGAACTGAACCCTTTATTTTGCTTGCTGGTCTAGTTCCACATGCCATGTCTAATGGATGTCAGTTATCAGTTATCTCCTGTTAATTCCCCTCTCCAAATTCTCTACCGGGTCTTACTCAGGAGAGGTATCTGCAAAGTGTCGTCCAGCTTTTGAAGGTTGTCCTGATGAGCAGAATAAATGGTTCAGTTCGACATTCAAACCACCTGAAGAAGGCCAGACCATATTTATCACAACGAGCAAAACGTTGTGATAAATATGGCAACAAAGATGAGGATGATAGTTCAAACAATGTAAATAGTATAAATTTTTATCTTAAAAAAAAAAAAAAAAAAAAAAAAAGAAAAAAACATGATGAACTAAAGTTTTTTCGTTTATGCAGTTGTATTAAGAATTCATAATGGAAAAAGAAAAAGGTCAAACAAGGAACATATCAAATGAAAACATGAAATTTATTTTTGGATTAAAAAAAAAAAAAAAAAAAAAGGTGGGGGGAGGGAGGTCTTTAGGTGACTTATAGGCAGGATCAGATGATGACTTTTTAGATCCACTAGGCTAATGAAATTAATGTCCCCATCTCAGATGCTGTCACACTCTCACTCACCTGAATTCAACTTGTATATTTTTTACTTGTGATATATTTTAGCTACATTTAGATAGCCTAAAGTAAACTTATTGCAAATTCTTTAAATAAACTAGAATAACTATCTTTTGTTTGTCAATAAAAATATTCTTTAGGAAATACCTTCACTATTTTACTATTTATTGCAAACCAAATTATCACGTATTTCAACACAACCGTAGTAAAAATTATAACTAAGCTTTAGTGACTCTAGACTGCAGCCTATACTAGCCTATAGGATAATCCAGCCCTGCTTACAGGTGATATTCAGTTCATTTGTTTAGAAGTGTGTAGAAAATATACTATACATTTTGCATGGTTTGTTAAGCAAAAGAAAAAATCAGAATGAATGCAAAATTTGTATGACAAACTAACATGGAAATATTTGTCCTAATATTTCTATAGTTACTAGGCAATGAAAGTGGTAAGGGAAAGGTGCTTCAAAGAAAGAAAAATAAAAAAAGACTAATAAGTAATATTACTTTCTCCCTTTCCTACCCCAATACCTCCCACCGACCTCAGCCCTTACTGAATTGTCAATTATGTCAGGACCTTTGATGTCATTAAGTCAATTCATCCTCACACGGAATTCAAATTTGGAAAAGTATTTGCAATTCTTTATCTTCTTTTTTCATGGCTTCTTTTTAGGTATCATAATTAATAGTGACAATGTCATCATCACTTTATTGTTTTTCAGTTAAAATAGTTACAATCTTGCTAAAAAAAAACCCAAAAAAAACAAACAAACTGTTAAATGCATTTTCTTCCTCTTGTTAAACTATTTTGGAATTTTAATCTTAAGAGATACTGAAAAGTTCTCATCCTAGCTAAAAAGAAATGTAAAGCCATGAACAGATATATTATCTTACATACTAACTCACTAGGGCATTTTTTAAGTTTCTTTCAAATAATGATAAAAAGCAATTGATCTTCATATCCTCAAAATTCTGTTCTTTCTCTGCTATAAGCATTTAAATAATCATTTAAAGATTTTCTTTCTTTTGAGATTTCGAAACAGGAAATATTCAAGCTCAAGATGGACGGACTATGTCCATCCTGTGAGCAAGTGCATTGCCCTACCAAAAAAAGATCATGCTGCTGCAGCTTCCTTCACGTACCCATAATCCCTTTAATCGACACAGAAGGTCAGAATAGTATTCTGCATTAATTATTTACCCCCTTCTAAGGTAGATAATCAAAATACCATTCTTATTCCCTATAAAAAAACTATGTCCATGACCTTTTCTGTTATCTTTTGAGTCTTGAATTTTTGAGCCTGTAGAAAAGCTAAATTGTTTGGTCTCTTGATCATAATGGTGTAACCCTGTTTTCATAAAACATGAAAAGTTGTCCCACCCCAGCCAAATCTTTAGAACACTATAAATGTTTGAAAATAAAATAAACTTTGATATTTGCATTCAGTATTCAAACATTTGGTTGCTTCTGCATACCCAACTGCTCAAAAATCATGAATCTAACATATTCCCTGGATAATACCTCTTGTGTCTCAGCAATTCTTTTGACTGAGATTTGTTGAGGGTTCAGAATTAGGTCAAGAACATTACCAATTTCAAAAGTTTACACTACGAAAAGCCTTTCAGATTATGTTGTATCTTGGGTCCCAAAATCTCCATGCTAGAAATTGGCCCACTGCTTCTTCACAGGTAAGTAAGAAAGAAGGGAAATATTTGCAGCATAGATTCATGGAGTTTCTTTGAAGTTTTATTCTACAGGAACAAGAACTTCATGAGGCTCCAGATTTCAATGCTTGAAAATTCCACATTTCCAATGACATGTTTCAGGTAATAATATCAAACAAATTCTTCTAAGATTGACATTTTATAAAATGAGCTCAGATTCTGGGAAGTTGGTCAGACTGAGAACTTTTCAACATTACTTTATAATTGTTTCAATAATGAAATTCCCACATCATCCATCTCTTCTCTTCCCAGCACATAGGAAGGAAGATTCTAAATTCAAACCTATGGAAAAAAAAAAATCACTCCACTATCTTTTCCAAGAAGTTATGGCAAATTAAAGATAATAAAGAAAAGGAAGCTGTGGAGAGGCATGTTTGACTATATCCTGAAGAGACATGTCATTTAAAAAAAAATCATAGGAAAAAAAATTACCTTGGGAAATGCGGAGAAATTTCAAAGGAAATTTTGTTTAATAAAGAAGTCTTACCTGCTGAAGCATATCCAAGTCTTTTTCTAACATATCCACTTTATTTTTTTCATGGTGGAGTTCAATTTCCAAACCAGATTTCTTTATTTCCAAATTGTGCACATCTTTTTCCAAACTTTTCTATAAAAAAAAAAAAAAAAAAAAAAAAAATATATATATATATATATATATATATATATATATATATATATATATATGAAAAGCAATTTTGAAAGTGTTAAGAGTTCAACAGGTGTCAGAATGTGTAATCGGCAGTGATGAAACATACAAGAAAATTACAAAGCGAACACTTAATGCATAAAGTAATGTTTTAATTGTTAGCTTGCAGGTTGTAAATTTTTTTTGATGGGGAGGGGGTCACATAGTACAAAGTATTACTTCCTTTTTCATAATAAAAGTTCACAAGACTTGATAGTTATTGAAAACTTAATAATGGAGAAAAGAAAATATATTCCTAAGTTAAAATAAGATAAAAAATTTTTATTCAATAACAGTATTTCTCATTTTTTCTTTTTTTTTTTTTGCTGCTGTTCACTCAATGCAAGACTCAAGAGCTACTCAAGGTAGAGGATGACTGAATGAAGCTGTTGAAGGTAGATAATGGTTAATCCAATACTTGAAGAGATTAAGATTGTAGTGATTGGGGGAAGCATCCTCTTGGGAGTGTGTTCCACAAAGTAGTGGCTCTTGAGAAGAAGCTGTCCAAATGCAATTTCCTTCTTACTCATGGAATACAAAGGGAATGGGGATGATTCATTTCTATGTATGTGGCATGATGAGCCTTAACTGTAAAAGTCTAAACTGGTGGAATTAAGAAATAAAATGTGCTTCAATGGCTGCAGATTATTTGCTCACTGAAATCAGGCAAAGAGGCACAATGAAAATCACACTGTTGATAATGGCAGATTTTTATTATTATTTCCCCCAGCGAGTAAATTCAAGCTCTCCCAGCTGGTATTTCAACCTTGAGTCATTCCTTCTTGAGTTCTGTCTCCAAATCACACTAACTGCCCGTTCTTGCCGTCAACCGTGAACGTCCCTCGAAGAACTCCCCAACTCGGAAAAAAGTAGTTGTTTTTATAGTTGTTCATATACCCATAATCCCTTGCGTCTTCACGTGATCCCATAATTCATTGCGTCCATGTCCCATAATGCATTGCATCATTATTGCATAAAAATGCGATGCCAGTCCCCCCTCATTCTTTTACGTTATCTGGCCGAGGATGGATTACGGCAGAGCGGTAAGTGCTTTTTTTTCTCTCCCTCATTTCAACTGCAGTAGCTTTACATGCTAAGCAAATATGGGCTCTTTTTTGGTGGGGACAAGGCAAGTCGCGACCATTTGTGCTCGTCCCAGGTTCTGTCTCATGTCCGCCACAAATTGCTGTCTAGAAACTAATATAAAATTCTTTTTTTTCATATAATGTTAATTGAATATCTTCAACTTAATATTTTACAGTGAGTCTCTCTCAAAGATATTTCATTTTAACTCTTCCTATGTAATAAATATATGAAAATAATTCCAATTAACAATGAATTACACTATCAGTGATTTAACAAATTCAAATATATTGAGAACTAGACAAAGTACCTGGCGTTGCCTGGGTGTACATGGCTGCACCTGCTATTTAGAAATGTCAGCCTGTGTCCCCACTTGCATGCATCATCCATTGGTATACTAACCTACTCACCCATTTTTTTGTCTTTTGCAAGTGTCTGATTGTTTTTAATAAAGGAATTCCATTGTTAAAAACTTCTTGTTCTTGTGTGGTCATTGCTCGGGGTTAAATTGTTTCAATGTTTTAGATATTCAATACATTTTCTATAACTGTAATAACTTTCAAATAATATGGCATTGTTCACAAATCTAATAATCAAACAAAAACAGGGATGAAGTGTCAGAGATTGATTCAAATGCAAGTGCAAACACCAGAATGCTTCCCCTCCTTCTTCACATGTTTACTGTAAAGCTGGGGTTAATAAGAGGTTCATTGGGAATTTTTCTCTTTTAGCACTTCAGTAATCCTTCTCAAACAATCTTTGCATCAAAAGTTGCTCGAATGCCAACTTAGGATGGAATCATATGAAGAAACTGTTGGCTAAATGGCAAAATCTGATTTTTAACCTAGTTTATTGCAGATTTTGTCCACTTAAAGCTTGGCAAATTTTTTGCAACACGTTTAAAGAAAATCATATAAAAAAATGAGGAAGTTATTCAAGTTTTTATTTTAAGAAGTACGGAAAACCCGATTTTTTTTTCAGTTTTTTGCAATTTATTGCATGAAGCCAATGTTGCAGGAAAACTATCAAGCACTCTACTTAAACCTCATAACATGAGCTATGTTTTGCATTGAGGGCAAAGAACATCAGCTCATGCAGTAAAAATTTTGTTCGCATGTAACTTTGCATTGGTTTTTTGCAAAAAGTCGTACCCACCTTCAGTTTTGTTGATTTTTCTGCCAAACCCAGGGAGCCTGGAGATTGAAAATTTGGTATTGACCTACCTTGGTAAATTTGCCAAATGTGTGCACAATTACACTGAACCTGGTCAAGAAATGTGGACATGCAAAAAGGCGCACACACACACACAAACAGACAGACATCATCTGTTTTATAGATATAAATTAATCATTGATTTGTTCATTTTATAGGAACAAATCAATGATTCTCAATACAGATTTTTCAAAAGAAATATTAACATGCAAAATCTCAATTTTTCATGATGAAAACATTTTCATTGAAAGTGGGGCACTGAAAAATCACAATATTAATAGTTTTTTTCTTTTACACAGTTTAAACTTCAAGTTCACTGAACCATTCACTAAATTGTCCTGGAGCATGTCACTGCTTAATTGGTCTGTTTTGACAAAGATATCTTTTTTTTTTCTTTTATATGTACATATTGTTGTTTTCTCTGTCGAGACAATATCATCTTGGGCTTAGCTGATATTTTGGTCGGATGGTCTATCATCATCATCAAGTGTTGTTTTATTTCTTCTTCTGTGGTAAATATCTTCAGTGGTATTTTGTTCATGTTACTTCTTTTCTGGTATTTCAATCATGACAGTCACATTTTCTATTACTCTATGAGGCTTATGGCTGAGAGTTTGTATAGCTGCAGATTAGATCTTTGCACCCATCAAAAGAGGCAGGCTGAAAAAAACCACACTGTTGATAATATTTTTATTTTCCTCACAATGCAATTTGAGGTTGCCTATATACCACTGTGAACAGACATTGTTGTCATGCTAGTGAAGTAATGAAAAAAGTTTTCGGATTGGTTTACTGACCATTTTCTTTCATTGGCATCATGTCTAAAGGGGTAATGTCACTAATTACTGCCCCTCCTTCTCCTCTGGTGTCTGTATATACTTCACATTCAGTCTTATTTTATCAATTTTCTGTCTTAATTTCCAATTATTTCATGAATATCCAGGAGCCTTGTTCTAATTGAACAATCAAAAAATACTTTAGCTGAAAATTTATCTGTAGTTGCATATGGTTGCTGATCTTCTATATTCTCTAAGGTAGATGTTCAGTTCTTTTGACTAGGTTCTTTTTCTTTATGAAATTGAGCAATTTCCAATGCCTTCAGCATAGAATGGTTCTGTTCTTCTACACATTTTTTATGTGTTTTGATATTTTCTGTGAAAAATGTTTGAAATGCATTTGATCAAAATTGTCATTCAGTGTCATTTGTAACTGACATTAAGAAGCAGTGTTGTTTAAACATCTTACACATTAATTCAATTATTTGTTAAGCAGTAATTCAATGTTGTTGCTTCAACTTTATAGTAATGTAAATAATAATCAATAATCAACAAACCTGTATAGGTTAAAATAAATCTATATGCAAATCTTGACATTAACCTAGCAGTTATTTAATAGGTGTCACTGGCTCTGACATTCTGATTGGGGTAATGAACTGATATCCATTGCATGCACACTTAAATTTATTCACATCTTTCTTCAACCCTGGTTACCAGATTTCTATTCTTAGGCTGAGATTTGGCCACATCATTTTGACATGTGTCCCTCATATCTTGTTGGAGACTGCAATCATTATCTTGGTGGCACAAATCACAATTTTGCTTATGGTATGCAGTTCATAGCAAACTGGTTACAATATGTGGTAGATTTCTCTCAACAGCACATTTTAACACATTCAACATTTTTGTCTCATGATAAGAAGTCTCTTCTACTTGGAGTTTTGTCATGACTCTGTGGAGTTTTTGTTGCCTCAAACTGTACATGCCATTCAGTTACTCAATTCAACATCATATCTTTTCTAGTCCAGGTTCAGTGATCATCTTTGTTTTAGCAACATTTACAAGCCAGAACTGATAGAGCAGAAACTGAAATACTCATCCTTCAATTCAATCATGCTATTAGAAAGATTTTCATATGAATGTCCAAATAATCAAGTGTCTCAGTATCACTGAAGTGTTTCTGTAATGTGTCAATTTTGTTTTCTTTTGCTCTGGGCCAAATGCAAATGATTGTCTTTTCTAGCATAGGGATTCGATGATGGTTGCAAAATTCAGGATATACCTTGCATTATGGTTGACAAAACCAAGATAACTGTGCAATTCAGTAATATTTTCTGGTTCAGATTTGCTCCCTTTACTATCAACTTATAAAAAACCAAATTTCAATAACTCACATCCACCCCCCGTTTCCCATCACACCAGCATTGCCTAAACTTTGAAGTAATTTGAAAATGCCTTTATAATATTCTTGGATAGTTTTCATGTGTACAATAATTTGATCTGACTTGTATGCAACAATTGGAATACTTGGACTATGCTAATAAGTTGTGTGTGTATGAGAGAGAGAGAGAGAGATGTGTTGTGAGATTTTGTGTTTCTGGATGCTTCAGATCAAATTTGGAGAAAATTCTACACCTGACCATGTCTTGTAACATCTTTTCAGTAGTTGAGCCCAGATTATGTGCCACTTATCAACACACATCCTAATATCATTTTCTTTGCCCTTTATCAATAATGATATTAAATAGACATATTAGCTCTATGAATGTAGAGCTAAACTATTTTGATGGTTCTTCAACAAGTTCTGTAATGTCAGCATTTATAGGAATTTCTTTTTCACTTTTTCTTACAGAATCCAACAGGATTTACCAATAAGTCTCTATCTTTTGATTCCTGATAGTATATTCTTGAATTCAGTTTCAAGTTTTCTCTTCACTTCATTCATTCATTGGGTTTTTTTTTTTTTTTGAATGCTGCATGAATTTTATCCTTCAGATGTTAGAGATACAAAAATTTGGAGCTCTGTTGCAGTTTTCAGTCATGCCATCAATCACAGGAAAAAAAAACAAAAAATTCTGTATACATTTCTGTTTGCCAATATCAGTTTTAGATGTGAATGTACCTATGGTATTTTAGAACATTCCCATCTAATTGAAGAGTGGGAATGTTTGACTGGGCCCAACTATTCATACATTTGATTTTCAGGCAATTTATTTTTCTCCATTTATTTCATTATTTATGTTGTCAATCAACACAATTAGTGGTACACCGCCAATGCTGGCAATCTCTCTACTCAGCCAAAATGTCACTGATTGGAAATGCATAAACAACATGTGTACAAGATGCAATGGCTTCACCTTTTCTTGTTTATTATATTCATTTGCTTGGTTTTTTTTTTTAAATCTATTTTCAAGACAGGATACTTTGGAGAGCCATGATTGCCTACATCCTGAAGGTATACAGCCCATAGAAGTAATAGTCAAATGTTGAAATTATGAGGCTCTTGTTAGAACAGCTGTCTAGAAATTGTAGTATTTACCTGAAGTACAAAATAGTCATTCAGAACTGACAATGCTTCTTTATCATCAGTTTCTACATTCATACTTAACAGTATCAAGATGTTCTGTACCTTGTGTCATCAACAAAGTACATCTTCTTTGTGCTGAATTTAATTGAACATCACAGTCTATGAATTTTTGACAGTTCTTTGCTATCAACATAAGAAAGAGAATATATTCAACCAATAAATCCAATGGACCCCTTCCCACTGATGGTTCATTATGGAAGCTGAAATTCATAATTTCACAATAAACGATTGTTTTTTTTTTTTTCTCTGCCATATGGCATTTACTATCGTGTTCCTCATCACCAGTGCAGTGACCAGAATGTTTGAATGGCTGCAAATTAGCTTTTTGGGCTCAACCAAAGAGGCTTGCTGAAAATCATAGTATTGATAATGAAAAATCTTTTTATTATTTTCCCACAATGCAATAGGAGGTACCTATATACCAAGGTGAACAAACACTGATACTATGCTACTACGACAATGAAGGGTTTTTTTGTTTTTTTTTTGATTGATTCCCATTGAATCATTCATCATTAATGAACACAATAAATTCAAACAGATGTGTATAAGAAACAATTTGGTTTTTAAACAATAAGAAATATGATGTTGATCAAAAAGTATCGGGACTGGTGCTATAAAAAGAAAACTACAACACATATCAATTTGGCATTTAATCTCCTTTGAAGTAGTCCCCATCTGAAGCCACACACTTTATCTAGTGTTATTTCCATTGAAGGAAATATTCTTAGAACTGCTTTTTTAGGAGAGTGAGCAGCTGCCTTATTGTATTCTCAAGGGATTTCCTCTATGTATTGAAATCTTTTTTTTTTTCCAAAGTAGGATTTGATTTTTGAAGAGGAAAACATTGTAAGGGGTGAGATCTGCGGAATGTGGTGTCTGTCAGAGCTAGGGAATGTTGTAATTGGCCAAAAACTGCTGCATAATCCATAGTCACTGATGAAACTTTTGTAGTGTGGTGTGACAACCAAATTGCACACTTTCCTTCCAAGCAATGCTATAGACAGGGAGAAGTGAGCAAAAGTATTATAACTTAGTGTGTATGTGCATCAGAGTTTAGGGTCAATCTGTGCCAAGCGGCTTCACCATGTGTACTCCATTACCATCGCAACAGTCACAATACTTTTTGATCAAATCTTGTATGTATAGCATAAAGCATATAATTAATGCAATAAATGAATGTGTAGCTATCCTTATTTTTTTACCTTTGCTTCTTGTAAAGAATATAACTGAATGTTGTTTTCTTGCTCAAACCTTTCCTTGTTATGCTGGGCATCTTCTAGCTGAATCATTTGATACTTCAAAGTAGATTCAGCCTCTTTGAGCTAAATGGGAAGGAGAAAAAGAGAGACATAAGCTTTCTGAGCAGCAAACCATTTGCAGAAAGTTAATGTGAATATAGCAAAAAGTGAAGAAAGTAAAAAAGAAAAAAAGTTTGTATTTAAAAGAAAACTGAAAACATAACTTAATTTCATTGATACTAGGATTATTAATAGGTAGCCCAAACTGCCCTAGTTCACTGTGAAAACATGTCGAAATAATTTCCTTCACATTCAACTGTTGATATTTCTCATATTTTTAGGCTATTTTCATTTCTCAAAAAAGAAAAAAGTGGATACATATATTTCTTCAAATTTTGTAACCCCCCCAAAAAAAAAGTCGTTATAGAAGAGGAAAAGCATGTCATCTTTTATTTTAAGCAAGTATTTGTTAATTTTTTTTAATTGTTTTACTTATGTATCAGTGCTTTCCATTCATTTCAGTTTGAAAACAAACAAGTTTAAAGCTTTACAATAAACATTTGTTTTAAAGATTCCCCAATGATTCATCTCATGAAACAAATTTCTAAGTTTTATAGTCATCAGTCCTCCAATTTGCCTAGTTTAACAAAATTAGATCCAACTATGACAAAATGCATTCATATTACAGAGAAAAGTGCAGTTTTGCTGAATTCATATTACAGAGAAGAGTGCAGTTTTGCTGAATTTCTCATTCAAAAATTAGCAAAGTTTCAATGGTTCAGGCCTGTACTTCCAATGGATACTTTTTTATGACAAGTTGAAAATGATATTTATTTATTTATTTTTTTTTTTAAGCATTCAACCCCAAGCAAGGCAGGAAGCCACTAGCATGCAAAGTGTTTCAGAGTAGGAGCGAGAAAAAAGAGAAGTGATAGAGGAAAGGATGAAGAGACGGTTAGGGGAAAGATCAGGGCATCTGGAGACATCGATTGATGTTACATTTAAATAGTTGGGGATTATAGTTATCAGGAAAAAAAGGAATGGGGAGTGAGTTCCACAGGCAAGAAGTGAGAGACATGAAGCTATTGGAGTAGAAGAGACAGCTACATTTAACAGTTTCGACAGTGAAAGGGTGAGAGTAAGATGCCAGCCTAGTTGAGCGCTTAAATTCATGAAGTCTGGGAACCAGCGAAAACAGGTCATCAGAGCAGTTACTGTGAAAGCATTTGTAAAAAAGACAGAGGAAGGCAATGGCACGTCTGTGAGAGAGCGGCTGCAGACAAGATGCCAGATCATGGCCAATTACATTGCATATCTGTCTTTGGATTTTATCAAGGACCTTGAGACAATTAGAAGGGGCTCCAGACCATATATGGCAGCAATACTCCATGCAAGGACAAATCGTTGATTTGTAGATTTGAAGGATCGACTCCGGCGAGAAAAATTTCCTGGTGCGGAATAGGGAGCCAACTTTCCTAGCAGTGGACGAAGCTATTGAATCAACGTATTCGTTCCATCTCAGGTCAGCGGACAATGTAAGACTGAGCAGTCACAAAGAGGTGCTCTCGCGGAGTTGAGCATCAGACATTCTAATGGGAGGCAGGGATGGTTCTCTCTGGTGAGTAATAGAGAGCAGTTTTGTTTTTGAGTCATTAAAGTTAACCAGCCAATACCTGCCCCAGTCCACAACCGATTGGAGGTCCTTTTTAAGACAAATGGCCAGGTTAGTTTTGTCGGCGACACTAGATTTGTTTTTGAGTTGACATGTTTTTGCAAGATTGTCAAATTGCATTTCTGTTTTTACATGGTGTGAATATGAAGTTTTTTATTGATGTATACTGACAATAGTTTCATCTGTTGTGCTATCAATCATATTAAAGAAGTTGCAAGGCATTAACTGTTGAAATGAAACTTATATGAACAGTCAGAATTGCACTTCTGTAATGTAACTATTTTGTTTTTGAAAATGCAATTTTCCTAAATGTTGACTGAATCTAATAATTATTGATTTTATTATCTTTCTTTTACTTCTATATATGACACACACACACAAGATTTTTCACTTCTTTGAAGCCTGCATCTTCAGTTATACTCTGGTAAAATAGGCTTCTGTCAGAAGGGTACATGAGACAGAATGACCATGTTATAAAATAAGACATATCTCGGCTGATTTGCAGGCAAATAAACATACTCAAGAGTGAGAGCCAGATGTGAATGGGACAAGGCCCCGTCACAAAATGACCATTATCATCGTTTATGCATAGGCCCGACGCACGAGTTCCGGTCAAAAAATAAAAGAATATTTTAAAGTGTTTCTATTTTTTGACCAATAAAAATGCTTCCCTCCTAATTATACTCGTGTCGTTTTTCGAGCCTGTTAAGCCATAAAAAACACCATAAAAGGGGTCACACGGGGAAGTACAACAGCAGTCAACAGGAGGCCAGGGAAGAGACCTGTCACGGTCAGTCAGCAGCAGTCAGCAGGAAGTGCCACACCAACCATCGAGAACTACTATGAGAGATCAACCCAGGTCGGCAGCCGGCTTATGAACTATACCACAAGGTAGCTGTCCCAAAACCACATGTTCCTATTGAAATAAATCACGTAAATCTATTTCTGCTGTTGTCGTATTTCTTTCTTGCAACCATACGCTTGTCTATAACAAGCGTAACTTGGTTGCTAATTGAATTACCAAGATAAATTTGGTACCATTGTTTGTTTTGTCAAACTCTCTATGTCTGTATTAAAAGTTTGTAGATATGATAAAAATACAATTTTACTTTGGGATACCTTTAAGAGAATCATTTGGTTGTTTAAGTATACACTAAAAAATTGGAGTAAAATGCATAACTGAAGAAAAAATTAAACTTAAAAATTAGGAGAGAAAAAAAAGAAAAAAAGATCACCTCTTTTTGTAATTCAGCAATTTTGGTTTTTAAGGAAGTTTGGCATTTTTTCAATTCCTGAAAGGTAAAGCAGATCACACTTCATAAAACAAAAACAAAAGCATTATACTTTGGGATTTAATTTAAGATGTTGTCTACTAAACATTCAATAACATATGTTATGATAAAATTTAAAAAAAAAAATCTAAGAAATAATCCAGTTATTATAAATCCTTTTGTTTAGTGCAATGCAACAAAGTGATGTCAATTTACTGTTTTCTAACAATGATTGCCTGAAATTGCATATCTGAATAGTACGAAGGGGTGTTGAAAAGTTTTCAATCTGGCCCACTTCCCAGAAATCAGTATATTTATTTGGCCATTGACATACTTTATAAAATGAATCAATGGGTTGGAGAATAACTTTTCAGCACTCCCTCATAAGCAACTTCATGAATATCATTAATTATTATTATTAATATTTTAATAAATGCTTTTAAGTGCAAAGATAAAGAGTTGCGCATTCAGTTTTTCAAATTGCAAAAAAACAAAAAAAAAACATGAAATAAACGGTAATTTTTCAAGACAAAAATTAAGTAATTAACAAGTGCTTTCAATCAAATATTTTTTCTTAGAATTTGATTATTATTTCAGGGCAGTTTGCCTAACACAATGTCAATGCTAATTAAGAAGTAATATTATCTCCATTAGGCACAAATGTTTAATTTAATAACTAAACGTAACTGCATTTTCAAATTTTACTTTCCAGTTGATAAATCTCTGTCACCAGGTAATGCTGGAATTACTCAATTGATAATCTGTTTTTATCTTTGAGATTAACATGCAATCAGAATAATTCAAAGTCTACAATGATAGAAACTTACTTTGTTGGTTTCTTGTGCTTTTTCAAGTTCTTGCTTCCACATTGCATTCTGACCTTCCATTTCTTGGATTTTGATTTGGAATGATCTAGTTTAGAAACAAACAAAATTCATCAGTAACAAAGAAAAGAGTGCTATAATCTCTCTCTCTTATATATATATATATAAAATCCTAAGGGAACGATTGTTTGAATCTTGCATATTTCATATTTTTCTTATAAGATTTCTCAAATAGTCAGGTCCGTAGATGAAAATAAATAAACAGAGCATCTACTCAAATATGGGTATCCACTAAAAAAAATATATATATTTATATATATATATATATATATATATATATATATATATATATATATTGATTAATGGAATTGAGAATTGGAAATATCAGAACTTTTTGGGGTATTGGAATCAGAGAATTTTTAATCTAATTTCTGATTCCAAAAACAATTCTTTGTATTTTTTTTTTTTTTGTTTAAAACTTAATTTTCCATTCCTGGTACTAATGTATAAATATTTATTGATTTTTTAAACTATCAAACATGAAGTCAGAATCAGAAAGAGTTGAAATTTTTGGGACAAATGAGAAAAGAGATCTGGGAGAATTTGATACTCATAGGACAAGGTGGCGAGAGGAAGAGAAAGAAATAGCAAGTAACCTTATTTAATAAGCTTGTGTAAATGACAGAACAGGGAATGAGAAGGTTAGAGACAAATATTGCTCTGAGCTGAAAAGAATAGGAAATTGTGGAGAGTTTGATCACCCACATCCCGAAGGCATATGGCACATGAAAGAGAAGATATAAGAAAAAAATGTCAACTACAAATTAGTCATAATTGGGTATATAATATTTTTTTTTTAAATTTTAATAAAGCAAACAATCCAAATTAAGCATGAATTTTTAATTATACTGAAATGCAAAATATATTTTCAAAACAAGCCAGTTTCTGGTTTCAGAATTTCTAGCTTGTGAAATAATCATATTTAATAAAATTAAAGATAAAATCAAAAACGTTTTGCTAGACTGAAAAAAATTCTAGATTGCAAAACTCTAAATCAGACTTGTTAGATTTATACAACAAAATACAAGTCACTATTTACATAGTTCGAATTGTCATCCCTCATTTTTGTTACCATATTCACGTTTTGGCCATTGTATGCTCCTGCCTTCTTCAAGTGATTGGAATTTTGAACTGAACCTTTTGTTTCATCCACAGGTGTAGATTGTTCTAGTTCCACGTTCCATGTCTCTTCATTATCTATGCTTGGCTAGCTTATGAGATTTTTGTGGCCTACCATATATGCGGATTCCTTAAATTTTTGTATTTTCCAGTGATGTTCTCAGTCTAGTATTTCAACTTCATCTCACAGAGGACAGTGATCTCCCTTTTCCCTCCATATGTGGTCAGATATGCCTGGTTTTTCTATTTCCCCTCATGTTATGGCTTTACAATGTTCTTGCAGTCTTACCTTAAGGTGGTGGCCTGTTTCTATTTTATAATTCTTATCCCAGTTACATGGGATTGCATAGTCTTTAGTCATGTTCTCCTTTAAGGGGGAGAGGTCTTACTCAGAAAAGGTATCTGTGAAGTGTTGAACCATTTTTGAAATTCGTCCTGATGTTATATGAACTACAGATCTTTTGTATTTTCTCCAATAATTCCTTCACATAGGGTTGGCAGACCAAAGCTGTTTTCCGAGTGTTGTTATCCTCTTGTACCCTTCTATCCCAGTCTGTCAGAGCTGCTGCCATGTACCTAGGGTACTTTTTACGTTGAAGGGTCAGTATAAGCAGTAATGTAATGTAGCTTTCCTGTGCCTTTTCTATAAATAATTTCATATTAATTGTTTTGATGAACTTTCTGTTATGGTACCTAGACTTCATGAATTTAAGCGCAGTATAAGATTGGTGGCAATGTCACATCATTTTACAGTTGAAATTGTTAGATGTAATCATTAGTTGAATGCTAAGTTTCTTCTCTTGCATTTCTTTCTTGTGGAACTATCTTCCAACTTCTTGCTTACCAGTCAAGTTTGATCTTCAAAAATTTAAATGCAATATTAATCATCTTTTTTCTTTTTAATTCATGTTCTTTTTTTGTTTTCTCTCCTTAATATTGTTTTTTTATCCTCATATTTTCTAACGCTCACTAACTCCTTATGTTTTAGTGGTTTTATTGCTTTGTTTGGGGTGAAATGATAATAAAAATGTAAACTAATTAATTCTGTCTAACAGTTAAACTCTAAAGCCATTTTTTATCCAATGATGTTTCTTTGCTCTTTTATATCCTACAAAATCTGCTTTCATGTGTAATATCAAACATTTCAGATCCAACAATTCATAATGAGATTGATCAGTCATGTTAGTGTAATACACACACTTTCCAAATCCTTCAAAGCTGTAAGTAATAAACTGTACCTAAACTGATATTAAAATCTATTTACAATTATCTAGTATGTATGACATTTTTTTTCCTTTTAACTGTCTGCTGATTCATTGCCATCAATTCAATGTTGTCATTTCTAGATGACCACATGGCAGATGATTAAACAATATACTTATATTATTAATGAAAACATTAAAAGAACAGAACATCCAAGGATTTTTAGGCCAATACATGATGACTATTAAGGAATCACAGTATTTAAGGAAACTCAGATGGACAATTACTCAAGTCCTTTGAACACTGAGCCAATTAGAAAGGAAATTGAAAGTACAATTATTTTCTTACAAATGGATTGGTAGTAATGATGTATTTTTGAAATTATTCACTAATTTCTTTCATAAAATTCTTACAAATAAAGAAAAAATTTTTTTTTACTTTAAAGATGTTTATTTTGCTTGCAAGTACAACTATCTATGCCTATGTGTATATGTAGACAGATAAAATATGCAGAAAACACTTCTCATTCTATCTAATATATATATATATATATATAAAATAAAACAGTGTTCAATATAAAATAAAAGTAGTAAAATTTATAGTAAGAATAAATATAGATTTGTTCTTTACTGTTATATTTAGTCTAATGAGACAGCAACTGTTCTTTTAAAAATGTTTTATTGAAAAGTAGAGATATTTTATGTCTATTAAATTTAATCATCTACTTTTCTAAATTACAAATGACCTTTTGTAAAAATGGCTGCTGCAGAAATACAAAATTACCAAAATCAATACAGTTGCTGTGTCCAAAGTTTTGACTCACACATGTCATCATCAGGGATATGTAGGTAGGGAAAAAAATGTTGAAAAGCCTATGAGAAACCATTCTACTCTCTTCAAAGGAAACATGGCAATTCAGAGATAAGAAAGGAAAGGAATCTCTGGGAAAGGCAACTGAAAACCACTTCACTATCTTTCCAAAGTAATGTCAATTCACAGATAAGAAAGAAAAGAAATCTGTAGAGCAGACAACAGGAAACCACTCTTTCATAAGAAGTCATGGCAATTCACAGATGAGAAAGAAACAGAATCCATGGATAACGCAATGAGAAACCACACTACTCTATCGTCAAAGAAATCATGGCAATTTACAGATGAGAATGGAAAGGAATCTCTGAAGAAGGCAACAATAAACCACTCTAATTGCTTTCTCAAGAAGTCATGGAAATTCACAGATGAGAAAGAAATGAAATCTATGGAGAAAGCAATGGGAAACCCTTCCACACACTGTTCCAAGAAGTCATGGCATTTCACAGATAAGAAAGGAAAGGAATTTGGAGAATGAATTGAGAAACCACTCCACTATCTTTCCCAAGAAATCATAGCAATTCACAGATAAAGAAAAGGAATTTCTGGAGAACTAGGATTGTCTATACCCTGAAAGGTATAAAAAACAAAAAACCCACAGTCTTATAGAAAAAAAATGTACAGTCTTATCCTAATAAATTACACTAATACTTGTTACAAAATACACCAATGCACAAAGATAACATATAAACAGATCAATTAAGTATACAATGCAATGTACACGTATGTAAATACAAACACAGAATAGAGAGATATCTTCCTTTCTTTTTAAAAGTGTCAACTAGCACACCCCTTAATGCTTAACATAAATAAACAGTAATTTTATTTCTCCCTTTTGCTATTCTAAAAGACAATTTCCTCGCAGAACCAAAGCCCACCCACCCCTCCTCTGGTCGCACTTACTGTTCAACGTTTCTTTGTAGTTCCTTCTGTGAACCTGTCTCTTGTTTGGCAGATTCATATTGAACTTGTGCTTGGATGTAGTCTTCTTGGAGTTTGTCTCGTTCCATCTGTAGCTTAGCAACGCTGTCATTCAACTGGCGCTTCTCAAGTATCAGTGTGTGCTGTTCCAATTCATGCTTGTGTTTGCATTCCTGCAGTACCGATTCTGCCTGTCTCTGCAAAGTGAGGAGAGAAGAAAAAGAATAACAACAATTTGAGAAACAGAAATGCAACTGCTTGTTAGTCTTGCTTGTTGGTAAGAGAACAGTTATTTGTTTACAGGTGTTACAAGCATGAGGGGGGGGGAAATAAAAGGGGAATAGAAGAAATTAAGTAAAAAAAAGTCTTCATGCTTTAGGAAAGATTTCCAAATTATTTTCTTCTCTTTTTTTTTTTTTTTTTTTATTCCTTAGAATATGTGTTTTTCTTTTACTGATAACAGAGTGAATAAAATGTCAAGTGAAAAGATGTAAAATTTCTATTTACAAAACTCCAGTTTCACAATATTGATTTCAAAACCACTTGAGGATTGCAAATTTTATGAATGTAATATTGATTACACATCAAACGAAACGATAGGCACCGAGGAATTTGAATTAATAGAACAAAGTCAATATTTCATCTCAAGTGCTGTGATAGTTAAGCTGGCAAAAAGGAAATCATTTCAAATCCCAAAGAAAAGCTGTGTTTTTTGTGATGGCGGGCATCAGTTAAGATATTAGAGACAATTTCATTTTTTGATGGGTTAAATAAAAGACCCCTTTTTATACTAAGTGAATGGATCTTTTGGTCAGCAGAGAAAGGGTGTAATCTTTGACAGAACAGAGAAAAAAAAAACAATTAAAATGTATAAGGCTTGAAAAGAGTTTCAAGTTGCAAAGACTCATCATTTTCTAATAATCAACCATGTATTTGAAAAATATATAACGACTGAATAGCATAAATAATTTATATCATTTTGATAGGGATTTTACAAGTAGAAAACAACATTAAAAGATGTCCTTTTAATAAGACTATTATCATTTTTAATGCTTGTAATATTTACAATTTAATTAATATCCTTAAGATTTCTCTACTGATGATCTAACCAATAAAATCTTATGAATGAGTTTTCATGTCAAGGTTTATACTTGTTTCTATTCTACAAGTAGAATGAAATGTAAAGTTGATTATGGAAAAAATTTGGTCATCTTTTTTAAATAGGATTTAACATTATTTCTCTGGCTTTGTCATTACAAAACTCATTCATTATATTGTTATTTTATTTTGTTTCATTGTTGCCATCATTGTGAAGCTTGACACTTTTGTCGATTGAAACCGAGAAAATTATGAAATAAAACTTTGCTGAACAAAAAAAGATTAATTTAAAATTATCCAACTTAAACTGAGAACAATTGCAAATATTTTTCATGAATAACCCAATTTTTTTGTATGCAATTTGAATTTTTATTATTTCTCTTTATTTTCATAATACAGAGACAAAACATGTACCATAAAAATGCAACTCTTGATATGTAAAAATATGATGATGGTCATCAATCCCATGACCAGGTGTGACTGTAGGGTCACCACGCAGGTAAACTCCTGACCAGTACCCTCCACATAGGAGTAGAGCATGATATGAGCAAATTAAACCTGGCAGAGTTCATCTCAGTCCAGGTCAAAGACACAGCCAATGTTCTTGCCTCGGTCATAGACATATTGGCATTGATTTCATTGAGAGAACAATCTGCCCTGGCTGTTGACTTCAGTCTAGGAAGCACTCTGCTCAGTAATACCGTGTCATCACTGCACCAGTTGCATAAATAGCTATGGAGCACAGTCTACCCCATTGTGCTAGATGACCATTGACCCTGCAAGAATGTTCATCTGCCCTTTGTCTTATTTTTAATCCTTCTGAGTGTTTAGCCACCCCTTCACTAGAAAGCCTGAGGGGGGAACTGGTTTAGTTATAAAAATTATATAATTAAAAATATATAAATTATATAAAAGATTAATAAAAAGTTGAATATAAACAATAATGATGATGATAAAATTAATAAAGTATTGTCTTTAGTTAAATAGACAAAGTTTGTTTATTACTTTTTATTTTAAGAAGAGTATTTAAAAAATAATTATAAAAAGAAAGCCAGATAGTAAAAATAAATGGCATGAATAAATTTGATGTGTAAAAAAAAGAGGTTCAAGTCTTTTGATCTAAAAACCAAGCATAAGGTTGGTGAATAAGTATAATTTAAAAAAGATACAAAAGATTTTTGACTGCTGAATTTATAAAAGTAGGTGAAAACTGTTGAAAATTTATAAGAGCTTTGAGCCTAACATATTTTGAGTTTTGAACTGGTTATCTTGTCTTATTAGTAAGGCACACAAAGGAAAATTTATGCAAACTTTGTATTCTGTTTAATTGTTTTGTTATGTCATTGTAATAAATGTTTCAAATTTAACATGAGATTAAAAGACTTGTTTGTTTAAATTTACACCTTTACACAATACTCAGGATAAAAAGATATGATGTCCTCTCTTTTCTTCCCCCAATAAAAATTATTTTATAGTTGGTGATAACCCAACAATGCAACATGTAATACAATGATGTATAACAAACTTAAAATGAATGGTTAAAATACTCTCGGCTAATCTAAATGAAAAATATTTTTAAAATTTACAATTTACTTTATCAGATCATGTTAATAAGAAAACTGTCGAAGTGCAATATAATGAGAAAGACTGCTGAAAGAAAAAAGATCTATAATCAGGCAAATTGAGTCATAGGAATATTCTAGTTGTCTTTGGTTAAATGTATGAAGCCATTTGTTAAAGAACTGAAAAATTAATCAGTTTGTATTAACTATTGTCAGTAGATTATTTTAAATTCTTCAATCTTTAGAAAGAACTCAACGATGAAAGTAATAATCTACAAAGTATTGCATTCTTCAAGTACTCCACATTGATCATTTACCTGTATATGCCTTCATTTGAAAATATCTAGTCTTGCTTTATTTAATGAAAGCATAACAATATACTTATATTTCATAATGTCCAGAGATATGGGAATAATATTTCTCTACAAATTCCCTAAAAGTAAAAACATTTGACCAAGAAAGAGCATTGGAGGCATATTTTTTTAACAAATAAAATTTCATACACAATAGCTTCCTTTTTTCAAAGAACTCAACTTACTTTTTCAAATTGTAATTCTTCTATTTTCAATAAAAACTCTCTGCTTTCTGAAAGATTAGCATTGTTTTTTTGAAGTTCGAGTTTTGAAACCTGCTCCTAGAGTGGGGAAAGAAAAACAGAAAAAGAAAAAAAAAAAAAAAAAAAAAGAAGAGTAAAACAGTCAATGTAAAGTCTAAATGTTTTGCGTGTGCTGGCAAAAATGGTTATACAATGAACAAGCATTATCATATGACATCTATTTTGACATAAGAAAATAAAACCTCTTCAAAAATTCTAGTTTGAAACCACCTTGAAAACCCAAAGAAATTTTTGGCACTAATTTAATTTTCCATGAAAAATATCTGAATACACACAACCATTTAGGCAGCAAGAATACATGCAAACAAGTTTTGTTAAATTCAATGGGCAACACCTGTCAGTTTTAATTTTTTAATGTATTTTCTAATTTTCAAATAAGGTGTTGTATATCCAAATCAAAATTGTGGCTAAACTGTGCAAAGTTCACGTTTTTGTTGGAGTACTTTTGACTTGTCTCAGTCATTATTAAGAACTGAATGCTGTCAGAATAGTAGACAAGATTTTGTTAGGTACATCGGCATTTTTGGAATGCTACATTTCAAATTTAAATGTACATATATTGCAAGAGTGACATCACATGTAGAATAGCTTCACAGAGCTTGACAGCACCAAAAAATTTTAATTATTATTTAGTATGCATACTAAATATTTCAATTGTTTTAGTTAATATTTTACTAAGTAGCCACTTTAAAATACTGTCTTCTAACATTGATTATTTTGTGTATTTTCTTGCAGAGTGTGCTATATAGTATTTTGGTATTACCTACTAATAATTGACTTATGCTTTTAATTGCATTTTGGTTGTTTTTTATGTGATCATTAATATGTGCATGAATTGTACTAAATTTTGACAAGTCAAGCTACAAGAGTGTGTAATGTATTTGTGACCAATGTAAGAATTTAATGTCTTTTGATTATTGATATTGGAGATATAATCTTCCAATAGTCATGATAATTCATAAACAACATTGTTTTTACAGGGAGAAGCGGGACTCAGATTTTTAGGTGTTGAATTATAAGAAGTGAATGTATTAAAATTTTTATAATAAATGAAAAATCTAAGGTACTTATTGTAATCATTGGGATATGTAATAGTGAATTCAATTTTTAATAGCTTTTCTCATCTTGTTCAGTTAGGGTGCATTGGTTACAATAGAATAACAATGATATCTTTAGAAAAATATTATAAAATGAAATAGACGTTAATTAAATCTAACAAAACTTGTACACTGGCACGAACAAGTTTGGGGCCAATACATAAAATGATTATACACTTTTATCAGTAGTATCTGTGGACCTTGAGGATTCAAAAATATGTTGTTGCCTTTTTGTAGGTGGCATGTAACAGAAAATAGACTGTTTTAAGCAGCTTGAAGCTGAAAAAAAAAAAAAAAAGGCCATGTAAAACTATTGGGTCAATGAAAGAACTGAGATGATAAAGTCATGACAATATATAAATTTCTTAGTAGGAATTGTTCCATCTTATAAACACGGGTTTAAGGTGACTTGGCAAGTCATTGTAATTGAACATAAGCTTTCTTTCTTTTTTTTTTTTTTTAACACTAAAATTATAGCTAACATTTCTGATGAAACAAAGATGACAGTTGTGACACTGAAGGTGGAAGATGGCTTAACGGGAGAGAGCCAGGTGGCTGGGAATTTCCAGAAACAATGTTCAAACCATTCAAAAGACTTTGCTACTATTGGAAGTGTTTTTAAATGTAAAAAAAAAAAAACCAAAGGGCCACAATGCTTAAGATGCTCTATCAGCCACCATACAGCATTATTGAAAATAGGCTGTAACTTGTTTTCTGGCCAGCAAACAACTAAAATTTTATAAGAAAGATTGGGTCTATGAATTTCTTAGATAAAACATTGTAATTATTAACTTTTTATGAGTTTTCCTTTCATCTTATGTTACTTTTTTTTTTTTTTATTACATCTTTCAGGTTATTATTCTACAATCATTATGTAGGCGTGCATCAGAAATAATGAGTAATTCTCAGGTGAGATTTGAACTTACATCCCTTATTTCTGGGAGCTCATTGTTTTTTGATAGCACCATTACTGGTAAATGTTACCCAAATAAGCTATAGAATTATATTCCTTATTTGTCCAAATTAATGCAATTACACTGACAGTGTATGTTATATTCCTTCATCATAAAAAATAATTCACAAATTTAATGCTGATTCCTGTCACTTGCTAAAGTATTCTAGAATAATAATAATAATCATCTGAGAATTGTGATGAAAAAAAATAAAAGGAAAGACAAGTTCATAAATTCATACTAAAGAATGTCTATCTTAAATAGTTTCTCTATTCACTTGATATCAATAACAATATATATTGCTAATAAGATGTTTGAAATGATTGCTTTTACAGCTGGATTTACTTGGCAGCATACCCTGCTCTTATGTAATGAATAAAGCAATTGGATTAATCCCACAGTTATTGCTATGTAATAATTTTAACAAATGATAAATGATTATGTATTTTAACAGGCACACAAATTGGCTAGTGTAGTAACAAAAACAAAGGTGTATAGAAATAGTGAATGACACTTTTCAAAAATTGAATAAAGTATTAAGATATCATTAGAAACAAATAAAAGAGTGTTGAACAAGTAATGTTTACCTTCCTATATAACAGTGAAGGCAGAACAATTTTATCAGAAAGGAAAGGATTGAAATTGTAAGAATTAAGATGTGATTCCAATGATAGAGGATGTGACAAACAGGGAAGTTTTAAGAAGAATGGGAGCTATATACAAACTTGTTAACAATCAAAAGAAAGTAGCTGAAATTTTTTTACAGGAAACAATGAGGAAGGAAGGCTTGGAGAACATAACACTCATAAGATACATGAAATGCAAGTGATGCAGAGGAAAGTAGTGAATAGTCTACTTGACAACTTTCAGCAAATGAATGGAGAAACAAGTAACACAACAATCAGGGGTCATAAAACAGCAAGTATTATTGAGAACAAAAATGAAAGAAAGAAAGAAAGGAACACTGATTGATCACATCCTCAAGGAACATGACAAAGAGATCCTTTAATTTCAAATATGATTTCTCATCTTTTAGAATCCCTCATTAGTTGAAAAGCAAAAAACTGATCTGACTTTCTTTTTCTCATAAAGAAGCCACTGAATGGAACTGGTGCTCCTCGTCTTGTCTTAATAGTCTAAACTTCAAATACTGACACAGCGATATTTTTTATGAAAGGTGTGGGTGAACTAATGATTAACAGTACAAAACATTCAACTGACAAAACTCAAGTTCAAATTCTGGTTACAACAGTTTGTGTTCATTTTGTACTAATGTTCTTGGGAAAGGCATGAATCCATATCTCTTTTCGCTAACATTAAAATAGGAGGGAAAAATCAGCTCTCTCGCCTTGATTGGAAGTCAGTCTAGGAAAAGGAACATTCCTGAATTCATAACCATGGAGAAAGCAACAAGAAACGACTCCACTATCTTCCATCAAAACCATCATAGCAATATACATTTTACAGATCAAAAAAGAAAAAAAAAAAGTAAAAGTAGATGATATCTCTATGAATCAAGTAACAATAAGTATTATTTCTTTTGGCATACAAGATAATTGTAATTATGAAACTCATTTTACTAAAATGTCTTTTACTGTCCTTTAAGAAACGTATATTTTCCCTCCACATTCCCACCAGGCCCATGTCATAAACAAGAAAAAAAAGGGGGGGGTTGTTTACTTACTTTTAAAATCTGGTTTTCTTTCTCCAAATAAGTCATCTCTTCTCGCAGAGCTTCATCTGTAAATTCTTTTGTTTGCTAAAAAAGTTTTAAGACAAATCAAACAATTCTGCATAAAGATTTCAGAAACAAAGTCAATCAATCATAATGAAATTCTTTCATAGCTTATTTCTTACTTATAATCACTTAAAAAATCCTCAATTCTTTTTAAAATTCTATTTCAACAGTTTAAAATCACTGAAAAGATTCTGAAAACTTGTATGGCTTGAAATGTATTTTAATGCTGATCAGCCAAAGAATAACTAATTTTGGGGTAAGGAAAATATTTGAAGTGTTTCAAGACCTGTACTTCCAACTGAACATATCTTAATAACAAAATTGGACATATTTTTAAAAATGACAATTTTCATAAAATCTTCATTTGGTATCATGCTACAAACCACATCTTAATCTTTTCAACTCATTAAATAACAAGACAGAGTATAAAGTAAAAATTAACTGATCATTAAGAATTTTCTAAATTTTAAACCTATGCCCATGATAGAATTTGGATTCTTGTTTTAAAACCCCAGCTAAGCAACTCAATAATTATGCAGTATAAAGTGACCAGTATGAATTTTATGAGTGTGTGCTGCAAAACTTCTCAACTGATCAACAAAGTTCTTCTCCAAAATCCGCTGTTTGCTCAGATTTCGAGAAGTTGGTTAGGCTGACAACATTCTACACTCCCTCATATTCTAATTAATCTTTAGATCAATCCTTGTTGATAAATATGATAAAAATATTTTCATTTACTCCAACAATTACGTTTTATAAGAATAATTGTTATAAGAAAGAGACTCTAGTATTTGCAGTTTCAAACAAGCAAAATAAATTTTAGGAATGTTGAGTGAAATTTTTTTCTCCATTTTTTATTTTGATTAAGATCTTAATATCAAAAAAATAACCATTTTATTTTTGCTTCTTTAGAAAATAATTGCTTGGTATTGCATGAATATATAAGATTTTGTATATATGTTGTCTACAATTATTGTTGCATTTCAGATCATCATTATTAGAACCAAAAATAAAAATGGTAGCTTCAGATTGTTATAAAAAAAAATATTTTCAAATAGCATTTTCAAAAGTATCTTAACTTTAAAAAAAAAGTAAATTCACTTAAAATAGGAATGTGATATGCACATACATAGTTATAAGAATATATGTACCATATATACTTGTGTATAAGCCGACTTCAATTTATAGTATGAGCCCTAAATTGTTTTGCATGAATTTTAACCTCTCCAGATAAAAAACTTATCTGAGTATAATGCAAGTAGTCACCAAAAATGCAGGATTTGTAACCTCTTCAAAAAATTACCTGTGTATAGCGCGATTCCTTATTTTTTGCATAAAAAACTGATCATAAAATCTCACACTATACTCGAGTATATATGATACAACAGTTATAAAACAATTTTCTGCAAAATATTAATGTATTAATGCTTTTTAATCAGAAATCTAAACAAGATAAAAGGTTTTTTTTTGCCAGTTATCAAATGGGTGCTTATTTCTTAGTAACAACAGGTAAGCATGTCTTTTGTCTTAGTTCAATCGTTACCTTGTTGTCAGGCTGTTGACTTTGAAGCTGCTGTTGTAGTTGCTGCAATTGTTCTTGATGCTTTATAATTCCTCCTTGTATTAAGCTCTTAAATTGTGTGTTCAGTTCTTGATTTTCAGCCTCAAGCTGATAGAGAAAAAGCAAAGAGTATTAGAGTTTTGTTTCTTTTTAATTATTTCTCTCTATATTTGAAACAATAAAGAATTTTAATCACAATGAGATGATCACAAGTTAAATAATTGAATTTTGGAGGTTAATACATAGATTTATTTATGCAAAAATAAAAGTAGTTTTCTTATCCAATCACAATTTAACTAGATCTACAGTGTTTTTTTTTCAAATATTTTATTTCATATTTTGTTTTTATTATCATTAGGAAAGACTATATCAAAAGTATTTTTAAAAAGTGCTTCCGCAAAATGGTTTAACCGTTATCACACTGTATGTGACTTCATTTGCTGGACAAAAAATTTATCCTGCCACTGAAGGTGACTGAACCCTGAATTTAAATTTGTTTGAATTTCATATTTGTGTTATCCTGCTATGACAACAGAAAATAACTTTGAGTGAAATTAACAATAAGGATACTGCCTTGAAAAAGAATGCAGTGGAAAGGAAAGTAATATTAATAATGCCCAGTGCTAAAGGTTAATCCAAATTAGCGGCTCGGATTGAGGAATCGGAGAGCTGAGTTTGAATTCCATTTGAATCCATTACATTCGCTTTCGTGCTAATACCCTTGTGAAAGGTATGAATCCTCTTCTCCCCCTAGCTATGGGTAAATAGCAAGACAGACTGGGTTCTATAGCCTTGGATGGCAACTGGTCTACCGCAGAAAGAAATTGCAACCTACTGCAGGAAAAAATCTGCCTTGTCAGTCATGTTTTGAAAGCTACATGATTGCCTAAGTGTGCATCACGCATGGCATTTAAAAAAAAAAAAAATTTCACTTTTTGTCAATTAGAAAACAAAAAAAAATACGGTAAAAAAAAGTTTAGTAAGAATCATAAGTATATAAGAAATATAATTCCATCCATTATACAAATTTGAATGCTATTAAATTTTAGCAAAATATCGTCCAAGTGATTCTATGAATGACAGTGGCATCAAAGGTGGAAGTGAGAAGCCATTTTTAAATTCCAACCTTGTCTGCTGCATTCACTTTCACACTTATAACCTTGGGAAAGACAAATGTATCTATTCTCTCTCCAGCACTGGAGAAAATATCAGGGTAGATTGAGTTCTCTAGCTTTGGTTGGTAAACAGTCTAGGAGAAGGATTGCTATGAATTCAAAACAGTGCAGAAATTACCTGTACTTTACATTATCTTAAGTTAAATAAAATATTAGATGAATAAATGTCAGATTGAACACAAATAATGAAACAGAGAAAATATGTATTTTCTCTTCAAAAGTTTCCTATTACAGAATCAATTTGTTTCTTACTGCCTGAATAGAATGTTTGGCCCGTTTCAATTCCATTTCAGTTTGGTAAAGTGTATGGTCTGTTTGTTGCTTCATTTCAAAATCTCTGAAAATATATATAGCAAATATACAAATACAATTCAGACACTTAGTCCTTGATTAAACAATTTGTTTTTCTATTTTTGATCTTCATATCCAGATAAATTAAAGGGAAATCGGTTCCTTATGTACAATGTTTTACTTAAGTAGTATATGTAGGTAAAATATGTATAATTACAAGGTATACTGAAAGTTCTCAGCCCAACTAAAATCTAACCAAAATAACCAAACATTTGGATCTAGTGATAGTGGGGGAGAGGGGATCCTTTCTTGGTTGGGACAGAAACTTTTAACACTCTTTCAAGTAAAGAAAGGGTTGAAAAATAATTCTATTTGTTTTGTTTTGAAAGAAATTATATAATAAACAGAAATGGAAAAATGGTTTTAAAATCTTTACTTATCCAAATCCATTCAGTTAAAAAATATCCCTTAAAAAAAAAAAAAAAAAAAAAAAAAAAAAAAAAAAAAGACTATTTTTAATCTATAGGTCAATGCAATGAAATCACAAAGTTTTCTTTATGATATATATTCAACCTTCTTCTAATAGAGAATAATTCTGACATTAACTTATACATGCTTAAAATAGAATTTTAATTAAGTTACTTTTATTTTGTTACTAAGTTTTATCCTTGTTAACAGTGATTGTTTCATAAAAAAATTGTATGAACCTTGATTTCTTTTAAAGTGCTTTACAGATTTCAATGTTAGTTAAACAAAAAAGTATGGCTATCATTCTATTCTGTTCAAGTAGAATAAATGTATAGAAAGGTTTAATTTTGTTCACAAAATGTCTGGGTTTATTCCATTGAATAAATGGTGAAAAAAATTAAACTGTCTAAAAGAATAATCAAATATTTCAAAGAGAAATCAATGTAACAATATTATAGAAAAGGCATGAAACCAAAACATGTTAGATGTTTTCTTTTTACTAATTAATGGATGAGCAAAATTAAAATAACTAAAGCAAGATTTAACAAAAAAAAAAAAAAAAAAAAAAAAAATCAGAGCAAAAAATCCTATAATACAGCTGCAAACTGAGCAATTACAAAAGTTTTCTTGAAGACATGTTTTCTTTAATGATTTCAACTAATAAAGCAAAATAATAGCCATTTACTTTTTACACTGCTGGTCTATTTTCTCCAATTGTTTCTTGGACTGCTCCAATAATATTTCAGCCTCTTTTGATTTATCTGTCTCCTCAGATAATTTATATCTGAAAGTAATTGAAGAAATATATTACCTTTTATCTAATAATATCTTAATTATTACAATGTAGAAAACCTATGAAGCTAAAAAGAGTTGTGTCTGATATATAATAGATTTCTAATTATCACAGACACAGATAATTGATTAAAATGTATTGTCCTATTTAGCATAGTATAAAGGTCATTATTTAACAATAATCTTTAAAGTCTTTAAATGTTAATTTCTTCTCCTTTAGAAATGATTTCATTGAAGTAAATCCATCTATTGAACAATGGTCTCAGACATTATCTAGCATAAAAGCTACAATTGTTTATATCAACATTTTGGAGAAAAAATAAAATTATATTCAATTATCACTAAGAAAATAAAGTGAAGAACCTTGTTTGTCAAATAATTTTCAAACAAAGGTGAAAGTAATTCTGAAAAAAAAAAAAAAAAAAAAAAAAAGGAGAAAAACTGAAAGTAATTAATAGTCAATAAAGAAAAGTATTTGATAATTTTGTTAATATTTTCATCTTTATTCACATTGTATTTAGTACATTGGGTAAGGAAGTGATATTTTCTGTCCATTCTTGGCTGAAAACAACAAAGTAAATAACAGAAGAGAATAAAAAAATATATCAGTGACTTAAAAAAAAGAAAAAAAATCTTTAACATTTGTACAACTGATGTGTTCCATTTACTTCAAATTGTAACATTTGGTTCTGATTTGGTGCTATCTACTTCCTTATTCGGTCTGCTTGATGCAAACCTTAGCTGTTGACAATTTTCTATTCATTTTACATGTGTAGCACCTATCTAATAAACAAAAATACATAGGCTCAAAAAATGAGGTTTCATTTATCACATGTATTTATGCGAATCATAAAATAAATTTATTAAAAATCTTATTCTGAATTCTATTGTAAGAGTTTATATTTGTTGGTGGAGGAAAGGACATTACAGGTCAAGATAACATCATAATGAATAGTATTACAAATCATAACAGAGAAATCAACACAAATTATTATTTTTTTATAACTTCATCACCAAGTAAGGTGACAAAGCCACTAAGACGCACAGGGTAACAGAGTGAAAGAATGAGAAAAAAAAAAGTCATTATTAAGGAAAGAAGACAATAAAACAACAGGATAGAAGGAAACAGAAATGATGACTGATGTTGCATTTAAATTTTTGAAGATTGTAGTTGAAAGGAAAGTAAGAGGCTGGAAGAGAGTTCCACAAGTGAGAGGTGCGAAAAAAGCAACTATTAACATAGAACTTCCAGTCACATCTAGCAAGTTGAACAGTGAAAGGAGAGCTAGCAGTCAATCAAGCATTGTACCTTTTATAATCATTTTTTTTCCTTCTTTGAAATGGAGTTGATTCTTTAATCAAAACTTTATCCAATTCTATATTCACTCTATTTTCAATCTTTGAATTTTTTTATCCTAAAATTCAAGAAGGTATTCCATTAAATGGTTACAAAACATTTTTATCTATTCCCTTATGAATCAGTGGCATTGCATTAAAAAGATTACAATAGAGCCAGAAGAAAACAAATTAAAAGAGACTTGGAGAAAAAATAAAAAAGTAAAAAACATTTGAATAGTAGAAAGCAAACACACTAAGAGTGAGGTTTCTTTTTCTAGAATAAAATGCAAATCTCTTTTCTATATAAAAGCTGTTTGTATCTTTTGGGAAAGAATACCATTTGTTGCCTACACTGAAGTGGAAACTATTAGAAAAACCTGAACCATTCAAGGGATCATTTTTTTTTTTTTCATCACTGCCTCTATGACCATGCATTTCACAATGTCTGTGTAAGTTATTTTAATTATCTGATAAGATTCATTTCATTATGCACATGTAAAATTACTTTTCTCTTAGTGTGGGAAAATGTATTTTCTATCATATTACAGTGGTAAGAAACATCTGTTTATGTTGTTGAATCTATGCTTATATGTTTTTGGAAGTTTCTATATCTGTAAACTCTGTCTTGCTTCATATGTCTACTTTTGTATTTATGCATGAATAGACATTAGAATGTGCAGGTTTACATCTATTTTTCAATGGTGCAGATTAATTTTCTTTCCATTGTGTATATATCGTATAGATGTGTGCACATGATATGCGTGTGTGTAAGACACTGATGTATTTGTGGAAGAAAAAATACTATAATACCAAAACTTCAAAGTAGTTTTATAGAAAAATAGATTTTTGATGAGTAGAAAGATTAAAAATGTTTTATGGTAAATGTATAAATCTATTATTAGAACATAAAAGTTATGCTTTATATTTAGATATTGAAATCAAATTTATATTATTTAATTTTTTAAAGTCTAGTGTGAGAAATCTTTAGATGTTTTTATTTTCAATATGGTAAGTAAACAAGAAAAGAAAATATTTCTAAAGCAGGTTTTAGATAAGTAGAAATAAAATGAAATGTTAGGTATTAATAATTAACAAAGTAATTAGAATAAAGTTAAAGACATGACGATTTTCTAAGCATAGTTTAGATGTGGTACAAGGTCAGAAGTGTGTGGCACCCAGTGAAGAATGAACTCACTCAATCAAAATTGATCCAACCAGTAAAGCTTGCTAACGATGACCCATGGCATTGTAGGATAATGGCATCAATGTTTATTGTCTTTAAAATGTAAAGTGCAACTTAATTGAAATTATTTTAATCAGCAATTAATCTCTTCACTCATGGATCAATTCTTATTCCCATTATTTACATTCTGACTAATATCCTCATCTTTGTTGTTTTTATGACAATGTTTTGGTCATTGTGCTGTCCAGCCTTCTTCAGGTGTGTGTCAATCTAGGTAACCTTTAGGGAATTAAGAAGTGATGTATGCCATCTGTCAATCCTGAGAAGTCGTGGAAGTGCCCAAAGAGTTAGGCACTCTCTTGGGCGCAGATTTGGGTTATGAGAGATTGGCAGTTGCGCATGGCTACAGAGCCCAGACTGCCCTACTATTTACCCATAGTTGGACGTTTTGAATTTAGAGTTTTTCCTTCTCCTAGACTGATTGCCACCCAAGGCTATTACCCATAGCTGGGGGAAGGAGTGAAACATTTATTTAATATATGGAGTTAGACATTAATAGCAGATTGAGAACAATCTAAGAATATTTTCTCTTTAGTATTGCTCTATTATTGCTCCCATTTTTTTTTTTTTTTTTTTTTTTTAACTGAATCTGAATCTACACCACCAAGCCCAGGAATTGAACTCACAATTACTATGCTACCAAGATTCACCAAAACTTTAACCCTCTAAGCTATTGTTCTGTAGGACACTCCTGAATCTAGAACTGGGAGTCTTAAACCTAATGTTCTTATTGCCTTACTGTAATGCTTGACTGCCTTTGGCTGCTGCTTCTCTCTTCTTAATGCCACTGCTGAAGCCTTTGTTTGATTCTCTCTACCGATAATAAAGGATCTAACATCTAGCCTGAATGCAAATGAGAACAATGCCTCATGCCAGAAATTCACACAGAAATGATAAATATATTCTCAAATTTTTAAAATACCCACAGTCAACTGGATGTAGATTGAACTGTAAAAATATAAAATACAATGCTTTCCATTCAACCAACTGAATAAGATAGAGGGATGCTTTTTTGTATAGTTGATTACAAATGCATAACTCATGAATAGGTTTTAATTATTTTTTTTCTTTCTCCAAGTGAAAAAAATCATATAAAGAGTTCTAAATTACACTAAAATCTACAACTTACAAGTTATAACAATGGATGAGCGTCAAAGAGGTCAAAGGTTTCATAGAAAATATCAGTCAGCCAAGAGCTAAATACATTTAGTAAAAATAAGTTGTCTAGTAACAGTTAAAACGTATGCATGTGTATCACTGAGGAGCATAATGCCTATATAATTTTTATGACTAAGCTCACAGGCACATTACTAAACATTATTATATCCATTTCAAAAATAGAAGTTTGCTATAGCAACTATTTATATTACATGCAGTCTTACCAAAAAATATATATATATATATATATATATATATGTATTCAGTTTCACATATTTTGTTAAAATATGTAACCAAATGAAAGCCTATTCAGTCATCTTTCTTTATAACATCTTATTTCTTCTACTAACAAAAAAAAAAAAAAATGACCAAAAATAAAATACTTACTGTAAATTTCTAATCTTGGCCTCAAGAGAAATTTTTGTTTCTTCCAAAGAAGTCTTCTCTTGAATCAAAGCTTCAATTTTGCTAAAATTAGGAAAATAAAATTCTATAAATAAATTTTCAATGAATGAAGATGACTTGTCTTTTTAAAATCAGAAAAAAATATTTTATATAAAAGCAACAGTTTAAAATCAATAATTTCAATTAGGAACATATCTAAATATAAAAATAAAAATATTAATGGTAGAAACCATGTCAAATGGCCCACTGCCAACTAACCATTTTTTTTCTGTTTGGCATGAATATTTTATAATCAGCCATTATCATTTTGGAGAAAGTATTTTTTTAAAAAATTATTTTTAAATGCCATATTGTTCATTAGAAGAAATGCATTGGCTTTTGTAATGATTTCTTAATGATAAAATGCTTGTATGCCTTCCAGATATGTTTGTTTTCTTTTTTCTAATGAAATACAAAAATATTTTATTTCAAATACCAATGCATGGGTTGATGCCATTTTCATAGAAACTTTGTTTTTTGTTGGAAGGTTATAAAGTAGTTTTTGACTTACTGTACAGAGTCAAGTTTTTTTTTAATTTAAATTGTTCTGTAGAGACTGGAAGCAATGAAGTTCCAAAGGAGCCAAGTCGTGAGAATATGGTGAGTGCTGAAGGGTTTCCCCATTTCAGCTCTTGAAGCTTCTGCAACATGCAGTCTTGCGTTGTCATGATGGAAAATGACACTAATTGGTTTTGCCAAAATCAGCCATTTTTCTTGAATAGCTGCATTGAGATTGGTGAGGTAGTCACAATACTTCTTTGCAGTTATTGTTTTGCTGGCTGGAAGAAGCTTAAAGTCAATTATCCCTCTATAATCTAACCAAACAGACAGCAACAACTTCATTGGATGCAAGTCCCACTTTAGTCAAGGATTCTACACATTACCAAGCTGGTTTCCAGCTCAATTTTCATTGAATGTTATCATAAACAATCCATTTTTCATAGCCTGTGGCATTCTGTTCAAGAAAGGATCCTTTTTGTGGCATAACAGCAAAGAAATCCCTTGTTCTGTCCCATCAGAGAATGTGACATCTACGTATGGTGTTTAGAGATGAACCAAAGTCTTCAAATAGCAAAAGGTAGTTGAGATATCGATTTTCAGATTCTTAGCAATCTCTTCCATCTAAATCATCAGTTTATTTTCCACGATGGCAAGCAGAACATCTTCATCAATGTCAGAAGCTTACTCTGATAGTTCATCCCCAGTTGAATCAGGGCCAGTTCTTGGAAGAGAACCTCTCATTTCCTGTCTGGTCCTTGATCGTAGGCCAGACGAACGCTGTTTGACAAAAAGTGCAAATGACCCCCAACAGTATTCCATGAATGACGCCTACGCATTTTTCGTAGGCTGGCACGTGATGTTTTTGTTTCACGCGTGTTGGGGTAACAATTCTTCACTTAGCTGCTTGCCCCCGGATGAGGTAGACGTCACCAGAATCTGTCTTAGCCGTTTGCTGTTGGAAGAAGTAGATGTCACCAACACCAAAATTTCGCTGTTTGCTGCTCGAAGAATTAAGAACATCATCACCCAAGTTGGCTACACTTTTATGATTCACGTGTCTATACGAGAACATTGATAATCCCTCCCTTTTATGTTCAGAAAAAAAAAAAAAAAAAAGTGTATGAACATCTTTTTTTCGTTACACTGTATTATTGATGAAAATCCTGATCGACGACAATCACCATCTACTGTAAGTGTTGCATGTTTTTTTATATATCTTATTGTCTGCTTGCTCTATATTCCTATGATATTCATCGCAGTAATATTTGTCTGATTGATTACTCATCTCCCCATCCCTTGTGTTATTAAGTTTCGTTTTTCTTCTTATCTTACTTTTGCACCTTGTGTATTTGTAAATAAACTATTCTTATTATAAATTCTCATATTGTCTCTTATCGTTCTGTGTCTACGCATTGTATATTTCTTGCTGTGTTTACCGGTGTCTTCTGGATTCAGAGAATTCCACTCCCACTGTTCTTTTTCTTTATTTTTACATTGAACCCTGGGATCTCTTATTTATTTTTTTTTATTTTCTTGTTGCGTCCTGGCTATCGTACTCCTAATGAAACCCAGGGCATAACAATATATATAAGTTTGTTAGTTATGTGTATGATGCAAATTACAAAATGGATGATTCCAAAGAAACACCAAAGATTTATAAAAATGAAATAAAACCTCATGAAAGTAAAACAAAAGAAAAGGAAACTTCTTAAATAAAAATGATGCAGTTTACCTTTGTTTAATAATAATTTTAAATTAATGTTCGTACAATGACATTAATATTAGACAGCATCAATTTTGTGTAAAATGTTACAAATAGATATAAATTAAAAGATCAAATACATCTTTTGTGCATTAAACATTAAGAGAAATGCTTTAATTCAATTACTGAAAAAAAAAAAAAAAAAGAAAAAAAAAGAAAACTCAAAAGAATTCTAAGTAGAAAATCCTATGCCCCTCCCCCTGTTCTGGCAAAACTAAATTCGTAACTCTTTGATTTCTTTTTTGAAGTTCTCTTTAAAATCAATTTGTGCAAAGAAGCTTTGAAATACTGACAAATAATTAGGAGAATGTAGGTAAACAGTTTCAAAAAGAGAAAGAAAATATCAAAATATTGTGTAAAAGGAGTTCATTAGAAATTAAACACACACACAAAAAAAAATCATTAGTAAATACTTTGTCTTCAATTTTTTTTACCTTTTTTCTTTTTGCTGTCATCAGTTGTTTTTTTTCTTCATCTTCCATCAAATGTTTTCTTCATTATAACAGTAGTTATCAAATCCTAATCTGTTTTTACTTAGAATGCCAATATTTACACCCTTAGTAAAAATAAAAGATTCCTTGATTATATAACTGATATAAATTCAACGCCTCTAAACTTGATCTTGAAATATCTATTTTTTTAGATGAGCAGAATTAAGGCTCATTTATTGTAGTTTATTGTAAAATAGTTGAAATTACAGAAGAATTAAGAAATTATTAAAAATTTCTTGCATAAATCATGTCAGATAAACAAAATTCTGGTTTGGATTTAGTATTTACTTTAAAAAATATGATCTACTGCTTCATTTACTTAATATAAAAAACTTTTAATCTAATGTTTTATACAATTTTCATGCTTATTAAAATACAGCATTGGGTTTTCATAATTTGTATTTATGACTAAAAATTTTTTTTCTAATTCTTAGTTTAATAAGCTAGACAATTTTCAACAAAAGCTGGTCATTCCTTAAATTATCAATAAACTTAAATTTAGCAAAGTCTGGAGAATTATGTCAAAAGAAAATGATAAAAGATAATTGAGAAGGAAGCTGAAACTCCATCATTCCTGCCACATAACCAAAAAGAAATTCAAAAAAGAAATCAAAATAAAACCGAGAGACCAAATAGGAGAGAAAATTATTGGCAGTTATTTTTCAATAAATACAGAGCCAATCAGTTCTTAAAAGTTCTTTCAAATCATAGAATCCAATATGTCTTTTAACAAGCTTCTTTATAAAGTTCTTAGAGTCTAATCATTAGAAATCAAAATGTATCTGCAGTGTATTATTTTTTTTTCCAGTTATTGGAATTGCACTCAATAATCTATTCACATATTACTTTCAATTTTCATCCTTGATGCAACTTCAAAAGCTTGGTCTTCAGAAAAATGAAAACACACACTGAATAAATTTCTTTTCAAATTCTTACATAGCCCGATTTTGTGTCTTTTCTCCTAAACCTCCAATCCTATTATCAAATCTTATTTCAGTCATTATTGTATCTAATGTCTAAATTCTGAAACAAAGGAATAATTTATACATTGTTAATTATTAACTCAATTTATTTCCCTGGCAAAATCTGAAGCAAAATCTCTTTTCTTTAAAAATATTTTATTAATTTTTAGAAATCTGCAACAACAAGTAAGGAAACAATGGGGCTATAATACTGAAATACTGTACTAATAATATCATTAATTTACTATTTGTCTATCTATAGTGAAAACCCAAACAAATGACTAATTTGATCTTGTTCTGAAAACACAGAGGCCAGGTGACTTAAATTGGTACTGCTTTTCAAGAATTCTTGATATTTTCTGCTAAAACTGCAAATAGTAGTTCAAGACATGGTGAGCTAGAAGAATCTTTTTGGATTATTATGATAAACTTTGATTCTAATTTAAAGGCTTACTGATGTTTTGTATGACTATGAAAAGACGTAGACAGTTAAAAAATACTATAGAAATGATCTTTTGTTTGCAATATTAGAATGTTACAATTGATAATTCAGAAAATACTAACTTGTGCAATTTGCTATTCTCCTCCTGAAGTATTCGATATTGGTTTTCTACCAAAGTACGCTGATTTTTTTCCTTTTCCAATTTTTGCCTGCTTTCTCGAAGATGCTCCTGTATCTTAGCAACAGATGCAGAGTCTGAAAAAGAATATACACGGGTACATATATATAAATAGTTCATTTTTCTCTGATAACAAGTCAAAATGAAAAGTTCAGAATCCATGAAAAAGATATCTTAAACATAGGTACCTCCACGAAATTGCTAAAAAAAGAGCATAGTCTGATGAAAAAGACGCCAAACTTTATAAAAACAAAATTTTATCGTCTAAATGCTTATGTTTTTATGAAGAGGAAAGACCAAAGTTTTTTTTAATTATTTTAAAAAATTTTTCCTTCTTTTTAGAACATTCTAAATTTTTATTAAAAAAACCTTGTTTCTCTTTGTACCAACAACCAGGACTAGTAAATAACAGACAATTTTTAGCATGTTTTTTTTGTATCACACACATTAATTTGGAAAATCTTGCAAAAATAAAAATAATTGTCGGATGTTAATGAAACTTTCAGAAACTATTCACAGATGATCGAAATTATTATAAATATTTTTTTTTTTTATTAAAGTCATGGCAGAAATGTTTTTTTTATATTTATTAACACCCCCATAACTAATTTTATGAAAAACTCTAGAAATTCGAGCGCATCAACTTTAGTGATTACAATAGTTAAAAGCACAAGGCTTTGAAGAATGCAAATCATTTTTTTTTTTTAATTGGATCTGCAGTACTTGAAAATCAGCTCTGAATTGTAACATACAAAACTCAATAAAACAAAGATACTATTTAATTTCAAATACTTTTATTTGTTTTTAGTTGTTTTTATGAATATGGACAATATTTTCTGAAAGCAAAAAATTTTTCCAATGGAAATTGAATTTTTAATACAATTATTTGTTATTTCTTTAATTATAATAGATTTTTACATTAAGTTTTTTAAAAATATTATAAAATTAGTTAAAAGCCACATCAACTTTCCTAAGTGTCTTTATGAGATTGTCTAGCGCTTTGAAAATTGTATCATTTGGACCAATCAGAAGATCCGCAGTAATTAAGAAATGTAATTTTGTGTTTATAATCAATGGTAATTATAAAGTACGGAAGACCAACCAGAATACAATTAAGTTGCATTATTTGAGTTCAGCATTGTTCTCCGCTGTTAAGGCCTTTACTTTTTTTGCGAAACACGTATGGAGAAGTTAATTTGATTTTCAATTTCAACTGAGAAGGGTACCTATAAGTATCAGTATCATCTTATGAAATTTAACTACTGCTAAACTTTAATTTATATGATCTTATTTTTATATTAATCTCAGTTATGACATTTTTTCCATAAATGAAATATCAAAATTAATAATAAAATGAATGGAAATACGAATAACACAGTAAAATGTAATAAATGTACATAAAATTATAGTATTTTATGTACACTTCTGATAAGATTTCATAAGAAAGGTACCTAAATTAATTAGATACCTTTCTTAGGAAATTTAATCTCACTCTTAACAGTCTTATTTTTTAATTTCTTTATAATATATTTTCCATAAAGAATCGTAAACGTAAAGATGAAAGCTAAGTACCAAAAAAAAAAAAATTTAAAAATTAGTTTTCCTTAAAAGTAATGAGGTAAATAACTTGTTCACTTAAATCTAAATAATTTCACTTCCTTCCATCCGTAGAAAGAATTATCCTCCTGTAAGTTATCTAAACGTCATGAAAATGCCTTTCGTCACTTGTCAAATGACACGAAAGGTTATGACCTGCTTTGTTTTATTTTCAAATTACATTTTTTCAGCGCAGAAGCTAATTTAAGCTTGGTTCAAAATATTTTAAATAAACATTATAATTTCTGATTCTATTAAAATAAGTTTTGAAAAAATGATGATTGATTTTTAAAAGAATATCAAAGTCAGATTTTCATCTTTTTTATAAAATGGAAAAAAATGATTGAAAATGATGGATTATCTGTCCTTTTTTTTTGAAAAAAAAAAAAAAAAAAAAAAAAGATTTTTAACGAAAATTTCGGATGTGCTAGGAATGATTAAAAAATGTAAACAAATACCTAAAAAATACTTTGATCTTTCCTCTTTAATAATATGAACATTAGACGATAAAATTTTGTTTTTCGTCAAGCTCGGCATCCTTTTTATCATGCTATGCTCTTTTTTGTTTACATTTCGTAGAGGTACCTACTTAAACAGTTTTGTTCATTGTTAATCTTTAATGTATCCAGTATTGTAATCAAGCCGCTGATCTTAAAGTGTACAGAGAAAGGACACCTGAAAAAAGAAATAGAAAAAGTAAATGCAGTAAGCAACAATCATAAAAGGTTGAAATGGACATTTGTAAAGTCATGGTGTCGAGTGAGTAGCCATGGCTAAATGCAAAAAAAAAAAAAAAAAAAAATTAACAGGTAAGAAGACAAAGGTTAAGGCTAAGAATTGGCATTGACACACAAAAGCAAGTTTGGACAATCGAATGCAATGATCTGTCTTCTAGATAGAATCATGTTAAACTGTAAACCAGCCTATTTTATTGGCTAAGAAAAATATCCCAGTATGCATTTGTAGGACTTCTATCTATAAAAGGAGAGGGGGAAATGTTTTGCAGTCATTCCCCATTTTGGACTGAAATCAACACACAGGTTTCTGTTTCAGGATTTGAGGTTGAGAAAAGGAAATAATAATGATGATGACAACATGGATAGGATAAATGAAAGCCCCTTTACAAAGCCATAAAAGGGGGCTTTCATTGTTGGATTACTCTCCAAGTAAATGGACAGCAGAAAGAAAGAGATGACATTTTTTTTAAAATATATAAATGTCAATATTTTTTTAGCCTCTATTCTATAAACTTGCATCTACAATTTTGTGGGTAAATAATTTTCTTTTACATTTAGTAAGTCAATAAAACACTATGCAATAAATAAATAATAAAATTTTAATAAAGCGACAACATTGTATGAAGTAGAAGAGATGCTTCAAACTAATTAAAACACAAACATGTTAGTATTTGTATTCCCAACTATATTTTACCATATCAAAATAGACCTTTATTTTAAACAAATTAAATAACATAACCAATTTAAAATTTACATAAATCTTTAATAAAAATTCATGATTCTGAAGACAATGTCAAATTACTTTTGTGATTGTTCTCAAGCTTCCTTCAAAATATATCTGCATTCATGTATGTTTTTCAATACTGATTTTTTCAAAGATTTGAATGTCATTAAATTGTTTTAAAATTAAAGACTTCCTGAATCTTTCATGACAAAGCAAATCTATAAATCTTAAATATAGAAAAAGATCAAAGTTTCCATTTTCAAATGCATATCTTACAAAGAATAAATAAAATAAGGGATTTTTCAGTTTTAATTTTTCATTATTGTTGTAGATTTATTTGGGCTGTCTCTTGATTTTAATTCATAATCTTCTGCCTCTGCAGTGTTTAAATTAACTCACCATTTAGATTAAGATTCATAAGTGTGTCTTTATTATATTGAACTCCTGTGAGGCTGCCTTCATTTTCTGTCGATGTCAAAGACATCAAATCGTCATCTTTGAGAATGTCCGAACTGTCCAGGTAATTGAAACCACTTAATCCTTCAGCAAATATTTCAGAACCAGGCCTACAATAGAAATGTGCAGATAAGTGCCAGTACATGTCAATTTATACAATTAATGAACTTATTTTAAAACAAAAAGAATGAGAAAATCAAAAGAAATTTAATATCATTTTTTGCAGTCTCATATAAAATGCATATCATTTCAATTTAAGGTGCATAGACATATGAAAAGTATGACAGTGGGATGTGCAAAGTTTCAGTTTTTAGCCTTAACACACCAAGTATAATTTTATTTGTTAACTAGTGGCAGACTAATTAAGAAACTACCATACTGAGTGAGATTCTTCCAAATGTTCATGATATAAAGAAAAGGAAACATAGCAAGTCATTTCTACTTGAATTAATAAAATGGATGAAAGAAAAAGACAAATAATCACAAAGCTCTACATGTATGCACATCCATGCAGACAGGTGAAAATGTACACACGCTCACACACTACAAAAAAAAACTTGTATCAATGATAAGTGCATATAAAAAAGAAAATCAAGAAGTATAAGCAGTCAATTGCAAATACCCCCCGACGAGTGGACAGACTGGTCTATGAAACTCTCGAGTCAGGATGCTGAAGGTAAGTAGCAAACTTTTTATTTATATTAATTATATATGTACATGTGTGTGTACGTGCATCATTTCACTCATAAGCATAAGTCAATAGTGACCAATCCAGAAAATGTAATGTGTGGTCCAATCAATTCTTCAAATTTATGTTCAATCATATTTTAACAAGTAGTTGTTTAAAGAGTGTGACTATAAACTACATCTAATTTTTTATCCTCCATAACTGGAGTAGGATTAGATTCCAGTTCTAGTTTTGAATTCAGAGTTGTCTTACTCCCAAACTGGTTACCAATCAAGGCAAAATAGCCCAATCTGTACAGCTTTTTAACTTGTAACAATGGTTTGATGGGAGATGGATGCTTGCCTTTTCCAAGAGCAACAGTGCAAAGAGAACATAGTTTCAACCAGAACTCTAACTTGTCTTGCCAATGCCATTAATCATTAAGCTACCCACAAGAACCTCCCAAGAGGATCTAAAGGCAATGAATCTTGATTGGCATAACATTGAAAGAACAGCAGCTGACTGAAGACACTAAGAGACCTTATTGCCTGATGGGCTCAACAGAACAGGAGGGCCTAAAATAAAAAATCTCCTCAGAGATGGAACAATTAATCCAAGTCACATTATATATATATATATATATATATATATATACACACACACACATACACACACACACATTAGTGTAATTGAATAAAAAATTAATTTGTAAAATCTTATTTGTCTCTAGATAAACAAGATTACTTTTTATCAACATTGCAATTGCCAATTTTCTGTAGTTGGTGGAGGAAAGCATTTAAAACAATTAAATACAATAAATAGAACAATATATAAGTAATTTCATCCTCTTCATCCAATACTATAAAAAAAAAAAACTTTATATAATATAGATAGTAAATAGCTAGTTGGCTGATACACAATAAATTATTTCTTGCACAAAAAATAATTACCAATTTATTGATATCTCTCTTGTCATCTCTAAACTAGATTCCCACAAGATATGTGGACTTGACGGCATCCCTGCAATTGTCTGAAGGAAATGTCCTCCTGGACTGGCTTCTGTACTCTTCAAGCAATATGAAAAAAAATGCCTTGTTCCTTCTTGCTTTCCAGCTTGTTGGAAATCCTCATCTGTAGTTATTATCTTTAAGAGCTTTGGTGACCTTATGATTCCTCAAATTATTTTTTACCCATTTTTGGCAAAGCACCGGAGGCGCTAATAAACTCCAAATTGCTTAAGCATCTCACTTTGCATGGCCTTCTTTCAGATAAACAATATGGCTTTTGCTTCTCTAGGTCAACTGTTGACGTGTTATTCGTTATTAATAAATTTGTCTATCTAGTTTTAAATAATAATGGGAGGCGTGAGCTGTGGCTTTAGATTGAGGGCAATTGACAGAGGGTTTGACTTGATCATTCTTTCTTAACGAATAGGATAATGTAAGTCATATTAAACATGCATTCTTCTAGATCCTTGCATGTTAATGTGGGGATACCCCACCCCAGGGCTCTATCCTTGAACCCACATTGCTTCTTATCTTCAACAACCTTCTTGATGTCATCAGTACACAACTCAATATTTATGCTGATGGCACAACTATATACTTCTCTCTTCATATTCATAGATCTGACAAAGTAAAACTGGCAGCTGATCTCAAAACAAAACAAAAAAAAAACACATCCAATCAGTTGTCACCTGGGGCAAGAAATGGATTATGGATTTTAATGCCTCCAAAATTAAACTACTATTTTTTAGTTAGAGAGAATCATATTTGCCTTTCATCAGTATGCCTGATGCTAACCAAGAGAGCAACACATTGTGCCTTCTGGGTCTCATGTCTTCTACTGATATGAAGTGAAATGATTATATTGAATCAATTGCTGGGTTTGCTGCTAAGAAAGTTGGTCCATTGTGTCATGCCAAACGATTTTTCTTACCAAAGTCCATCTTACACATTTATGCATTTACCATTTGTTCATTCATTGAATATTTCTGTTATATCTGGTGTTCCTGCTGTATATCTTGAGATTCTCAACAAAATCCAAAGGAGAACCTATAATGTTAACGCTCATGACCTGGCATATCGACTTCAGTCACTCTCCCATTGCCCTACAAGTATTTTAATGACAATTGTTCTAATGAGCTTTCCCTCCTTGGTGCCTCAAAAACACGAATTTAAATGTATTAATGGATTGGCAACTGGATCTCGTTTCCCTGTTGAAATATGTAGATGTAACCGAAAGTTCAAACTTATCGCTTCTTTTCTCTATTGCTTCCCTGCGAAATACGATTTTCAAAAATTTAAATACAATATCAATTGCCATCTTCTGTCTTACTGAATTGTTCTTTCTCACATTTTCATTTTTTTTTTCACTCTCAGTAACCCCTTGTATCTTAGTGGTGTTGTCAAAATGAAATGATTAAAAAAAAAAAAAAAAAAGTGTTGTGTAGGGTGGGGGGAATGAATGATGTAAGATTTCATATCATCCACTACTATCAAAGGAATCAATATAATATATTAGTTTACTTACTGACAAAAAGACTTTTGAGTGGGTACCAAAATAGAAGAATCTCTCAGAAGTCCATTTTCGAAAGTTGCAAGATCCCCAGACTTTTGTTTCAGTGATGAGAAATCAGTCAGTGAAGAAGGTTTTGGAGTTGATGTTAACTTTTGGCTACTTTCTTCCAACTTCTGACATGATTTCAATATTATTGTGTCAATATTTTCATCATTGTCTTTAGCAACAATTCCATTAGATGTAGCATTAGCCAATTCTTTTGGCTGCTCTGGTACCTGAAAGTCTTTTGGTGCTAAACAATCTTCATTCTGTGCAGTTTCATGTTTTGCAATATCAAGAGACTCTTTATCATCTGTAAAGGCAGATCTGTCCAATCCGTGAGAAACATTTTTGTTCTGTCGAAAGATAAACAACATTTTTCAGTGCCAATAAATAAAATTATTAAATTATTATCATTCTTGATAAATAGATTCAATTTTCTTTAAGTTTATCTTATTTTGGCATCATTCATTTTACAAGAGCATAAATTAGGAAGTTTGTATGGATTACAGAAGAATAGTCAAAAGTTAAAAAATGTATTAGGAATAGTAAGTTCTTAGTTGACAACCGATTCAGTATGATCAACACATGGTTGAGAGAATAGCAATTTAACAAAGAGTGACACATTCAGATTAAACATTTTTTGATTTGTAGACTTTACTTACAACATATTCTAATATCAATGATAAATTTCACCAGGTTTCTAATTTAACCGTTAAATACTTCTAAATACAGATCTTAATAAATTAAATGTATTGCTAATAATTAGAAATATGATTATGATGACAGAGAAGACACAAGCATATATTTAATTCTGAAAGTGATAAGAAATAAATACAAAAATCGTAGCTACAGTAACATAACTGCATTAAAAATCACAATAAGTCACCATAACTAATGCATATAGATATTTAACAATAACAAACATAAAAAAACAAAGAAAAACTCAAAGAAAAGAAAAAAAACGAAGATATCAGTTTTTGTTAACAGTGCTGATTTCATGCCTGCAATCTGTGCCATACTTTGTTAGTAGAATATTAGTAGCGATTAAAAGTTTATATGTGATTATGATTCAGTAGAGATGAAAAAGGCAGTCTCATCCTCATCTGAAGTAAAACTCTTTAAGACTAAAATTGTCTTTCACATCTTTATATGTAAGACAAATTTCAAAACACAAGAACCATTAACAGAAATATACTGTTTTGAGGAAGCATAGTCATCCATAATAAAAAAGCAAGTGTTTTTGAACAGAGGAAGCAGTGGCTTCAATCAAAATCTGTATGCACAAAAATGATTTGTCAAAATTGATACAAAAACATAAAATATTCTTTTTACCTGTCACCATTTTCTATTGACTGACAGAGTATAATTGTGTGGCAATGGAAAAAATCTCCATTGTTTTTAAATTATTATTATATTGGTGTTACACATTGACATAGTCAATAGAATTTTTTTTTTTTTTTGAGGCATGGTGTCAACAAATCCTCACAGAGTAAATGTTGGCAGTTTTCTGGAGGTCTACAATTATGTCTTCCAATTTTCACTAAGTGCTCTTTTGTGCTTCTCAGTGGTGTTCCTAGTGTAACCAATACTACAGGAATTACTTCAACAGTCATCTTCCATAGCTTCTTCAACTCTAACTAAACCAGTTTCTTTGAATTCTACTTTTGTAGGCTTACTACTAGTAATATGAAATTATTGTGACTATTATTGTTGTACAAATTAAATTTCTGATAATTCTTGTCAGTAGTAATACTAAAGAAAGATTCTGTTGTAGACGAGAATGGACCTTATTCAGAAACTGAATTATTGTGCCAGTGTATATAATAGTCTTCTTTCAAAAGAAGTGGGAGGAGAGCCTTTCAGCTTTAATACTTTAAAAGTAATAAGTAGAAAGGTAAGAAATATCAGATAAGACATTGTTGGAAAGCATCAAAGGCTGAGAGGACTTAGAAATAATGCTGATGAATGAAACAATATGAAATTCATAAGTATTAACCATAAATATTAACAGATTTGCCATTGACAGTTTTCTAAGCATAGCTATTTTGTCTTATTACTTTGGATATTAATGATGTTCTTTCAATATTTCTATTAAAGCACATTCTCTTACTTCATACACATTTAAAATAAAGTTTTATTGAAATAAAAACTGCATTAAAGCTTAAAATTTTTATTTAGATTGGCCTATTGGATTTTCAATGTATTTTTAAAAACCAATCCCAATGTTTGACTGGCTATGTATGACCTTTAATATGAGTGTCATTTTGGTGAATAAACATTATAAAGAGGTTGTAATTTTGATAAAAATAGAAAGCAAAGCAAAGACCAATCAATCAATGTATTTTTGTCTTCAGTTTTTGAACATCTGTTATAAAAGCTTCTTGACTTTTTCTGATGTGCTAGAACTGAAGACATTTGGTACTTGAATTTACAGTGGGACTGTTAATATACTGAGGAACCAATTTTAAAGAAGAAGTCAAAAGATAATAGATCATTTGAAAATTGTCAAAGTGTTGTAAGGAAGAATGAAATGTGCTTATGCTACAAAAAGAGTATGTGAGTGAAGAGGATATAAAAGCCAAAAGCCTTTTTGGATTTATTAAAGGAATGATGAACTGTTGTAAGTATTCTTCTTGAGTTGAGAAATTGCTTTCATAGTTATTGGTATTTCTTATAGAATTCAAAATCCAGAAAAAATAATATAAATCTACTAGTGACATTTTCAATCAGAAAGTCAACATTAGAAATAAACTAAGCTAAAAACTTACTGTGGCCTTTGTTGAAAATGTCATGACTTTAAATTCTAAGTTATATAAACTTTCAACTGGGTTAAAAATGAAGCATGAATTATTTACACTATTTATATTTGGACTATTGTCCTCATCTTTGTTGTTGTCGTAATCACAATGTTTTGGTTGTTGTTGTTGTGCCCACCAGCCTTCCTCAGGTGTATATCAATCTGGGTAAGTTACAAGGAATTCTATAAAGATAGTCTATTCTTGTTCCACTGCCCATGTCTAGGGATATCATCTAGATTAAATAAAGAGTTCAGTTCAAATTTTCTTGTTTCTTACCCAGATCGATATACACCTGATGAAGGCTGGAGAAAACAACAGCTGAAACGACAAAAATGAAGACAATAATCCGAATATAGTGTAAATAATGATAACTCACAGAAATTCAGACAGAAATGAAGTATGAATATTTCATAAGGAAAATTTATTTTTTATGTCTATGTAATGAATTAAATATTTTAATGATAAAAATATTTTAATTTTATGAGTTTAAAACTATTGTCAAAAGTTTCATTTCTAGTAGAAGTTATATGTTCTCCCAAAGAATCTATTTTTTTATATCAATAAAAGTTTTAAAAGATCTATTAAAAAGGTGCCAATTGTTTATGAAGATGTGGGGAAAAAAATTACTGAATATCAAAAAAATAAAATAAAAAATTTAAAGAACTTATGAAGGATTAGCAATAATTAAAAAAAAAAAAAAAAAAAAAAAAAATTTTTTTTAATCAGCCAAAAAACCTAAAATATAACTAATATAAAAAATAAAGAAAAGTAATGTATACAGAAGAATTTTAATCATTACAAAAAATTAATAAATCTTATCTCTTAAATGATCAGAGGAAAGCGAGATATATGTATAGATTGACTATTCTTAAAAAGGTATTACCAGATGAAATATGCTGTAAAAAAGAAAGGTAAGCCAAAGTATACAATTCTTCATATGATATTGTGCATCCCTTCCCATAGTGCCACCACACCTTGTAATAAATCTACTGCTTCTGTCTCAGGTAATGTGCACATTTACCGTACCTGTAATCTTTGGTCAGAGAGCTCTGGTGATGAACAAGCGGATGGCATTCTGTGACTACCGTTGCCACTGGTTGTACTGTCATCGTCACCATCATCGACCACATTACCATGGGAATCAGGTTTATATAAGTAGGTCTGGCGGAGCTCACCCATCGTTGCCAGCGATGGGTGACCTACAAGCTCCAGGATGTCTTCCTTCACCTGACAACAACAAAGACAATACAACCATAGGTGGGATGTGCAGGTGAAAGAATGAGTGGTCTTAGCTGGCATGATCAATTGGCAAACAGGCACTGGTGTACTTGAGGTGCTGATCCCCCCCCCACAAGACTGCCTCCAGTGAAAACAAAACCAAAACCAATTTGTTAGTATTATGTATCTGTCTGTTTCACTTGTCTACATGCATGTCATCTGACTTGAAGTTGTTTACTTCAATAAATAAAATTTGCATATTTTAACAAAGACTTAAGCAAAACAAAAATTGAGTATTTTTTGTTGAACAAAAAACAGCAAGAATAAAGAAAGAAAGTTGGGGGAGGGTAAGGAAAAACCCTACAAAGTGACATGCAAAATATGAATGAAAACAATGTCAAGTCAATAACAAAAATCATAATGTTAGTCCACTCAGGGTTTTTTTGTTTGTTTGTTTTCTTATTATTATTATTAGTAGTATAAGACCAAGAAAAAAGAAAGAAAGAAAATAAAATAAATGTAGTGAATTTTTTCCAAATACTTAGGTTGTGCACAGTGGCATACCAAACATATGAGCTACCCTCTAAAATGACAACTAATTTAGCATCATACATCATTCTAATATTAATGCTACTAATTCGCCTAAATGTCATCCTGCCAAACTTGCCATCTGGGATGAACCATTTCTTCCACCCACCTCTAGATCTACCAATAGTTGTGTAGAATGTCCATCAGTACTCCATGGAAAATACGGTCGTTTGTGGTTTGGAAATTTGCAAAATTCATTGACTGGTACCTTTTTTTGTGATGGTCAATGATTACTAAATTTTGGTGACATTTTGCCTGTGATTCTGGTTTTAGAAAATGTGCATGAAAGACGATTTTATTAATGAAACCTATTTTTGAAGCTGCATTTTGATGCACAAGTTTTAAATTACAGTCAACATATAATAAAAGAGGCTAATATTAAAAAAAATATATATATCAATGGTAATATTAGCAGTTTCCATATAAGGAAACATTTGGCATTCATTGCCTGTGCAGCATGTGCTACGTTTGATTGAAATTTATTCTCTTTTTATTAAAATAATTTTTCAGGAAAATAGGTTTCAAAAGCTCAATAACTGTTATTGCTCTTTCCAGTATTGATGGGGGCTTTCTTCACTAAACATGAAACATCGACATCTAAATTATGTCATTATTTTCTCCTCAAATTACACATGCTGTTCAATTTAATTATTGCTTCTGCTGCAAGTCCTCAAGTAATGTGATATCTGTTATTTGGTAAAGTTCTTTTTTTATGATTCCAGCACTACTCCATGAGGTTCTAAGCAGGATAGCCCTTGGCAAGACAATAAAATGATAAAACCTATCTGCCAATCTAGTACTGCACTTAAATTCGTGAGGTTGAGGAAAGCTCATCAGAACAATTAGCATGAAAATATTCATAGAAATGGCACAAAAAGAAATCTAGTTATAATATCAAAGATATAAATAAAGGAAACTAAATCTACCATTTAAGTGAGATTGTCATTCTGATATCAATAGATTTTAGAGTTTTGCTTTCTGATATAAGCAAAACTAAACTCAATCCAGTGGCGTAGCTAAGGGGGGGGGCAGACCGCCCCCGGGTGCCAGCACAGGAGGGGTGACACAATGTCACCCCCAACAAAATTTTTCAAAAATAGTCTGAAAACAGTGGTGGAGACACAGGGTTTCGCAGGCGAGCATATGACCCCCCAGAAATAATTTATGACCCCCCCCATTTTGTCACCCCCGTCAGAAAATTTCTAATAAATTGTCGGGAAATTTGTGAGTAAGAAAAATAGCAATGTTTTCAGCTTTCATGTGTTTCAGCTACTACAATCTTGGTTACTAACAAGAGACATTGTAACATTTTATCGGATGATATGGTGTTTTAACTCTGCATCATTAATAACAACAAAGTGAAATACGAAGCCAAAAGTGCAACAATTTCAGTCTTGCCTGTGTATCAATTCGCTGAGATACAATTTTCCATTGAGTGAGCGATATACTTTTGAATATATCTACTAGTGTTGGGACGATTAATCGGAATCGAGAATCGGAACTTTTTGGGGTATTGGAAACGGTATTGGAATTGGAAAAATTTGTGCCTATTTTCCGATTCTAAAAACAATTCTTTTAAATTTTTAACTTAATTTTCCATTATTGGTACTAATGATAAATATTTATTGTTTTTAAATTATCACTAAAAACTAAAATCATAATAATATCAAAATACGATATAAATTTATTTTACTTGTATAAAGAAAAACCAAAAAATAAACTTTGCATAAATTCTCTAGGTAACCTTTAAAAGAATGCAGTTGATTTACAATGTTCTGAAAAATGCTTAAAAATTAAATAGAACATTTTTGTCAAGAAAAATACTTTCAAATATCATTGATAAATAAATGGTACCCAGAAAATGATACACCGGAAAATTAGCAACAGAAAATTACGTCAACCATGAGCCAGTCGAGACTGTCGGATCTGGCTGTGCTGTTCATTGAAAACGAGCTTACAAGACAAACAGATTTTGATGATGTCATTGACCAGTTTGCCACAATGAAAACAAGAAAACATTCATTCTAAGACCATAGTATTGAATGTCATTCTTTTGTGTATTGCCGTGTTTTGTATTTAGTTGTTCTGAAAGTGAACAGTTGCATTTTAAAAATCTTTTGATTTGAACTGATTATTTTGTGGTATTGGATTTTGTCTTGGATCATACATGTAAACAGTAACGTACCAGTCAGTAGAGTAAAGTAGAGGTAGAGCATGTATGGAAATTTAGCTACAGCTAACCATTCAGCATAAGGTGAATCGGGGTCATTGGGGTGACATTTGAGCGGACCGCCCCAGGTGACGTTTACTCTAGCTACGCCACTGACTCAATCTGAAGACTTGTTTTTGAATTAAATGAAAGTGTTAAGCCAATATGGTATAGTTAGAAGAATATATGATGTAAGATTTTCAAAAGGATGTTGACTATGTTGATGGCTGATAAGAACTTTCAATGAGTCTGGCTTGGGAGGTTAAAGCATTTGGTAAGGAGAAAAAAAAGTTGGGAGGGAAATATTAAATTGGCAATGTAGAACAAAAAGAAAATGATAATTGAATGTTTGCAAATGTCACTATAAATAGGAATTAAGAAACAAATTCTGTTAAATAAAATGTGTATTATTTTGGATGTTAATTACATTATGTCAAGCATAATTTCTATTTTGACAGTTTTAAAATAATAAATTGCAGATGATATTTTGTTAAAAAAAACATTGACAAGTAAGCAGAAAAAGTCATATCCAGTATATTTAAGTTACTACTTAGAATAAATTTTTTTAAAAAATGTCATAAAATAGTTGTGAAAGAAAATTCAATAATGAAAAGAATTTGTAAGGATTTAATATTCATTTTATGGAAGCAGAAAACAAAACTAAACTAGTGAGTCTATGGAAATAAGTAAAATTTTGTTTATTTTTTAAACTGATTTTGAAATGTCTAGTCAAATTTAGTTCATGACATGCCATTAATTATTGGAAGAATTTCCTAAAGGAAAAAAAAAAAAAAAAAAAAATTAATATCCTGTGCCAATAAATGTTTTTTTTTTAATGTAGAAATCCCAAGTTAGCCACAAGGACTTCATTGACTAGTGAAAGTAAATTTTGCTTACAAATTCATGTAGTGTAAAAAAAAGAAGAAACATTAGAATATAAACAAGTATATTTACAATTTTAATGTTTTATAAAAGAAATATGTTCATTTTCATGGAAAGGTACATTTATAATGAAATAATTCAGGTTAGCAACTATTCTATACAATGATTATTTATAAAAAGCATTTTTATGCCTACATATCAAATCAACTGTATAGATTTTACTATCAGTTTTATTTCTAATTGACTCAGTTTAAGAATTCAAAGTTAGTTCTCCAAATATCACCACTAGATCAGTTTGTCAAAATATTTTGATCAATGACAAAGGAAGAAAATATAACTCTTTTTGAAATTTTAATAACTTTACCCAACATTTTTGATTTATGCTAATAGTCAAAACATCAATTTAGAATTTAATCCTAAAACAAATATGTCCTATATGGATCACTGAGAAAGTAGACATTCATTATCTTCAGGTTTCTGTGAAAAGACAAACTCACCTAAATTGAATGAAGAACTTATTACTATATTACCTTGTTTACCAAACATTTTTGAATGTAGGTAAATTTTTTAAAATTCTTTATACTCATGTGCATATTTAAAATTATCATGTAGAATATATTTTGACATTCTTTTATGAAAATCATATCAAACCAAATACTGGATGAAAACAGAAACACAGAAAGAAGTTAGTGACAAAAAAATGATAAAAGATATTAGAAGCAAATCTAAGCTAAATATTCAACGACTAGCATTCTCACCTGAGCTTCAAGAGAATCAGTTGCTTTAATTTCATCCTCAACATTTGCCTCTCCAGAACACACATCTATCATTTGGTTAATGCGGTCTGTGACTGTTCTAGAGAGAGAAAATTACTAGGAATAATAATATCTAAAAGATTGTGATTAATAAATACATTGACACTTTAATAGCTGAACAATTTTTTTTTTATTCACATTGGCCAATTTAAGCCTGAAACTTAACAAGCAGTTGATCAATGAACCAATATTTTGTTACACCTTATAAAAGATGACAACTATTATGCAAGAATTTGGATCAATGGTTTTGAAGAAAAATTGTTAAAACCAAGTCAGGCAATTTCAAACTGACCACTTCATTTCATTCCACTGTCCATGTTTAGGGAGATCTGATAACTGAGCAGTACTAAATAAGAAAAGGAGAGATATTCCTAGATATGGACAACAGAACAAGAACAAGAACAATTTACTCCTGTAGATTAAATAAAGGGTTCAGTTTGAATTGTTAAAACCAATTTTGTTTTATATTCCATCTTTGATAAAATTAAGAAACATCAACTCCTTGATAACCAAAGGCATTCCATATTTTTTTCCTAAAGAACGTTTGCTTTATGTTTAACAGTTTATTTTTTGAATAGATTCTTCTTCATTCATGTCTAACTTCTTTTATGTCATTCAAATGGAGCTAATCTGTTAAATTAACACTCAAACAGCCTTATTATTTTGTTACACCATCTTTGTTATTTACATTTATACTAATTTCTTCATCTTTGTTCTTATCAAAATGTTTGAATTGTCATCAAATTTTTTTGACTCTAGACTTGAAGAAGTTAAGATTGTAAAGAATCTTAAAGTCTGTTCCACAAACTGTCTGAGTGAGACTTCCTCCTTACCAATGGAATACGAAGGTAATGAGGATGGTTTGCATCTGTAGATGTGGCATGGCAGCTTTTAGTTGGTGGAACTAAGAAATGCAGCTTGTATGAATGTTTGTCATGGAAATAACAATTGAGTAGCAATAGCCTTGCAATATTTCATCTGTGGAGAAAGGGGATGGATATCCACAAGGCCATGTAAATGACTGAAGTCTGTTAAGACTAGAAAGGGAAGATTGGTCTGACTTTTGTAAAGATAAAATATGGCAGGAAGAGTTAGGTACTTCTTGGTGTAGTACAAGGTGCCAACCATTTTTCCATCAATTTTTGTGATGGATTCTATATATGAGTTCCATTTGAAATCTGAGGTGAGCTTGAGTTCCAATAGACATTCAATGCAAAAGAACCTCATTGGATGGGCAATGATGATTGGAGAAAATTCAGGTTCTAATATGTGATGATGAAGCATTATCAGTTTGTTTTTTCCAGCTATTCAATGTTATAAGCCAGTTTTTTACCCCATTGAGCTGTTTTAACCAATTCAGAAAGGTGATCAGTCACTGTCAGTCACTGGTCATCTCAATTTTTGAAGGTCTAAACAATTTGAGCAATAATGAAAATACTTGATCTTAATACTTCAGAGAAATCTCTTCAAAGTTGCAAATTATTTAAAAATTAATAAGAAACTTCTATTTAAGTTGTTCATCTAACTTTTTCATTATGTTAACTTTTCATTTCACACAATGTTTATTTTAAATATGAATACCAGAAAATGTTTATGGAATCAGAAAATAAAGCTTATAAAAATATAAAAGAAATGTTTGGTTATATAAAAATAAATATAAAAAATTAAATTTGTGTATGATTAATTTTACATTTTCTTAAAGAAAACAGAACAACTGTAATTTTACATTTTTGATAAACTGTTTTCTCCTCATTCAAAATCATGTTACTTAAAAGATAAAAAAAGAATCAATTAACATTATGCACGTATGGCCTAGAAAGGACAAACGTTAAGATAAAATTACACTGTTGCTATGACAATCTCAACCAATTTTGAGATGGCTGGTTTCAAAATCAATACACTTTTGAAAGGTGATTGATTTTTTGAAAGATGAAAGAATACAATGCATAATTGATTAGTTTATATAAATGATGAATTGCTTTATTTTGTTCCAAAATTTGAAACATATTTAACACTGATATGGGCTGCTATAGAAACACTGTGTGTATGCACCAGTGACTGGGTTCAAATCACTATAGATGGGCAAGAATAAGATCAATTGTTCACAGATTAAATAATTGAGTTAATCAACTTTACCCACTTCACACATGACTGAATATTAAGTTTAAATGTGAAACAAATTCTTGGGAGCAGATTATATTTGTAATGAGACTAAAATTCTTCCTTTTAATCAAGTAAAAAAAATTGTACAAGTTTTACTAAATCAGGGCTAATTAAAAATATTTAAGAAAAATCCAATTGAGAATATTTATAGAAATATAGTTTCAGACAGCAATTTCATTAGAATCTCTCAAGCTAGAACTGACAACCTTTCTGATTTTATATTTTAGACAAAAGCTGGAATCCCTAAACAAGGTTTGATTTTTTACTATCTTGATCCACTATCCATTTACACAAGCTTGTTACGTACACATTACTTGCTGTTTTTACCTCTGTCCCTTTTGCCTTCAATATGTCCTGTAAGCATCAAATTCTTCAAGCTGTCTTTCCTTATTATGTGCCTTAGAAATTTCAACTATTTTGTTCTTGTTAGTCTCTTTCCTTTTTGTTTCCATTTTCCTTAAAATTTCCTCACTGCTCACATGCTTCATTTATGGAATTCTTAGCATCCTTCTGTAAAACCATCTCTCTCTTGTCTTAAGTCTCCTCTTCATTTGTGAGAAAATTGTCTAACATTCACTACCCTATAGGACTGATATTACATAGATGTTCATCACTCATTTCTTTGTTTCAACTGTAATACATTTCTTATTTTATATTGTCTGTCAAGACTTTTAATAGTTTGAAATTAGGTAAAAATAATAAGTCAGACTGTAAAATAAATAAAAATCAATAAAAAAAGAAGGCACAGTCAAAAAAAAAAAAAAAAAAAAAAAAAAAACCCAAGAAAGCTCACCTTGCAGCCTCTAAAAGTTTGTTTTGGGAACCAGGTTGAGTAGTAGCTGAATTTGCCTCTAAGAGTTTGTTTAGTTCTTGCATTATTTGACTCTTGACCATTTTATCAGGAGCAACATCATCAACAACACCCAGGTTGACCACTTCTTCATATGCACTCTTGTACTGACCTATGTACATATCAATACACTCTGGAGACTCATCTGCTAAAGCCATGATTTTGCTGGCTGCCAGGTTCATCCGCCGTAGTGATGATGTACGCTGGAAGTACTAGATAACCATACTGTATTAATTCTACCCAATTTCAGAAGAATTAATCTGAAAATTCTTCTAATTGTTCAGACCTTCATCTAATACATACATAATTACAGAGCACAAATTCAATGATTAAACAATGGGCAACAGACAAATTATTCAACATCAAACATCTACAGAGTCAGCAGGAGTAATTGGGATTTTTGATATCTCCCCTACCATTAGTTGCAAGTGAAACCATATACTCTTTGGTTTCTTAAAAAAAAAAGAAAAGAAAAAAAAAAAAAAAAAAAAAGTGATTACAGTTTTCAGGAAATTCCCACTGCAAAGCCTTTTATTTATTTTGCCCCTTTTCCTCTCCAGAGCCCAAACAGGAAACACTAAATTATTGCAATTGGTTTAAGTTTTTACTTGCACACTTTTATGATTGTTTGGATTTAAGTGTATAAACCAGTTGATTTATTTTTTATGTTTTGACAGCAAAACCTCATCCCCAGGATTTCTTGCACTTTAATGTGATGATGGTGCATGAACATTACTCTTTTGATTCCTAGGTGAGTTTTTATCTATAAAACATAAGATATACATACTTTGCACATTTGTATAGCTCTTTCTTATATTACTACTTATTAGTTAAGTTTAAATTTATAATCTTCAGTATAATTTAATAATAAAGTAAAATTTTCATTATTTTAATTGAATGCAAATATTCTTTTCAAAGAAAGAAGAAAAAGCTTAAAAATGTTCTCATTAGACCACTGAAGCTTGGTCAGTACTTAGATGGAGGACTACTGGGGAACAATGGCTACTGTAAGTGGCCTCCTACAATTCAAATTATGGTCTCACTTTAAATAACCAACAAAGGGTTGATAAGCAGTAAAAGAAACAAATAACTATAAAGAGAAAATAAAAATAAAAAAACAGTGACTGGTAAAAAAAAATAAAAAAAAATTATATATGTAAAAAATTATATATATAAAATTGATATTATCTAAAAAGTAATATTGATTAAATAATAATTTAAGCTATTTTCTAAGTTAACCAGCTTTTTAATGAGTCTACATCAAGAACAACTTTATGTAAGTAAAACTGGAACCTGAGACCAAATTTAAATAAAAACCCAGTAACAAAACTTAATGAAAATGAGACAGGAACGGAAGAAAACAATTGGGCAATGTATGTTTGGAAATAATATACTGATTTTCAAAAATTATTTTCCATAATTTATGTCTGTTGCATTTTTGATTAAGTATAGACCATTCAAAGTTTCTTATGTTGCTCAGCTTTTGAAAATAAACGAAGTATACTTCACTGAAAATTTAAAAAAAACAAAAAAAGGGAATCATTTTCCATATATGCTGATCCATATTAACATGACTAATGTTGATGATAAACAGCATTATAACATTTTGCACCAAAAGTATTTAATATGAACATAGTGTGTGTGTGTGTGTGTGTGTGTGTGTGTGTGTGTAGAAGGCCATCTACAAACTTTTAAGTAATTTCCAGATGTAATTATAAAAAAAAAAAAAAAAATCATTAAACATATGCAGATTGCAGTGAAGCTTTGTTAGTAATAAAACTCATAAATAAATTAACAAAATTAGTAATAAAAAGTGCACCCTACTAATTGATGGGCTTTATACAAGCAGATAATCAATGTGTTAGTATTAATAGAGACATTCAGTTTTGAGAATTTATGCAAACACTGTTCAATGGTCAACTTTGGATGCACAAATCATCCTTTAGCATGGCTAGTATTTCTTATATTGATAATGTTTAAAGGTATGAAAATCTATCTTCTATTTCTTCTTGAATATTGACAAAATACAAATAACTTTAGTATTTGTACTTTTCATTGAAACTTAGTGAATGACACAAGCAGTCAGCAAAAAAAGGTAAAATAATCGTATGATTAGAAAATAGCTAATCTACAAGTTGAAAACAAAACTGAAAAACTTTACTCCTTACTTTTTAAATTTTTTATTTCTTTGAGAAGTATTGGGATTAATGACTGACTTTGATTAAATCAGAATTCTAAAGAATTTAGTCCATGTAATTTGCTACCAATGACTAAAAGGTAAATGTATTTGCGTTTATCAAAATATGTAAAGACTAATTTAAATGCAAAAACTAATGATGCACCATGACATAAATATTTAAAAAAAATAAAAAAATAAAAAAATGAAGAAGCAAGACTTCAGCTCTAGACAAGCTTTCTTGTACAAACTTCATGCTTACTACAAGACATAACATATATTAAACTATCATTACCAATAATATAATAAACAGTACTGTTAAACAAATACATGCATGCATTCAAACTTACCTCATCTTTATTAGTAGTTGGAGCAGGTGGTGTTAGAAAGTCCAAGTAGTCAGTTACTTCATTTCTAGGGGTTGGTTGACCAGAAGGAACAGTTGAATCCCAATCACTTTCCTCAGTCTCTGTAGCTTGTGGTTTATAACATCTATCTTCTTCAGCATTAGATTCTCTTCTTAAATTTGTGAATTTTGAGGCAATAGAAGAGGTACCTTTATTTTCGTTGTCTTCATCTCCTGCTTTTCCTAAAACACAAATAGATCTTAGTTGATACAATTCTGCAGAAAATTTCATATACTTTACTAGATAATTTTCTGTCTGATGATTTTTTTTCTATGTTGTCAAATTAATGATATGCAGAAAAATATTGTAAAAGAATTTCTGTAAGTTTCCAAAATGCATCATTTCAATGTGATAAGAGAGCATGGAATTATATCAAATATATTTTTCAAGAACTATTGTTTGTTTGAGTCTCTTAAAGCAACTGGAGGTTTTGAAATTGTCTTAAAAGTTTGACAATGTGACAAGTATTTTCTACATATTCCATTAAAAAAAAATTTTTTTTTAAAAATGTGAAAGTTAAGACAATAAATAGGATAAAAGATCCGGAAAGAAGACTTAACTATTATCAAAATTATTCTTTTTTTTTTGAATCTCATTATTCAGTGTATGCTTTCTTGACGAGTATTTATTTAAAAGTTGACATATTTTATTACTTTATATATTTTCTCCATTTTCTAGGATCAATAAAAATGTAATAATTGATTCTTAGTATTAGGTATAATTATTAATTAGCTAATTATTGTATATCATTAACAAGTCAATGGCTAAAACTTTTTCTCAATAATTGTAAGTTAGTAGTAATTTGGGTTTAACATCCTTGTCTTCAGTCAGAGACAACAAGCTGCATATTTGTAAGGCTTTTAATTTCGGATGATAGTCTTGGTGTAGTATCAATGAAAGATGAAAGGGACAATTAAAATTTAGAGTTAAAGGATAAGCATATAGAAAAGACTGTTGCAAAGGGTCAAGTAAAGGTAAACAATAATAAATGAAAGCCAGTAAACAATAGCAACATTTTGATAACAAATATAATAAAAACAAAGTGAAAATGAAGACATCAGCAAAATTTCTTTTAAATTTGAATGAAATAACTTAATTGAAATTGTACAGAAAATCATAAATATTACAAAGAAAATAGGAAAAAAATCAAACCCATCTATTTTTAGTCAATAATTGTTATTGATCTAAACAAGAATATTTGATTATAAAAATTTGATTTTTTTTAAAGAAACTTGTCATTAATTGATTTTAAAAGGTTTTTTTTTTCTTTTAATCATTAAATTAATATATCTGCTTTTTTCTCTCTTGTGAAATATCCAACTGGAAAAATGCAAAACAATAAGCTAACATTTAGTATAAGTATTTTCTATATATTTTCCTTATTATCCAATTGAAATAAGGTCAGACATATGCAGTTGATTTCATGTCAGCTAATTGACTTCATCAGGTGTTGCTTTATAAGATTTTTTTTTTTAAACATGTTATTCTTAATATTTTTGTTTTGCAGTCTGAAATGGAGGACTATGGAAAGAGTGCTTTTTTGGTCATTTTTGTTGTGATGTTCAGCCTGTACAAGGCCCAAGAGCAACTCAAAGTAGAGAGTTACAGCGTAAGATACACAGTTTATGGGGATATGTTGGGAAGATAATGGTTGACCCCAGACTTGAACAGGTCAAGGTTGTAGTGATTAGGGAAGCATTGACTTGGGAGTGAGGTCCACAATGCAGCAGTTTGTGGGAAGAAGCTGTTCAAGTGGAACTTACATCTCACCAATGGAATGAGGGTGATTCACTAGAATGTGTGTGGAATGGTAGGTCTTGCCATGAAGATTAGAACTGGTGGAATCAAGGAATGTAGTTTCATTTGAACACTTTCCATAGAAACAGCAATAAAACAGCAAGAGACTATAATGTTTCATCTGTGAGAAAGGGATTGTAGGGTGGAAAATAATTTGTTGTCACCCACAAGAATGTGGATAGGCTTCTGGACGCCACTGTGACTGGAAAGTGAAGACTCTGAAGCTCCTGCCCATATATGGTAGCAGTACTACATTCTTGGCCTGATCTGGCTCTTGTAAAGGGAGAGGATAGCACGAGGAGTCAGGTACTTATTGGAATGATACAGGGAACTGACCATTTTTCCAGTACCTTTAGCGATGGATCATATGCAGGAGTTTCACTCGAAGTTTGGGTTGAGTTTAAGTTCCAATGGGTGCTCAAGGTATGGGACCTCCCTGAAGGAAACCTGTCCCTCGCACTTGGAGATCTATGGGTCTGCTTGATGATGATGGACCATCACTAGTTTGGTTTTTAAGGCATCTAATTAGACCAGCCAGTTTTTCCTCACTGTTAAGGCTAAGTCAGAAGATACATCAGCTGCCAAGCTCTGAAGGTGCACCCACACACACACACACATATATATATATATATATATATATATATATATAAAATAATATTTTTTTTATTTAAAAATATGATTCCTTCACTACATAAGAGTTGTCATGTTTCAAAAACGAGAGCCGAAACCATCCAAATAATTATTAAAATTAAGTTGAATTGAGGTGTTTAGTCCTGTTTCATCTTCAAGCGAAATTTTAGGAAGAATTAGGATTATTCCTAAAATTTCGCTTGAAGATGAAACAGGAATCATATTTTTAAACAAAAAAATATTATTATAATAAAGCTCTACTTCTGTATGGAGCACTGTCTTCTTAAAAATAAAAACAAAAATACTAAGGAACTCTGGATTATGCACCCAACGTGTTCTTTTCTATTTAAGGACAACAACTGGGATTTTATCTGGACCAGTAACCTTCTTAGGGTAAAAACAATTAATAGGTCTTGAGACTTGCTGGGCTGTAATAAAAGATTTATGGAGATAACCAGAAAAGACATAAAATGTGGAACTAGAACAATTTACCCCTGTGGACTAAAAGCGTTTGATTCAAAATTCCAATGTATATCACCTGACAAAGGCCGAAGTGTACAACGGCAGAAACATCGTAAATATGACAATAAAGATGAGGACAACGGTCCATACAATGTAAATAACATAAATAAAAATGTCATCTGTAAAGATTACAAAGTGAAAAAGGATTTCAATTTCCTACTGCTCTCTCTGTTAAATATTGACTGGTTTAAGAAATGACTTTCTTCTGGCAAAGCTTCCATATTGACCTTAGATAATGAAGGTACTGTACATGTGTTCTCAAGCTGAGTTGGACACACACTACTGCTGCTGTCTTATACAAAATACTGTTAACTGATTGTTTCTCTTACAATTTTATAATATACTGAGTAATTGCCAATGAGTCTAAGTTTATTAAATTTCAAATATAAATGCGATGTATATATTCTTATGGCTTTATTGGAATTTCTAATATTTATGTGATGCGGAGTTTTTTATTTTCTTACTGTTTCTCCAATAATCACATTGGGCCAGTATTTGTGATATCTGAATCAGCAATTCTAACAATCATAGTAAAGTGATTGAATCAGTGAGTAGTCCATGATTTCTAAGTACCAATCTCTAACTATAATGAGTACTTTGCCTTTTAGACTCTACAGATGAATATCTATAAATCTGCAAGAGAAAGACAAAGCACAACTTTAATTTTGTAAATTCATATAGACTTGACTAGTAAAAAATATTCCTGCCTTTTTTTTTTTTTCAATTACAAGTAGAATCTTATTAAAAAAAAAAAGAAAAAAAAAAAAAAAGAAAAAAGAAGTCAGCACCAGTTGCAGGGAAACTTACCCGGAGTACTTGAATTCTTGGGAGAAAATACTCCTGGAGAAGATTGGAAATCATCCTGCTTAGCAGAGTCATTTCTATTGAACACTAAATCCTGAAAAGGAATAAGACACAATTACAAAAGCATATCCAAGTTTGAGATCAGAAAATATTTCATTACTAGCAAAGTACCTAAAAAGAAAATCTCATTCTTGGAATGCTCTCACATTTCATTAAATCTACCATCACATCCTCAGTCAATATCTCTTGATATATATATATATATATATATATATATATATATATATATATATATATTCTTACTCTGTCCTGGACTGAGTTCTACCTGGATTCTATCCTCTTGAAATTTGTGTATATATATATATATATATATATATATATATATATATATATATATATATATATATATATATTTGTGTATTTAGGCAGCAATCCTTCTTTCATGCACATTTCATTGAACAAGACAGACGAGGTGCATTGATTTAGTTTTTTTATACAATTTCTCATTTGATCTAATAATTTTTTTTTTCTTTTCAGATAATAAATTATATAAATAATCTGAGCACTTTCAACTATACATTTAGCCATTTTCAAAGTTGAAATATATTATTAACTGTTAGCAAGAAATAGTTTGCATGTATGTGTTTATATAAGGTTTTCATTTTCAAAACACAGTCAAAATGTTGTGTCCATGTTCAATGTTGATATTATTGAGTGTTGTTTTTTTTTTTTTGTTTTTATTAATGAGGCTTCCATTATTGTTTATGTTTCTATTCTCGTCATTGCTATTAGCTACCTTAGACAGAAAACACCTAATATGGAAATCCAACGATTAGGAAATCCATTATTAATAAGCGTTTATTTTACGTTGCTTAATTTTGTAAGGAAAAGCGTGCGAGAGGATGAATTCTCGTGTGCTCTCTTGAGGAAATTTTTAATAACACCTATTTTATATCTAAGAGGGCATTCACTAGGGAATGTAAGATGGCAAGAGTCTTTACTAGTTGTTTTTTTATAAACAGAAGTTTTAAAAGTATTATTACTAAAATCAACAAGAACATCTAAGAAAGTTTATAAGTAAAAATTAGGACAAAATTTTGTTGAAATGTAGCTTTCAGATTTTCTATTTCCTTCTTGTTTTCAGCTAAAATAAATATATCTTCTACATAACGAACATATACTTTAGGTTTAATAACTTTAGTAAAAACTAAAACTGTTTTCAACATAGGACACATAATTGGAGAAGCATGGTCTGAGAGGGTTTCCCATACTTACTCCATCAGTTTGTGTGTAAATAATACCATAATAATAGTGGTGCAAGCAAGGCCAAGTGGGGACTGCTGGAGTCACATGGATGTGAGAGAAGCTGAAAGGGACAACCTAAGACATGTGAAGGTGAAAGAAGCTGTGAGGGACATCCCAAGGCATGTGAAATCAAATAGAAGCTGAGAGGAGGTGGGAGAAGCCGGAAGGGTCAGCTTGAGGCATGTAAATGGGAGAGAACATGAGAGAGCCTAATAATGGCCAGTACATATATACAAACAGATCATCAATGTCAAGATTGGTATAAAACTGAGATATTCATATATTACTTTGGTATCAAATGGAAGTGTAGATGATAATATAAGGACGAAGAAAAGAAGATTTTTTAATAAATGAAAGAATTTGAAGCAAGTATGGAATAATAGTAGAAGAAAAAAAAAGAAGCAAATATTTGGTTTCTATTCAGAGTTATTTGTATTTAATCAGGAAACTCAAGAAAATAAAAATCTAAACATTTTCCTTTAGCACTGAATTTTCTTTTCTTTTTTTTCTTCTTTCTTGACAACTTCAATTGTAAAGAGTCCATCAGATAAAACAAGATTCTTATGCATCCCATTCATATTTGACATTTCACTAAAGTCAAAATATCTACAGGCAAATAAAAAACAACATAAATGCTGAAATACAGTGTCTCATTGTTAAAAGACAGGACATTAAATACGACAGTTTTACAAATAAACTAGAAGAATCAATACAAAATCTATGGAATTATTCAGATCAACATTGAAATATGTTTAAATAAAAGTATTGCAAAATACTAACTCCTTATTCTGCCAACGAGATTTATTGTTTTGGTTTTAAAACTATTTCTACAAATCAATGCAAATGATAAAATAAAAGAACGAATATGAAATGTATACCAATCTAACATGTTTTACTTTTATTAAAGCTTTTTGTATTTGTTCTTTATTTTATCACCCTGTTGGATTCTGATCCACATTTGATCTTTAACTCATATATATCACTCACAGAATCAGCGAGGCTCTTGACAAACACACCTCAGGGACCATAGATATCTCAAAGGCTTTTGGCAAGGTGTAGCACAAAGGTTTACTACGCAAGCTCTCCAGTTATGGAATCACTGGAAGTGTCTTCTCAATCATAAAATCCTTTCAAACAGGTAGGTCCCTGAAGGTAGTTATTAATGGCCAGTCCTCTGGAGCTCTAACAGTCAACACAGGTGTCCCACAGGGATCCCTCCTCGGACAAACCCTCTTTTTGATCTACATAAATGATCTGCCTAAGAATATACTCAGATCATTTGTAAACATCTATGCCGATGATATGACTATATATGGGTGCACCTCTAAAACTCTTGATGGTTAGGGATTGGCAACTGAACTCTCTTCTGATCTTGCACAAACTACCCAATGTAAAAACTGGGTGATTACATTCAATGCTTCAGAGACCAAGCTAGATACACTCCATCATCGTTAATCTGACCCCAAACTACCACCAATCAGGATGAACAGAGGTCCTCTTAGGGAAGCACCATGCTTTGAAAGACTGTTGAGCCTTAAACTCACACCTGAACTGAAGTGGTGTGATCCATTGTTAAGGAGACAGTTAAAATGGCCGGCTCTCTGTAGCAGTCCAGGAAGTACCTGACTCCTCATGCTATTATCTAATTTTACAATAGCCAGATCAGGACAAAAATGGAGTACTATTGTCATATTTGGGTGGGAGCTGCCCAGATCTCACTCTCCAGCCTTGAATTCAAAAGTGCCTTCAAGTCCTTGTGTGTGATGAATTATTCTCCACTCTTCGACCTCTTTCCTGCAGGCAGAATGTGGCAAGTCTCTCACTGCTCAACTGCTACTTCAACAGAAAGTGCTCAGACGAACTACATTCCTTGGTCCCACTGAGGCAAACCTTCACAGCAAGAACATATTATGCCACTTACATAGTAGCAAACCACCCACATTCCCTTCGTATTCCATCAATGAGAAGTAAGTACCATTCAAGCAGCTTCTTCCTGTGGACCACTGATCTGTGGAACTGACTCCTAAAAGGATGTTTCCCCAATCACTACAATCTTAACCTGTTCAAGGCTAGGATTAACCATTATTTTCTACTCCTAGACACACAAATGTGCCAAAATAAGCTAAGCAAATTACAAGTTAAACCAGATTTTTAAATATTTTAGAGACTTATCTAATTCACATTTGAACATATGACCTTATTTTTTCTCCATGTTATTTTTTCTGTGTATAAATACAGGTTACTAAATAAAATTTCTGCACTTGCTTTGATAAAATTCCTCCTGATAAAATGAGTGAAGAAATTATTAACATAGAACTTATGATTACAACTAGCAATTTCAAAAGTGAAATTATGGGACCTAGATGCCAATCTAGTACTGCACTTAAATTTGTGAAGTCAAAGTACCAATGAGGAAAGCTTACATTTATAGAGCAGGTAAAAGGAATCCATGTTACAGTGGCAGAAAAGTGACTGAAGCTGAGATGCCAGTTCAAGACCAATAATGTTGCTGATTCTACTTTGGATTTTATCAAGAATCTCTAAATAAAAAATAATTGATGTATAAGTAGACTTATAAATGGGCAAGATAGATTTTAGTAAGAAAAACTAATACAAAAAGCTTTCCCTTTTGTTATTTCTTTTATAAATAAGTATATCATATATACAGTTATATAAATAAATTATATGAGAATAACATCTTCAAAGAAACAGACAATGGTAATTTAAGCAGATTCAAATCAAAAAATGATTGAAAGCAACTTTTTTTAAAATTGTTTTTACCTTTGTTTGAAGATTATTAGCAAGTTTTATAGTAGACATTTGATCAGACTGACTTCTTGGGGTTGTATCCCAATCACTGCTTTCTTCATCATCATCATTATTTGTTTGATTATCCTGTTCACCAGTAGCACAAATCGGTGCAGAACCATCTGTGAGGTCATCATTGTCACTCAAACCAAGCTCATCCATAAACGCTATTAAATAAAAACAATAATACACCAATTCAAATTGGCTTTTATGAATCAAGACATTTTTATACATACAAATTGCTAACATAAACAAGCCTCAACTTTTTTTTCTACAATGATTCAGAAATAGAGTTTTGTGAATCCATTAATGCTAATCATTAAATGGATGCACATCAATTCATAGCATGTCAAGTACACAGTTATAAATCAATTTGTTTAGTGGTAGCAAAATAAACTGACATGAAAAAAAAGATAGTGAAATAATGGATAATTCCACAATGTTTACATTTTTTAAATCATTTTTCACCACCATGAAAATTAGGAACTGGAGTTCAAATCATTTTTAAGAACAATAAAAGCATTAGAATAAGAAAATAAACAATAATGATAATAGTGGACTGAAATATATTAGACTGTTTAAAGTTGAGAGGCATTTTTAAGCTTTTATCCGGATCATAAATATTTCCATGGTTGCATAAATAAAATGGGCCATTTTTAAAAATTTCCTCTTATCTGGAAACATTAACATTTATGGTTGCGTATTCAATATAAAAAGAGACAAAAACAATTTGAGATGTGTTTTTTTTTTTTTTAATAGTAAAAAGTGTGTTTATGTGTGTAGGGAAATAGTTGAATTATTTTCTTTTTAATCATTTAACCCCAAGCAAGACAATAAAGCCACTAGGATACAAGGGGTTACTGAGTGTTAGAGAATATGAGAAAAAACAACTATTAAGAAGAAGGGACAATAAAAGAACAAGAATTAAGACAGAAGATAACAGTTGACATTCCATTTAAATTTTTGAAGATCAAATTTGACTGGGAAGCAAGAAGTTGGAAGTGAGTTCCACAAGCAGGAAGTACGACAGAAGAAACTACTGGCATAGAACTTAGAGTAACATATAGCCATTTCAATTGTAAAATAATGAGACATTGCTGCCAATCTAGTACTGTACTTAAATTCATAAAGTCTAGGTACCATAGAGCAAAGTTTATCCCAAACAATTACCATGAAAGTATTTATAGAAAAGGCAAAAGGGAGCTATGTTATGGCAGTGGGAAAGGAACTGAAGCCGAGATGCCAAGTCAGGACCAATAACATTACAAATTCTTTGTATTCTATTAAGAATCTCTAAAAAATATATTGCAGGAGCACCAGATCAGATGTGGCAGCAATATTCAAAGCTAGGGTGAATTGTAGCCTTGTAAATATGCAAGATAGATTCTTGTTAAAAAAATTGTCTAGCACAACATAGTGAACCAACTTTCCTAGCAGCAGACTTAGCAATTGATTCAATATATTTCTTTCACTTCATGTCAACAGAAAACATTGATCAGAGAAGGAACTATGAGTCACTCTCCTGGAGGTTAGCATCAGCCATGCTGATAGAAGGTAAAAAGGTTTCTCTCAGATGATTAAAAGAGAGAAGTTTCATTTTTAAGGCATTAAAATTAACAAGCCATTCCTTGGCATATTTAACAACAGATTGTAATTAATACATTGATGAATCAATAAAGAAGAGTGGACAATTAGCACCAATTCAGAATGTGTGTTCAAAATCTAAACCACCCAATTTCTTTCATTTTTGTTATTTAGCAATACATCTTCTTCATTAAATAAAACATTACCACCAATGAATAGAGGAGAATAATAAAAAAAATAAAAATAAAAAAAAATAAAAGTGTTCTACTTTAGATCAACAATCCAGTTTTTGTTATTCTTTCAAGCATTACAAATTGATGAATCTTAAATTCACTCAAAATTAAAACAACTGACAAGTATATTTTGAATTCATTTGATGAAATTTTACAAAATGTTTAGATCAATAAATATAGCATTAACAAAACAATTAGATGCTGCAATCTGTCTTATACAATTATTTGTGTTACCAGAAATGGTTAAGTATATAAAAAAAGAGAGGAAAAGATCTTTTCCAAGCTCTATTTCCTTAAATTGAAATAGCAACAAAAGGCTTATCTTTATTGTTCTAATAAAGTGATTTCGTAAATTTGTTCCCCCAAAGGATGCATTATATATATAACAACAATATATGTCTAGAAAACAGGAAGTCAAAATGGCTACAATTAAAAGAAGGAAAAAAGAAAGAGAGAAATGGTGAAAGAGTGAGTGTAAAAAAAAAAAAAAAAAAAAAAAAACAATGAAAAGGAAAAATAACCATGATATTCTGCATGTACGCACATATACACAAATGGATACATGGGCAAATGCTCACACATACACTAAGAAAAACTTGCACCAATAAGTGCATATAAAAAAGAAAAATCAGAAAGTATACGCAGCCAATTTCTGATAACCCCAGACGAGTGATTACTGGAGAGTCCATCTACAAAATTCTGGAGTCGGGATGCTGAAGGTAAACACCAATCAGCTAAGTGACAAACATTTTACTTGTATTAACTCTCTCTCTCTCTATATATATATATATATATATATATATATATATATATATATATAAAAAAGAAATATAGTTTTAATGTGTGCTATATTTATGGGATAAAGTGCTCAATATCAGAGAGAGTGTATCTCTATCTATAAAAGGCAGGATGTGTGTGTGTGTGTGTGTGTGTGTAACGAATGCATGGCCACAATTTGACGGATTTGCACCAAAATTTACATGCACATGCTCCAAGTTAACGGGAAGGCCAAGTCAGACTTTGCATTTCCCAACTCCCATCGATAGTGGAAATAATCGGTTTTTTCATGCTTCTACAGCAGTTTTCATGTAGTTTGCAGTCATTTTCTACTGGCCAGAGTGAGAGCCAATAACTGGCTGCCACGAATAGGCATTAAGATTCTATTGGCCAGCGTGAGAGCCAACAGCTGACTGACATGAATGTTAACTAGCATGCTAGCATACAAAAAAAAAAAAAAAAAAAAAATCAATAGCTGCATTCGTCACAAGTGGGAAAAATTTAAATCTGCATGGCACTTTACTCCAATTGGCTCATTCGCTTGCTTAAACTCAACGTTGATTCTGATTCCACAGAACTGGGTTGGGTGTGAAAAAGCATTTGTTGTTAACATTCTTTTTTCATTCAGTTTTTCCAGTTACAAGTCCTTTTTTTTTTTTTAAAGCTGATTGTTTTGTGTCCATTTTGTTTAGTTCTTTTTTCGTAACAGATTTAATGTTTAGTATAGAGCTTAGAAAATATTTGCAGTGTGAGATAGGCAAGAAGTAAGGCATGTAGCAACATCAGCACGGCAAAGGGCACTCCTTTAAAGACAAGGAAGGGCAAAAATATTTTAAGACAAGTGATAGCGATTGCTGTATGAGTCGTACGATTTTTGAACCAAGCACGGGTAACGCCGGGCCATGCTGCTAACGTAAATATAAAAGTGAACATTGAAGTCAACACTCAAAGGCCACAGACTGTTTCATGCTAGGTGCAATCACCAGGCCACGTGTTGGTTTTTTTCTCGCGACTATATATACAGGTGAGTGGTGCATTGTGAGTAGTCCATTCTAATAGTTATTTTGGCTGGAGTGTTTTTATTTATTTGGATTAATTTATTTTACTTGTTTTTTTATTTATTTTATATATTTATTTATTCTTTTTAGTTTTCGATGTTTAGTAACATAGTAAAAAGTTTTTTTGAGATTAGTTCCCATTGTTTATTCAGGAGTTTTTTTGGTTTGGGAAGGTAATTAAAACTATTTTTTCATTCAATTTTTTGGATTGATTGTTGTAGTCTTCTGTTATTTTGGTGGGAGTGATTTGTTCATTTGTTTATTATTATCTATTTATTAATTGGGATTGATTACTTTTACTTGTTTTTGCTTATTTATTTTTATTTATTCTTTTCAGTCTATTCTAATGGTTAATTTTGGCAGGATCGGTTTGTTTATTTATTTGGATTAATTTATTTACTTGTTTTTTCTTATTTATCTTTATTTTATATATTTTTATTTATTCTTTTTGGGTTTTGATTTTTAAGTAACATAGTAAAAATTTTTGAGATGAGTTCTGATCATTTATATAGTAGTTTGTTATGGTCTGGGAAGGTAATTATAGCTATATTTTTGTCTAATTTTTGGACTGATTGTTGTAGTCTATTCTAACAGTTATTTTTGTGGGAGTGGTTTGTTAATTTGTTTATTATTTACTTTATTTGGATTGATTATATTTACTTGTTTTTTTCTTATTTTTTATTTTTCTTTATTCTTTTTTGTCTATTCTAATGGTTGTTGTGGCAGAAGTGGTCTGTTAATTTGCTTATTATTTGCTTGGATTCATTTATTTGTGAAAAGAATAAATAAAAACACGAAATAAAAATAAATAAAAAAAAACAAAATAAATTAATCCAAATAAACAAACAAAACCACTCCCGCCAAAATAACCATTAGAATGGACTGCACACAATGCACCACTGACTCGTATATATAGTCGAGACAAAACCCAACACGTGGCCTGATGATTGCATCTAGCATGAAAGTCTGTTGCCTTTGAGTGTTGACTTGATTACCTTATATACTTGACTCAACTAAAAACTGATTTTTTTTTATGTTGAAAGATTTTTAGCCTAGTTCTCAAAAATGCAATTAAAGCAATGTAAGATTCAATTTATCATTTGTCATATGCCTTTTCTTAAGCCATCACTGCCTTTCTAATTATCATGTAAAACTAAGGAAAAGGAAAAGCTTAAAATTGCGAGTGGGGGACATAAAAAAAAAAAAAAGGAAGTAATAAACAATTTAACAATCAGGTTATAAAGATTGCTTTATTATTGTATTGAGTCTAAATATGTTGCAAGGTGGGATAATGTATCCCCAGTGGCAGATAGAAAAGCAATTGGGCACCAAACAAAAAGAATAATTGAAATAATTACTGCAGACAAGTATAAAGTGAAACAATTTCTGTCATTATGAAAATGATTTAAGTTTTGGTCAGTGTGCTGAACAGAGTGCCATGATTCACAAGTTAACACTCAAATAATCAGCAATTATCTACAAATCCAACATATTAGTAGATTATATGCTG